TTTGGCTTAAAAGCTTCATTAATACTTGCACCAGGAAGGAGGTCATCATTGATAATGGCCCATGTCCACAGCCTGAGGTCAGGAAGCTTTACCTTCAACATTATAAGTAAAATCCTCTACCAATAGCATGTGGTGAGTGTGCGTAGGTAGCGTCTCTAGAGAGACTAATGGCAACAAGCACTGCGGACCTCAAAGCTCTCGAAGATTATTTGGCCCTTCTTCGTCTTGATCAACCACATAAGCTAGAACACTTAGCTAAACTCTCATTGAGCAATCTAAGGGCACTTGAAGAGCGACAAGCAATGAAATTTCAAAGGTTGCTTGGCGAATTGGCTGACAAGAAACATGCGATTCAGGTGAGAAATGTTGATGTCAATAACATGTGCACCACCTGGAGAACAAGACACTACTTTCAAAGTACAAAAAGTCTATATAGACGCATGCCATATTTTCATCTAGACCAAAAGCAAGGAGCGAATCTTATTCGCGATTTGATGTGCCTCTGGATGTAAGTGCATATGGACGTGGCACAGGATTGCAAAGTTCAAATAGAAGCAAAGGATCGCTGGTGCAAAGATATTTTTCTCCAAACAGGGACTGTTCAACTTCAACAAGACAAGTTGTTTGCAACCCAAAAGGTACGCTACAATATTTTCTCACCAGTCTCAAGTTAAGGGGAATATTAATTGAAATTTAGACGTGCTTACTGCATCTTTGTTAGGGGGCGAGATCATCTTTACAGAGGCGAGCTCATCCATGCCTTCGGCATGGCTAACATCTGACTCCTTTTTGACGCCCCAGGCCTCATCAAGGCGTCTTTATTCACGTTTATTTTACTTTCATTCTTTTATACTCCATGTGTCCAGCAATATAATTTATATATAAAATTAGAATTTTCTCCCATTGAACCATATATACAACATCGTGCAACATTGTGAATGCCGTTTAAAAAAATAGGCCTGGGGAATGTGCGGAAATGATTTGCGAGAAGAAAATGCGATGGCGGTGGCGGGCCAAAGGCAAGGGGTTTATTTGAATCAAGACCTGGTTGCCTCATGTGCGAAAATCTCCGCTGAGTACTCACAAAGTTTGCAAACGCAATCACACAAGAAGGGCGTCATATCGAGGTGCCCGACGCAATCATTAGCTGAGCTTGGAATTCTTCGCATAACAATCACGTCCTTTTTACATTACAATATATATAGTTGCCTTCCTATTTTGTGTTCCAACATCAAATCCTTGTACTCTTGAAGCCAAAAGTCACTTCTGACGGTACATGGTGTCACACGGTGCTCTGCTTTATACAGGTTGAACATCAAAATTGTTCAAAAAGAAGCAACGTTGGAAGACTCGCTAAAAACAATGCTTTCATTGCGCAATGCATCTAAGCTTCTTCATAAAGCTTACAATGACAATAAAAATAGCCTACTCACCACCAAGGACATCCTTAGTGCCACAAAACAAACAATTGACGATTTGGTATTGGAGGTCTCAACGGCAAGGCGTAGATACAATTTGTATGATGCGGCCATCAAGCATGGTGACTTTGACTTGAGATAGGAACCCTGTGGTCATTCTAAGAAAGCCACAATATAGCTATAGATATATTTAGGTCACTACCTAGTCACTCTATCGTTCATGAGTATTATTTCCTCCTGTATTTTCTGTGGCGACTTGCTTGCTTAAAGTAACAATATGTTGAACACTTGAAGAAAGGGCACGATGATATATACGGTTGAGAGATTTACTACATGGCCAGACTCTTCAAATTGGAACACGGGTGAAATTTGCATTGCAGGCAATGTGGTGTGGGAAAGGACGAATGAGATACTTAAAGGCTTACGTTTGGACATTGCCGGCCAACAACAAAGAAACATGCTTCTTAGAAAGCAAGAAAAAATGTTGAATGTATGTGAGAGACATGCAACTACTCAGCTTGATAATGTTGAGTCACTCAAGGACCAACAAGTTGCTTTGATTGCATCCATTGATGATAATGCTCAACAAGCAAGGTGCGGTAGAAATTGTAGCTTGTACACATTTGGACTTGTATAATTTGCGCGGGGCCAATTTTGGGTCACACATTGTGTGACACGGGTACTAAAGGGTACCACCTAGTAGGCAGAAGCCAGGAAATGCATGCCATTGAATAGTGCAGCTGAACATGCCCAGGCTTGGCCGCAATTCTCTGCCCATTGCAAGCAAAAGGGCCTCGAGGTTCCCTACTGCATCTACTATCTATTGCTACTCCGACGTTTGCCTAGACACTATCCTAGGCAGCCTTGCAATGATTAATTTGTGGATTGAATATCACAATGCCAACTTGGCGCTATATTCAGCTTATCATTGTTCAATTATCATCATTATTGAATAATCTCTGAAATGCCATGCCATTAGGATCATCGAGGAGGAGACCTGGAACGTCAACTCGGATGATTTAGTCAAGAAGTTGGAATGGCAAGAAGAGTCGTCCAGCGGTCGACTGAAAATGCTCACTCACGCCTTGTTGGAGAAAGATACCGTCTTGAAGAATGTCACAGAGCTATCAAACAGCGCATTATTTGCTACCGCCTTGGCACGCCTTTTCAACTGTGTTGTCTCCCAACAGGTGATTCAATATTTTCTGACCCAGACGATCATCAACAAAGCATACATCATCTTAGTGTCATCCCTGTACATTAGCAAAATTTTAGCACTCCTTTCTTTATAGATTGCTGTGCTAGGAACTCTTAATCTTGAGGATTTGTTATGCTACTGACCTTTTGAGAATCCCAATTCTAAGATTTTTAGATTAAGAATTCTCAAAACAAATTTGAGATGTGCTCGTTTGCAAGTAGGTGACCACCCTTGAAAAAAACATACGAGCACAAAGTCGTCATGTTCTTGCGACAAGGAGCGAGCTTGAAGTAACGAAGAATTTGATCTCAGAGTGCTCAGAACATTCTAGGGAGTTGTCCAGAGATATCCAAGTCCTTCACACTTACTTGTCATCTGAGTCTGGCATTCAGATGGCCATGTGTGAAGCCTCTTGAAAAGACCCTCTTTCCATGTTTCTTGCAGACTCGAAGGCTAAGGCCCAGATTATGATGATCCTCACTCAGCTCAGTTCATTCAGCGCATTGATGGAATAATTTGAGGGAAGGCCATCAATGGGCTCTTGAATGATCAAATATTAGGTTCCTCGAAGGCTTGAACGCTTTGCCTTTGCATTTATTATAAGACGTGTCAATAGGGTACATTGCATCGTCCAGCATGCTTGACTTCTTTTTCCCAACCAGCATAGTCTGTATGGTGCCCACGGTTGGTTGGGTCTTGCTTGGATCTGGCGAGTCCATCAAGGGTAGGATTTTGGCAGCCTTTACTGCAGCTTGTCTGCAGACGCACCTTGCTTCTGGCAGGAAAAGCGTGTAATAATAATAATAATAATAATAATTGTCTGTATGCCGACATTGAGAGAAGTCTTGACGAATCCATTTCATTCGAAGAGGTCCAAGTAGGCAATGCAAATTGCTAAAAGGGGAACGCTACAAATGAAAATGTGTTTAAGATGAAAATTGAAAATACGCACAATCATAGGCCTAGGGCGTGCAAGATGTGTGTGCTTGTTTCTATAACTTACGTGCTGATTCCCACGGGCTTGGGCCACCACCTTGCCAATTGTTGTGGGGCAAACAAGGCTGCACTCGCTGCGAATATTGCATACAAAATAAATTTTCGATCGGATCGTTGGTCTTGCTGGTCACGTGGTGTCGTAGTGCGTAAAGGAAATTGTACTATTCATCACGAGTCATAAGAGAGCATCATGCATATGTGTGCTTCACCAATAGCTTTATAAAATCATTCTAATGCACATTTGTCGAGTGGCCTATTAGTAAACAGAATCTTGCGCTACGCTATTTCAAGACTTCCTCTAGAGATCTCTAGACTATTGACTTTTCACTGTAGAATCCTGCAACAAGAATGTTCCCCTGTTTCACTTCATACCCAACGCGTTACACCTGAGATTCGTGGGTATCGATACTGTGACAGCCTGTTTAGCCGCTGAGCGCGCTGTTTAGCCACCAATTTGCGTGCTTATACCTGAACAATTCTGTCTTGTCGGGGTTCCAGAAAATCTATATAGATTGATTATCTTAATCACTTCCTCTTAGAATCTGCTGCCAACCTGGCTAGCTATTAGGCGCCTCCCAATAGTGCGCCACCAGCTGGCACCAGATGGAAAAAAATCCATTTGGCAGCACAAACTGCTAGCTTTATTTTAAATTTGGTAGCGAAGTAATCTCCCGGAGAGCTAGAAGACCACTGATCATCCAGAAGGACAGTAGGCTCAAGCTCATTCTCCACCGGAAGATCATTGCTTGAAATGAGCTCATCCCCACAGTCATGGATTGGCTGTACACCGCATTTCGAGCCTGCACGAATGTCGACTTTAATGCATATTGACTGACAAATCCGGATCCTTCCGTAACAACTCTGTGGAGTGCGAACTTTTGGAAAGAGTATGTTGTGCATGACATATAAGCATGTCACATAACATGGCGGTTACTCACTTTGCTTTAGCATGCAGATCAAATATATGCCAGTTTTGGAAACTTGTTGTTGATGATAAGATCATCAGCTAGCTGCAGCTGAAAAAACATGCAATCCGGCCATACATTCTAGTAATACAGATGACACATACCTCCATTCCCTTATTGAGGCTTGAATGCCAGCTTTCTGTCTGAAACCAGGTCGATGCGTGGCTGTCTTCTGAGGCAGCCTCTCCATCCTTGGTTGGTAATCCGGTAAATTTCATTGTCTGTCGGAAAGCCTGCATGCAAACGAAGTATAAGTCAGGACACGGCAATCTACAAGAATCACAAGGGATCTGCCTTACCCCCCCAGTCAGGTACCCTGAAGACATTAATGTACTTTGCATAGTCCCCACAAAGAGTAACGAGTCTAAGTGTACACTGCCGGCTGCATTTTTAGCAAGAATAGCTCTCCTCATTTAACCAGCATCAGGATCGCACCTCAAATTTGCCAGAATGAAAGCATTTGATACCGTGGAAGAACATGTCAAGTTGCTTCTTGGGACCGTGCGGTACGAATGCATAGACAAAGTCGCTCGCAGTCCCAATCCTTGCACTGGGTCCGAGGAAAGCGTAGCTGTAGATATCATCGTAACCTGTGCATCATAGTTCTTGTGAGCAGGATGCCTGGACATCGTTTACGTTATCTCCCTCCAGTAGTCCAGTACTTCCTCCTTTCTTTTCGAGATGGATCAGTGTAAAATCTTGACAAACTGGTGATCTTACTCAAGAGCCAGCAATCATGCCACTAGGTCCCAAAGAAATGTATGAAGTCCTCGGTAGCAACTTTTGATACTGATACTGTGTGCCAGGGTAGCTGACTTTACCTGTTTTTACGCCTTCAAGGAATTTTGGTCGCTTTGTGAATTTGCATCCAGCTGCAACAATGATGATGTCCGCGCTCACATTCTGGCCACTCCTCAACAAGATACCGTTCTCAGTGAAGGATTCGGCACTGTCCAGCAAGAAGGACACTTTCCCCTTTTTGGAAAGGTTGAAGAATGCATCGTTGCATTGACCTGCAAATGACACACCCATGATCAATAATCAATCCGCTCATGAACAATGTTGAAAGGGCTGTATATGGTTTCTGTCCGGAAGCTTCCAGCTCTGTAAGGTTTGTATTGTATGATACTCTAGAGCTCTATCGTGCCACGGTGGAAGCTACTGCTTGCCAACATCACAGAATGTTCCTGACTTGAAAAGATCATACTTTTCACAGGGCAATGGCACTGTCACAAGGATTCGTACCTGTGTAGTCCATGTCAGACCCAGCTGGAATCATGTGCTGGAGGCCACTTGCGCTGTAGAACTTTGAGGAGAGGTAGTTCTTCAGGAGGGCCATCTTCCACGTCCAGGGCACTATCGGCGCGTAGGAAACAAAGGTTGTGGTAAATTGTCTCGAGAATGGCAGCACCCATCTGCGCAACACAACAGACAAATGAGACACATTCTCCATTTGAAACTTTGGGTGGCTTCTGGGTAAGTTTGAATCATTCACAGCTAGACCTGAAGCTAGCTTTGGAGCTTTATCTTGAGCCACTCCAAAGAGCCCTCCAATGTCAGCACATTCGTCAATACTGTTCAGCGTTTCAGGGTTCAGTGAGAGTAGCGAGTTGAGTTGAGTTGTAGTAAGCTGAGCAAAGAGTACTTTGGGATGACGAGGACAATCTGATCTGCAGCAGGGTTTATCACCTTTTGCGTGGTCTGGAAATCAGGTAGACGTGCTCAGCGCCATTCCGGTGCGCTGCCTCCATGGCCTCACAGGCAAACGCGCCAGTCCCAAGTATGGCCACAAACTGCCAACGCAGGGCAGCCACTGTCAGAATCCCATCTGTCCTATAGCAGTGCCATCTTTGAAGATTGCATCTAAGACTTTTAGATTCAAAATTTGATAGTTCTTGAAGGCTTCTTTGAAATCACTGCTAGTTACATTTGTGCTGCATGTCTGGAAGGATTCTGCTCGGCAGGAGAGAGCACTCCAATGCATTTTTGAAGGGACTTCAGTGCCGCATTCTGTGGCAACTGACTGCCAGTGTTAGGCAGTTGCCAAGTGCCAAGTAAAGCGGCTATGCTGATTGAGGTAGCAAGTACTTTAATATTCACCTTGCCATGTGCGTCTTCGCTGCCAATGGGACAGTCATGGCGTTCATGCCTGCCCGCCAGGCTGACGCTGCCCTTGAAGGCACCAATGTTCTTAATGTTGCGCTCTTTCAGGGAGAACTGCTCTCCCAAGATCCCTGTTGTCACCATCAGAAATGTAGCAGTAATGGTGTGACTCTGGCCGGATCTCCTGTCTTTGTATAGGACCTCATACCTGCAGGTGTGTGAAACAAAAGCATCAGCCAGGCTGTTCGATTGATTTTCAAGTGCCGGTGCACAATTTTATCGGGTCACAGGGCAAGAACAAGCTGATGTAGTGTGAATCCTCTTCAAAGCCAGTGCGATCTTCTGAGAGGAGTTAAAAGGTCCTTGTCCGAAGGTAGACTCGCACCGGTCCTCTCCTTCATTGAAGTGGGTACTGACGACCTCACAGCCGAAGGATGCATTGTTGTACAGGCCGAAATCCTTTGCAAACTGCTGGATCTTTTCCAGAACAACTCCTGAAGAAAGCTTCGATAGTGGATTGGAACCCAGCGGGTACTTCTCGTGCCATCGATACATAGCTTCGAATGCCTGCAAGCAGACATCAACGCCAATTGATTACTCTCAATGAGTTAGGGATCCCTTGTTTACCACCCCGCTATCCGAACAAAAAGGGCGCACTCAGTCCTTTCCAATCATGATCTACTGTGAATCACCTGCAAATGGCTGTGTTTATTGGCCAGCGTGCCCCAGACGCCTCCAAAATCACTCTCCCTCTCAATTATAGTGTAGGATAGGCCCTCCTGGAAGCACCGATGCCCGGCAAGAACGCCACACAGTCCGCCGCCGAGGACGGCGACGTCCACATGCTGTTGCTTAGATGCCATAATACGAATCAAAAATTATACTTATATGGTGTGAAAGACACTCAGAGGCCCATCTATGACTATCTGTCTATTTTTGGGCTGGCGAGCGGTTCGTATTCTAGGGTTTGCCCGTGGAGGGGCTTTGAGGGCCGTTGGCGTTGGGTTCAACGATCTCATTCTCTAGACCACCAAATTCTCCCTAACTAAGACTAGAGAGCTGGAAACACTAAGTTTAACATCATGTCTGGAGGCGAGCGGAAGCTCGTGATAAGAACGACTGATATGTCCGACGATATGCAGCAGGATGCCGTTGACTGTGCCTTGCAAGTGAGTCCATCACATGCACTATGGCACCATCGGAAGCATGTGCGACTTCAAATGTTATTCTGATTCGTAGATGTTTAGGATGAAAACCTCTGTGCCGATCCTGTCGCAGGCTCTGGATGAATGCACGCTGGAGAAAGATATCGCCGAGAGAGTAAAGAAAGACTTCGACAAGAAGCACGGCCCTTCTTGGCACTGCATCGTGGGGAGAAACTTTGGTAGTGATCTTATTTCGTTTGGAAAGAACATCCAATACAAGCTGTGCATTGTTCTTACTGCAGACTGCCTGGCAAGACCACCACCTTCCTGATCAATATTGACGATGCTGTGCTGTATGGCAGGATCGTTTGTTACGCATGAAGCAAAGCACTTCTCTTATTATTACGTTGGTGAGCAAGATCTTTGATCCTGTCTGCAACAAGGTTATCATGTGGCATTCACTCTGCAGCTGTGTATCAACTTCTAGTCCAGCATTTGAGAGAGTAACGCAGGGTGCTTTCACTGCAGGGCACACTGCTTTCTTGCTCTTTAAATCAGGATAGACGGATGCCTGCACGCTTGTGGGGGCTGTGAAGAAGTCACACAGGGAGAACCAAAAGTAATCAGTGTCACATGTGTACAGATAACTGTAGATCCTGTGTGTTGCTATTCTTGAAGTTCGGGTCTGATATCTGAGAAACAGCGGCAAGACTGCATTTTGTGATCACTGTTGCAAAATTGACTTTTCTTACATGTGCCCTACATTGGGCTGCATCTTTACCGCCACTGGATGCATCATGACTCATCAAATGTGAAATGTCAGGAACATGACAGCTGCGGGCGTGTAGAGCCTGCAGGCTTCGAACATTGCTAGTAATACCTGTGCACCTTGGTTGAACCTGCCAGACTATGTATGAGGCTGACAAGCACGGCCACTGTGTCATGGAATATCGATATCCCCCGTGGGATGTAATGGATTGTGACATCAGGTGTAGTCAGCTTGATGCATATTCCATTGCCAGCACTGTGTAGCCTCAGAACAGTAAAAGATCTGTCAAACTTGCACTGCCAGCCTGCCAGCCTGCCAGTGGCTCTGAGAGCTAAGAATCCTTCACAGTGTCCGCACTTGATCGATCTGCTCCTTCATGAACCAAATTTTGTGCATTTCAGGCGAACAATGTTCCTTGAAGCAGTATCATGACGAGGATTCCTTGAGTGCTGTACAGCGTGCCTATTGAATCCGGCTCGGATTCTGTCGATTCTGTCTACATCGTTCAATGTTGCAGCATGCGGGAATGCATGCTGATTGCACTGGATTAAGCACTAGGAAGCTGGCCTACTAGGCTAGATATCCATCTCTTGCAAGGGCCTCTATGCACATCCACTCACTGACTATTGTGCGCTGGTCACTGACCTACTGACAGTGACTCACGGACTGGAAAAATGCCATTCCACTGTGCCGCGCTACTTCATAAGTGGCCACTGGCAGTCAAACGCGGCTCCGAGGCGCATTCAAACTCAGCATGCTGTGCCCGCAACTTGCCGAGCCAATCCAGCATGCTCTTGTAGATCTAGTACACATGCGCTAAGTGGCGCAGATGTACTAACAATGAGGCCTCATTTTGTACGGCATTTTGCATGCAGCAAAGTATCGAATCGCCATCGTAGACCGCTTTCTGCTCCCTTCCTCTCAACCCTACATTCCAGCAGGAGATGAAGCAACGTGATAGTGTTGACGAGCATTGACTTGGGGTATCAGCCACATCTAAGGCGGCTGAAATTGCAGCGTGATGGCGTTCAGAGCGCTGCTGAACCGCAGTTTGACGGGCAACAGGGGAGGATCGCTTCTTAGGTTGGGTTCTCAGACCTTGCAACGAAGCAGAGGTTTCGCCAGTGGAGAGCAGAAGGTGAGTTTGGAGGTTTGCAGCAGTAAATTTGTGTTCGCGATGCACAAAAGCCGGATGGCATTGTTAGATCCCTCCTTGAATGACTCCCAACCTCGAAGGATGGCGTCAAGAATAGCTCCTTGCATGATAAGCACGATCTATACGAGTAGTCATATATTTTCATCAAGCGATCAGCTGCCTTGCTGTTGATCAATGCAGGACGGTAGACACCAAAGGATATGTAATCTATGTTGCCCACCAGAGAGGCTCTCCACGTGCTTTCTGTGGCATCTGCGAGCTAAATTGTGTGCTTTACTGTCCTTGCTCTACTTCTTGCAGGACCTTGTCATCATCGGCGGTGGTCCTGGAGGTTATGTTGCAGCCATCAAAGCAGGCCAGATGGGCTTCAAGGTGGCTTGTGTGGAGGGCCGTGGCAGACTAGGAGGCACCTGCCTCAACGTCGGCTGCATCCCTTCAAAGGTGTCCTCTCCACACTCGCCACCTGCTTACAACCATATTTTTTATGTCTCCCAAAGCAGTCAAGGTCCCCTTTGCCCCTTGGTTTTTTGAGTCTGTTTTTGGAGTCTGATGAAGACCTGAATAATGCAGATGAGCCTGCTCTTATGTCAATAAATGAGACTGAGGCTTGTCATTGGACCCCAGGCGCTGTTGGCATCGAGCCACCTGATGCACGAGATCCAGAAGAATGCCGAGCACCATGGCATCATTGTGGACGGCGCTCGCCTCGACATCGACAAGATGATGGCCCAGAAGGACAACGCCGTGTCCGGCCTCACAAAGGGGATTGAGGGCCTCTTCAAGAAGTACAAGGTGGGTGGTGCTCATGCACTTGCCTTGGGCAATGCTGACTTATCAGTTGCGTTTGCGTCAAGCCCTGTCTTCACTTGTACATACAATAGCACCTAAAGTCCTCATAAGTCTGTTGGATGATGAATCTGTGAGTCCACTTTGTTTGGCAGCGGACAAGGTGCACAGAGCAAGCAGGGGGAACGCCAGTAGTAGGTTTCAGGATCACCAGTTTCCATCTGCAAGAGCATTGTCCCATTTCAAGGCATGCATGCTTATGTGTGAGTCCCCATGCCGGGCCCCCCGCGCAGCATTGCAGCACTGCCTGGGACATCCTAGACAGCAAACAGGCGGGCCTGATGCTGCTGTTATTAGGAGTCAATCCTCAGGCAGTGGTGAGAACAAACATTGCAATTATGCCGCCCCAGACACACACGCAACGAGGCTATTCTGTAAGGGGTGAGCGTGTATTTCCCCTGAACTGCTGCTTGCTTGCGAGGGCATCGATGGGGCAGCCTTGGAGGCCCGCGGGAGGTTGTCTCTAGGGACACCACTTAATCTCCGGAGGATCCCATCTGGTTAACCTGGCGTGTGGCATGCATGCGTGCAGGTGGAGTATGTGAAGGGGTGGGGCAAGCTGGCGGGCAAGGGACAGGTGGAGGTGGCCCTGCTGGACGGGAGCAGCGCCACGCTAGACACCAAGGACATCATCCTCGCCACCGGCTCAGAAGTATCCCCGCTGCCGGGCCTCACCATCGACGAGGACAGGTGCGCGCACGCGACACAGCGCTGCCTTGCTCTTCTGCAGACTGCAAACAATGTTGTCCTGGATTGTCCATGCTAATGATGTTTGCTGCCCGCCCACATGTTGAATGGTGGGAATTGTGTGAGCTGCTGAGGTTCAGTGGGTTTAAAACGAATAGCGGTCCTCAGATCCCTGCAAGTTGGGCCGCGAATCAAATTTATCCAGCCAGTGCCATGTCTGTGATGCCGGTCTTAGCCACTTGTTGGACTTGCTTGGCAGTGGCATGGCGACGTCACTGCACCATACATGCTCCTAGCAGGGTCATGTGTAGTACTTCACATAGTGAAGGCTGCCGGCCTGCGACAGACATTGCATTGGAAGCACACCTGACCATTGGACCGGGCTCTAACTGAGCATGTGTGTCCTTTGTGTCCAGGATTGTGTCGAGCACGGGCGCTCTGTCGCTCAAGGAGGTGCCCAAGCGGCTGGTGGTCATCGGCGGCGGCTACATCGGCCTCGAAATGGGCTCAGTCTGGGAGCGCCTCGGCTCAGAAGTTACAGTGGTTGAATTCGGGCCTGCCATCGTCCCCACCATGGTGTGCCGCACCCCACACCCTTTCTCCCTTTATTTTCTTGTGCAGACTCAGTAATGACTTGCGTTCTACTGTTAGATGTAAAGCCCGTGGGCTTCATCTCAATGCACAACAAGACATTACTACAGCTAATTTTGTCAGGGGCTACTGAGCATATGGTGGCACCTAAAAAAACAGTCTCTGATTCTGCCAACTCCTCTGGCCGTATTGGTTTTTGCAGCAGTGTCGCACTGATTGGCGGGCTGAAAGTTGGTATCCATTATTTCTTCTCTTCTGTGCAAATTTACATAAGCATGCTGAGGGATTGGATGGGGCCAACAATTGCAGGACGGGGAGATTCGGAAGGCGTTTGAGCGCAGCTTGAAGAAGCAGGGCTTCAAGTTCAAGCTCAACACAAAGGTGAGGGCCTTGTCTGCCCTCTGCAGGGCATGCAGATATTGCAATGCAATCAGTGAAGTTTTTGTGATCACTAGCAGAGAAGAAGGCCAAAGTCTGTCTTACTGTGCGGTGCAGGTGACAGGGGCGACTGTGGAGGGTGAGACAGTGAAGCTGACGGTGGAGCCGGCCAAGGGCGGCGAGACAGAGACCATAGAGGCGGACGTCGTCCTCGTGTCTGCAGGTGCGGTCCCCCATGCCAAGCACCTGAGTAATTAGCGCCCCTCTCTATGCTGTGTGTGTGCCACTGAAAACTTGTGGGCTGTTGTTGTACATCCCTGATGTGAGTCTCACCACCTTGCCAGCCAGCCTGGGTTGTGCAGAGGCCATCTGCTGTGCTCTTTTCAAGCAGAGACGAAGCGGCAAGAGCTGTCATCAAACAAATTTTGCCAAATTGCGCTGGGAGAATACGACGTTGCTGTGCTTGATGTTGCCATGACCTATGAGCAGCAAGGGTGCCATATGGGGTGGTGTCAAGGTGGGGTTGTGCCGCTGAATGGATTGGCATATATATAGGATGTCACATTCATATGACATAAACCTAAAATTGGGTATCATAAAATAAATATTCATGCTCCGAGCGGCAAGACATTAACTCCGGGGGTGTATTATAATGCACCAGGACGGCGGCCGTACTATGAGGGCCTGGGCCTGGAGAGCGTGGGAGTGGAGCTGGACAGCCGGGGCCGCATCCAGGTGGACAATCGCTTCAAGACGACTGCCGACAACGTCTATGCCATCGGCGACGTCATCGACGGACCCATGCTCGCCCACAAGGTGCGCGGCTCAGCAATCTGGCTTAGCCGCCACTGCCACAAATCCTCATCTGCGACCGACGTTTCAGGAGTCGGGCAAGGTTTCGGGGCTTAGTGTATTACATATTCATCTGACAACGGCATTATGGATTTCACCATGTTGCCTTTGCTACCACTCTGTCATCTGGATGGCCGCGTGGTGGTTGGAAGATGGCCTGCGCAGGTGCTATTTTAGTCTACTGATCGGTGCTGCTGTACGGAAGATTTGCAGGCTCCATATCTGGGGTGCTGCAAACACTGGTTGTCTTGATCAGAGGGCATGCAAGCTAGATGTCAGACTGGACCTTCACCCATATTTTTAGTCTGCCGCACATATTAATGTTAGGAGACACACAGCACCCTATCAGGTTGACCTTTCCCCGGAGAGTTGCTGCCCCATCTGCTGCAAGAAATTCCACTCAAATACGATGAAGGCAGCGCTAAAGCTGTGCTGCTGCAACATCAGGCTGAGGAGGATGGTGTGGCGTGCGTGGAGAACCTGGCGGGCAAGGCGGGGCACGTGAACTACAACACGGTGCCTTCCATCGTGTACACGCACCCCGAGGTGGCCTCCGTGGGCAAGACCGAGGAGCAGGTCAAGGCCGAGGGCCAGGAGTACAAGGTAAGGGGTGGCTCTCTACCTCTTGCCTAATGTGTGATCCACTGGACCCTAAGACGCCAGCTTGACCCGCTGGAACATGACAGCACTGTGTAGCTTTTCCTACACAGAAAGCAGGGATGCAGTGACAGGCCTGGCTCATTCGTAAGTTCTACAAATAGATGCTGGCAAGGATGTCACATTCATTGTCCGGCCTTCTGCGTAATGTGTTCAAGTAATCGCTTGCAAGGAGAGCATTTTGGCACTGTCTGGCTTTGTGCCTAGTGTATTGTACAACTAATCGCAGGCAAGGATCTCACTGGTTCAATATATGGCCCTCGGCGTAGCGTGTGGTATGAACAAGTGCTAGAAAGGCCCCTGCTGTCTCTCTCCTCTCTTGTCTGCCTAGTGGTGCCTGCAGCATTGTTGCTGTGAGCAAGCTTACTGGCTTCCTGGGGGCTGAGCTTCATCCATGAGGCACATGTAAGAGAGACTCGGTAGAGCCACTTTTGTTGTTGTACATGCACCGCCCTGTCAATGTGCAAGCCTGTCACAATAGGTCAAGCCTGTGCAACGACGACTTATAGCTCTGTTGCTGGTGCACTGCAGGTGGGCAAGTTTGCATTTGCGGCCAACAGCCGGGCGCGTTCGGTGGATGACACGGAGGGCATGGTCAAGTTCATCGCCGACAAGAAGACCGACAAAATCCTCGGCGCCCACATCATGGGGCCCAACGCAGGTATGGGGCTGCTCGCTTATGTCTCCTGTGCGGGGTGCACACTGTTCTGATGAAGTACTTCAGGAAACGACATGACAAGGTTTAGAGCTGGACCCTACAGCACCAGCTTGACCTGCTACACTCAACGATCTGGAAGCAAAAGACAGGATAGCGCAAAGACAGGGCCTGCTTGAACAACTGGATGAATCTGTAGGAGCACTGAGGCAGGCTGGAAGAGCTGCATTGCACCGCAGATAGTGTGCATCAAGATGACAGATACTCCTTGCCTAAGGAGGACTCCTGAGAAGCATACGTGGTCACATCGCATGCATAACAGTCTTCCTAGTTGATCAAATTCTCCGCATTGGCACATCGCACGCATGCCGTGCAGTTCATGAGCTTGTGCCCGGTCCTGCAGGTGAGCTTGTCTGGGAGTGCAGGTTTTGGTTGCCTTGCCTCCCTTGTTCTGGCACAAAGCCTGAGCAAGTACCCTGTCATTACGCTCACAAGCACATGCATTTGGTGCAGGCGAGCTGATCCACGAGTGTGTGGTGGCAATGGAGTATGGCGCATCGACGGAGGACATCGCGCGGTCGTGCCACGGGCACCCGACACTTTCGGAAGCCGTCAAGGAGGCCGCCATGGCCTGCTACGACAAACCCATCCACAGCTGATGCAGCAATATACACCCAATCCACACGCCCGTCGGTTCAATATGGTATCGATAGCAATCGCGGTCTTGCCGGTTTTGCGGTCACCAGTGATCAATTCCTGTTGCCCACGGCCGATCGGCACAAGAATCTGCACCTGCTTGCGATCGTTTGACACACCCCAAGGCCACACAGGGTTCGGCGTCCCGCGGCCGCTGAAGGGCTCAAGGTTCCCTCTCTGCTGTGTTCCATCCAGGAGCCGCAAAATCTAATAGTTCGAGGTCTGTGAGTTGGAATGTAGTATTGCTGCAAGGCCTCCTAAGGCAGGCATGTGAAGCAGAATCGAGAGAAGACAACCTAGAATTGCTGCTTGATCGCCTAGGATTCTGGGTTCTGTGTTGCAGCAAGGCCTCCTCGTTTCAGAGGCAGGTGTTACTGGGAGGGAATCTGTCAGTCTGGTGGTTCATGAGCACAGATTGTATGTCAGTTGCCAGAGCATGCAGTGGCCCTGTGGGCTCATCACAGGATTTCTAGAATTCCAGATGCTTTGTAACATGACAAGGTAACCCACAGTTGCAGCCCCCGCATATGCATCTGCACTGGCTTGCATTGGATCATGACTGCTGGGCTCAGCACTGACTTGTTCCAGGCAGATTCTTCAGTATATGCCTCTGGTCCTCAGTGACCAGATGACCTGTAGGTGGGGCACCTTCTTGAAGCATTCACAGCAATGATGTCTGATGGACAGGCCCAGCTCGGGCAAAGATATACTTTGGGACTCTGTCTCTCGCCTTTAAATCGTGAGAGGGAGTTGCCAGTTTGCCAGAGGCATGCAAGGACCTCCTAAGAGTTCTGACCATAAGCTAGATTACTATAGAATTATCTACCACTGCGGTGCACACCTGCCCAATTCTTGCCCGGTTACGACAGTCAGGACCATATGGGCATGCATGGGCAGACAATGCAGGGGCTTTGCTCCCTGATGGGGATTGCCCTCAGGCAGTGTGATGTAGCTTTGTTACACACGTTATTAAAACCTTTGTTGACTTAAGTTGAACTCTTGTCGGCTGGGGTGGGGCTATATCAAGCGCGGTGCGAGACTGCCAGCCAATGGCCATTCAAACCATCGAATTCTACAGATGTCTTGATTGTGATGATTTCAGCCTGTCTAAGCCAAAGTGCCCTGCCCACAATCTTTCTGAGAGCTCAAGAGTAGTCCCAGTCTTGAAATGGAAATGCTAGCAAGAGAGCAAACACAGTAATTTCAAAGATAGTATCTTACAGCTCAATCTCTCTGTCAAGTGCTACTCCCCTTTCCCATGTTCAGAATCCTTTCTGTCAAACACTCACATGTAAATCTATCTGTTCTATTGCCACAGTGTATTCAGCAATGTGCTGCCAGTGTTCAATACCGTACAAGTTTTGTCATGGGCATGGTTATCTGCCTCTGCTACAAGTACATCAACAGTGTGTGGGATGTACTGCAATAAATCCATCACCAAACACGATCCATGATATCCTGGAATGCATCATGCTTGCCATCTGCAGAACGGACATGCACCACACCTGCAATACTCATCAAAAGGTCGAGCAGGTTTGCGAGTTGCTCGCGGTGTAGCTAAGCTGTGGAAATCTTGTAAGACTTGTGGCCCCCAGACATGAACACAACTTGAAGGGGTCCAACTTACACCTCATTCTGCGATGCCTTGACATAGCTGCATCATATTGGCCTTGCAAACTATTGTATGTAAAGGAGAACGCTGGGCATCGATGATATCAAGAAAATTAACCAGGTCCTCAAAGGCAACATCGAGAGTTTCATAGGACATGAAACTTGTCACACGCCATAGCAAATCTTCTGCCGGAACTCTCATGCACAAGGATTCATAGCTCCGCAGGATCAGGCACTCGACCTGCAGAAAAGCTCCAAAGAGAGATATGGGGGAGCCTTTCAACCCAAAGCACTGCACACCCATTATGATGCTTTTGAGGCCACTCAGGCGCGCAAAATTGCTTGGCAGCTGGGACGCTTCATTGATGGTTTTTAATGAAATTATGGTGATTGATTGTAACGCAGAGGCAACGCCATTCCAAACATCATGCTGCGCAAGGTGAAGATCTCGCCTGTGCAGATGACATCTCTGTTTTAGGTTTCCAGAAATCTCCAGCATTTACCCCACCCTCAAGAAATTACAGGCGACCCAGCCTTGGGTTTTCCCGGAAAACGGCCTGCCCCTGGGATATCCTGGGTCTGCCGGTACAAGAAATTCCCAAGATTGCTCTTGTTCCTAGAAAATCCTGGGAGCGCCTGAAGTCCAGAAACGCCAGAAAAGTCTTGAATTCAAGAGTAGCTAAAAACTTTTGGTGCTAGAATTTTGTAGATTTACCCCACCCTCAAGAAATTACAGGCGACCCAGCCTTGGGATTTCCCGAAAAACCGCCTGTCCCTGGGATATCGGGGGTCTGCCAAAACAAGGAATTCCCAAAACTGCTCTTGTTCCTAGGAAATCCTAGAAGCCCCTGACCGCAAAAATTGCCGGGATGTGCTGCCGCTGAGCAATTTTGAGCATGGTCAGCCTGGGAATTCCTGGAAGTAAGCAACAAGACAGGACTTCTCATGCTTGAATGGCCCAAGATTTCCTGGTTCCCGTCGCCTGCTCGGAAAGTCGCAGTCGTAAGTCCACCCAGGAGGCTACAAAAAATCCGAAACAATTGAAATCTACTGGGGTTACGGCCCCGCCTCCGTCCGAAAGTCCTAAGGATGTGCCACAATAATACTTATCTTGATGTTTCGAAGCCAGAGCGTGTTCGTGACTCGAGGGATGTGCGAGATGCCGCGTATTCCGGGACTGCGCAAAACGTCCCGGCTGTATACCTCCTCACGCGGCATCCAGATCCTGCCATGAGTGTCGAAGAATCATCCTTCATCGTACTTCCGAGGCTAAAACCTCTCGAAGAGCCATGTTCCGGCGAGAATGCTTATTTTTTGGGTCAGATAACAATGTACATAAGCAAGTATAAATGCATTGTTGTCAAGACATTTAGGGTTAGACATGCAGGGTGACATTTGTACGAAGCTCGCAGTGCACGATGTTGTTCCCGTGAGCTAAGGCGGTTGCCAGTTCGATTCCTCGTTCTGCCTCTGTTTTTTCGTTCACTTTTTCATCTTTTTTTGCACAGTGGTGTGCTCGCAGCATGCAGTAGACAACTTCACATTTCCAGGAATTCCTGGAATCGTGTCGAGCCCAGGGATTCCCAGGAGAATACAGTCCTAGGATTTTGCAGAAATAGGAGAAAAGCCCGGGAATCTTCCAGGGCTGGGTTGCCCCAGGAAGTCCTGGCACCGAGAGGAACATTTGAGATTTTCTAGTGACGGTCGATTTCTCAGAAATCCGCGGGCTCCCAAAGCAGAGACGGATGCAGTGCTGCGCTTTGCGGCAGCGTCAGAGAGCCTGGCACAAGGTTTTTCAGCATCACACTCTGCAGCTGGCTGCAGCCAATCAACGCCAAGGACGGCAGGGTCCAGGCAGTATATACTAATTTCAAGGAAGGGGGTCTGTAAATTTTTGAGATTGCTGAGACATTGCGCAATCCTGCAAAATCTCCCGCGCTGCGATAGCTGCAGGTGCTTGAGGTTTGCCAGGCATGACAACCAGCGCAGCTCATCAATGCGCAGTGAAAGGAGATCAAGATCTTTTCCACAGCCCAGCAGCCAGGCAAGAGCACTGTGGAAGCTGACAGGGTCTCCATCAGTGCGTTGTTCCCATACATTTGATGTGTACATGATGCTGAGAGTCTTGAGCCTCTCCCAGTTGCTGTCTGCCCGCAGCAGAGCGGTACCAATGTCAATTTCCTGGGCTTCTGTGAGCACCCCAACATCCAGCGTGCGCGCCTGCATGGCCCTCTGCAGGACCCATGCAGCTCCTATGAAAAAATTGTCACTTGAGTCCGCATTCTCGAAACGCTACTTTATGATTGCAATCATGATCACATACATCCTTTCCGGCATGAAGCACTGGTGGCACTCTTTAGTGCGCCTGATGACAGACTGAGTCACTGTATATAAAGTGCACATGCAAGGTCCCAGGAATGACATGCGTGAGCAGCTTCTCACTTGGGACACAGGTTGAAGAGATGCCATGGAGAGGTGCCTAATAAGGGGATAGACATTGAGCCATGCTCAACAGAGCAGAGACCCACCTCCAGGTTTCAAATAAAGTCACAGGTCAGGTGGATGTCGCTGCCAGGTAGTCTTGTTGATGCCAGACACTTGGGCCCATTCACGCATGCTCACGTGGCCAGCAATGAGCCGCCACACCTCTGGGGGAAGCATGTTGCAACGCTGGATATCCACCGATGTGCCTTGTGTTCCTGCAAAGCAATGGAAGCCGAACCATACATGACGCTGTCGAGAGAGCTTGCTATGCCAACACACAGCGAAGCCTGTAAGAATTGAGCGGATAAGAAGCGCTTTTGCGTAGCTTGTGCACCTAACGACTGCCATCAAGGTTACTCAAGCTCAGCGCAATTTTTATCGACGTCAGAGCCTCAGATCCTTCGGAAGTGCAGATACGTGGACACACATCGAGCACCTGCTTTCACTTCTGCCACTCACGGCCATTGCAAATGAAACATATCCGTCCTCATTGAGCTTGCAAAGGACATGGGCACGCCGAGTTTTGAGCTTAAAACGAAGAAAATCAACGTGCGGGTGCGCAGTGAATATACTACCTGTCTCGACCTTTTTAAAGGTCTTGCTTCGTCGGAATCTCATTTGCGGCTAAGAACTTTGAGACAAAGGCGGCGTGAATTATATCTTGTCTTCTTCAAGCTTCGTTCCAACAACAAACCTTGGACTTCGAGGCAAGCCAAATTAGGGAGGACTACTGGTTGTTGATGTCACCTTCAGCTGAGCGCTCTAAATGCAGTTGCGCATAATTGCCATACATCTCCTGCTGGATTAGTACCATTTGGAAGTATTAAAGTTCTCTCTGTGGATCTGGTAAATTGCATTTTCTATTTAGCTGAGCTTAGGAAGCTTCTGCGGCACTACTCGAGTCTGATCATGATTATTAAAGTGAATTATTATTGCGCAACACGGTTACGCACAATCTCTTGAGGGAGGCCCACCTGCATCACATCTGTGCAGCGCAAAGCAACACCAAGCCAACTGCCCCTTTGCAACCCTAGGGCCTTCTGTAGCAGACTATGCTTCCACACCGCCCACTCCGAGCCTGCAGCACTAGTAGAATACTCTCCATTGCACCAGCACAAGCATACAGCGCAACCAAGGCGAATTAGCACCTGATGAGGGATGCCATTTACTAAACTACACATTTACACATAGTATGTGATGTACCAATATTGTGGTGGGTGTGCTTGGGCTGCAGTCCCTGCAGGGGGGCGGGGCGTGGGCGCGGGGTCAGCCGAAATGGGGCACCCCCAGAGCGTGCTGGCCAGCGGAGGCAGCGCAGAGCTGTGCAGGTACCGGTCCAACAGAGGCCGCGCCGGGCCCAACGGCCTCAATTCTGGAGGCCACGCCGGCCACCACATGATGTGACATACTGCTGGCACCAGTCGCAGCGCTATTTTCTAGATCCTCCTGCTGCAGGAGAATATTGTTGTATTTCACTGGACTGCTATGATGACTCCACTTCGACTTTACGTGTCTTACATGGAAGCTTGGAGCAGGGGTTTCTGTATCTAAGTAAGTTAGTTTAGAGTCCCCTGAGGCCCCTGGAGGAAGGGTGCATGATGAAGCGTTCCTACTTTTGTCCTCCTTCATCGAACGTCGGATCTATCACCTCATGCCTGGAAGCGACACCTTGGGACAAAAATGTTCAAATCTCAATTGATTGTTCTACGCAGCACTAAAACAGCTAGGGACATCGTCCACTCCGCCTGGTCTTCGGCGGAGTGAACTCGAGAACTTCTCGTTGAACGCTTGGACATCTGCGACTTTCTCGTCGGGCAGCTGGGTACGAAGCGTGACTTACACTTTGAGGCACTACCTGTAGTCGCCCTGAAATTGAAAGAAATCACTGTCAAGGGTGACGAAACCCATTGGGAAAGTGGGCCACTGTGAAGACGTCTGGTGCGTTCCAAGGTTGTCGGCTCGCCTAGGAAGCTTTCCCTTGATAAATGTGTCTTACAACTGCTGTCTCGGGCATGACGTGCAGGGCAGCAAGTAGCAAAGTCGATGATGCCTGGCAGCAATTCGCAAATAGCAATCAGCATCTTTGAGAGGGACACCACCACGGTATGTCGTCTTGACTCAAGTGCAGAGCAAGTTGCAAGTTGCCACTTCTAAGCGCAAGTACTACTGATGTATGCGTTGGCGTTCACGATCACCCGGTTCCCCTTTCAACACATGTGGTAAATATTACGAGTGTTCCAAGTCTTTGGTAAATTTTGACAGACACACCGCGGACACCCGTCACGGCGTGTCACCCCCGTGTCCACCCCCTCTCATTCCGCTTTCCACCCATGATGAGGGCCTCATCATGAGGCCCGCAAAAGAAGTTGCCTTTTCTTCGGAAGGCACTTAACAATACTATTAGAGTGAAAATCCGGAACTCAAGATCTAGACAAAACAATCAACATGTGCCTGTTACAAGGCAAGCAATTCAAAGAGACATTGCGTCATACCTTGTCAAGTTTCCCTTGCTTGAAGAGGACAGCCAGTATGTTCCAGAACCACACTCTCTGGGTGATGGGCGCTGGTACTAGTCCTTCCCGAAACAAGTTCAGTCCATTGTAAAGAGCCTCCTCTGCCTCTTCCAACCTGTGATCATGCCCACACCAAAGTCAAATTTTGAAGTATAATAATTTATCTCATGAGAACCCTTGTAGGAGGATGATAAGAATCTTGGGGATTGAAATGCATTTGCTGATGCGAGGCTTCCTTGGCGCTCATGCATGCTTATGCCGCCAGCTCTGACCAGGGCCCACTGCCCGGGGCATCATAAAATTCCTCATCGAGCGATCATTTGCTTCTAAGTCAGTGCTTGACGTACCTAGTCCTTAAGGACTGGAACACGTGTAATAAAAGTAATGAAGAGTCAGTGCTGTCCTCAGGTATTGCACACCCTTGATTCATGATCATGTCTAAGATGCGCTTTGCTCATCCCATGACAGATAAAATCTGAAGATTTATGTCTGCGCAACATTTGCGCACCTGTTTTCATTATCTGCAAGCGCATCTGCCCGGTTCCGCAGACAATCCAACAGCAGTTCCCAATCTGTGTCCCCAGCTTTATAGAAAAGTTCCACGGCCTGCTTGTAAGCATCGGCAGATCCTCCTCCCTCTCAGCCTCTTTAAGTGCCCACCCCATTTCTTGGTAGGACTCACCAATGGCGTGATATGCCCACGCATTCTCTGCCTGTGTCAAGGCTTGCAGCACTCTCGCATCGTCCAAGACTGTGAGGCCTCTGCGCGCGTGTGCTATGGCCTCCTCATGTGCGCATTGACATGTCGTGATATGCGCAAGCTGATGATTGACAATGCAGTATTGAATTGAGTTCCAGAAAAGGAGCTCCATACCGTCCGTCGCCAAAGCATCCTGCACCCGCACCCCCAAAATGGGATCTTCCACAACACCATGATGTGGCAACGTTGTTAACTTCAACCATTTGTGCAAAAACATGAAAAAATTGGCTCCCAAAGATCTGCAAAGATAAGCTATTGGGGGTGCTCCATTGCAGGCGTGATAGCAGGTGCCCGACCAGTAGCTGCTGTGCTGCAAGCTGGCACATCTCGACGGCCTCTTGGGCGATGCGCAGGTCCTGGAAACACTCTATAACCAACATCCGAACTTTCTCGGCGTTGTAGCTGCTGCAGCCAGCCACAATGCCATCGCGCAAGTCCCTGACCAGCTCTGTTGCAATCACCTCCTCTTTTCGGCCCTGCACACAAGCACAGTACACCACTCGGTGCTTGGTAGCACAGAAGAGAATGCACTGAAAGCTGCAAAGAAGTAGGCTCTCCACAACTTGTTGCCAGGCCTTGAAGGACCCTGAATAAACTACCATCAGTGTCTGACACTACCTCCAACAGAATTTCAGGGCTGCTCAGACAGCACTTTCCAAAGCCTCCAGGCAATCCCAGAAATTTCCGATCTGCCCAGGAATTCTGATTAGATATTTTGCAGATGATTCTGGGCGGACCAGAAACCTGTTCCAGAACAAGGAAGCATAAACCAACTTCCCAAGGGGAATTCCTGAGACTGGTTACCATGAGTACCATGAGGTCTTAGAGAGATTTACCTGTCTGTAGAGGTCATACAAGAGGTCAACTTTTGCTTCCCACGCCAACATGGGCAGTGCAGGGTGGGGAACCTCCTCCCATGTCTTCAGTGCAAAATGTAATGCTCTTCGGCCTCCGCTTCCCTGCTCAGCCACACCTTGATATTATTATCATTACAAGGCAGGGTGCGTCTGCAGACAAGCTGCATGTAAAGGCTGCCAATACCCTACCCCTTGATGGGGTCGCCAGACCCAAGCAAGACCCAATCAACCGTGGGCTCGGTGCTCAGTATTCGTACGGCCCCCCGCCAGCCGGGGCCAAATTCTTATTGATATCAAAGCCAAATCGTACATGATCATAATCTGTAACAGACTTTCAACGGTGTTTAGCTATTTTGCATGCAGGAGTGGGCTTGCCGTGTATCGCTTCTTTGCAAAGCCTGTCCAAGCCGGGTGTGAGCGTGAGCCAAGCTGTCTTTGGCTTTCTGCTGTACCACCAGGGTTGTGGTTGAAGCCTTGGCTTCATCGGCAGCACATGGAATGGCGTCCAATAGCACCTGGACACAATCAACCTTTTGAAAGCCTCAAACAGCGCACATCGTCGAGGGATGCTTGATTGTAGTGTAAGTGCGTAAGACAGGTGCAGCACTAGTGTTTAATGAGCCTTGAGCAATAGCAGCGCATGCACGGCATGTGGATTCAAAGGGGAACGCAACTTGAAGATTTGTCTTGACAGTTGAGCATGGGGCTAAGAAGCAACTTCTACACGTTGTTGTTGTCATAGGAATTAATGTGTGTATGGTACACAGCTTCACCTGTATGCAATCATCATTTCTGTCCGAGTGAAAGAGAATGCTGGCCATCTCCATCCAGCAGGAATACAACGCTCCCCAATTCTCTGGTGCACTTTTCAGTTGTTCACATACGCCCTCAAGGACCTGCAAGGTACGCAGAATACACTCAGAATTCAAATTTAAACATCATCATGCTACGTGCTGCAGTGCCCCAGAGCCTGCGCGGAGGCCGCTTGTCCCTCTTTACTGCTATGTACACGTGATTGACAACATCCATGTGTATGCCACGACGTTATAGACTCTGCATGCAACAAATTCCTTGATGTTGAAGCAACAAAAATTGCTGGCCCAGACCTGCAGGGCCTCGGAGGTCTTGTCCTGCTTGCCCAGCGAGCGTGAGAGCCCCGCCTGCATCACAATATCACATTCAATGCAAAAAGTAGACGTCAAATGCTCTGGAGTCACAGTATGTCAGTGATCAATGGACAGATCTACAGACAAGCTCTCTTGATGCCCAGCTAGAGTTGCGCAAAATCGCAATGCACTAATTGTAAGTTGATGACATTTACACTGACCAGACACTTACATCGCTCTATTTCCTTAAGGGATCTGTGAGAGTTATGTTGTTTGAAGCTCCCCAGCCAGGGTTCCTATTGCTCAATATGAGTATTAGCAGGCTACATCTAAATAACCCCAATTTGGTCGGCAGGACATAACAATGGGCAAAGTAAGAAGAGTCACGTCTCACATGTATCTCTGCGACGGTGCTGGGCTCTAAGGTTGGCTCTTGCTGAGATTCTGCTAGCGCCTCCCTTAGCAGCTGCTCTGCTTCTGCAGCATCCTGCGGCCGCATCTGCCGAAAACGAGGCGCCAGTATTGCTTCAGCCAGGATCTGTTTATAGATCGCAGCCGCCACGCTCCTCGCTGGTGTGTCACTTGCTTCAAAATCCTGCGGGGCGGCACTCAGTGGGCATGACTATCTGGAGATCTCAGATCTTCAAGGCTCGAGAAGACGATGCCAACCCAGAATATGTTTGATTGTGACAGGTATTATTTGAAGTTCATGAAGCTGACGAACAGTGGAGGTCTGCTGATCTCACCAGCAGAGCTGCCCTGCACAGCTGTTCTGCCTCGTAGCCTCTCTGCAGGCTGCACAGCACAGCTGCAAAATCGTGCAGCACTCTTGCGCGCATGACATCGTCTGGCGGCTGCATGCGCTCACAGGCTGCCCAGATGCGCCTCAGGAGCTTTTCTGCACCGCGCAGGTTGCTTGTCTCGACCATTTCAAATGCTGCTTCACGCTGACCGTCCAAAGAAGGCTGGCTGAACAAGACGCTGGCATCCTGCGTCTGCAGCTCATCCCAGACGTCTTGGCAAATTGAGGAGAGGCTCATTGAAGAGAAAAGCAGTGGTGTGCTGTTAAAATTCAGTGCGGCTCAACGGAGTTGCAAAGGTGTTTTCGAAGGAAGCAACACGACCTTCGGCAGCTGCCAGCGGGTGAGTTTTATCACAGATGTCTAACTTGAGAATCCTTCGTCGGACCGGTCGGCTCTGGTTCGTTGACAGTACTTTGGCACCAGCTTCTCAGCCTTGCCGTGTGCGGTCGAGATTTCGACAATACTAGTGGAGGCCGTCCCTGAAACGGCGCATCCCTGCTCCTCCCGAGGCCCTGGAGCCATACTTTCCTCAGGACCAGGAGGTAATCAACAAGACATCGAAGTATGGTTCAACAGTTTTCCCTATAAGAGATTTTGATAGCTTGGTGGGGTAACCTTGTTCCTGCTTCCGTCCATCCGCCTACATCCTTCGACTTTCCAAGGTCGGCAAACATTCATGCTAGTCATCAAGCTTTAGGACTTTTGAGATAACTTCAATTGGCTACCTACACCAGAGTGAATTTACGCAGAAGTTGTGCCAGCCTCAATAATTTCGTGGGTTCCAAGGTTATTCTGTGACGACGTGCAAGGTGCCCGTATATAATTGGGCGATCTATTCAATGTGTCAGAGCTTTCCACAGCAGTACCAACAGCCTGGTGTATCGACCGATCTAGTGAGAGAAGAGACTGGAGACATTTATCCCAAGCAGGCGTATCCGCAAAACAAGGTTTGCCAAAGGACACGTCCCAAGCACCTGCCTCATGGCTTCTTGACTTCAGGAAGCAATTTTAGAGAGCTTTGGGCAGTTTTATCCCTCTGAATCCTGGATTCAGGTGAGCCCTGTTCCTGCAGCATGCCAGAGATGCACCAGAGAATGCCTGGCTTGGAATTGGCTTAGTTTCAGTCACCAATAAATTGCATATTTACGCTGTGGCCACGGGGAGCAACTTGCTTATGCAATCATTGCAGCAACAAAGACACACCTTCGCACTCACACATCTGTATCTTCTTGCCTTAAGGCTGGATTGAGCACTAATTTTATGATACGGACCTAAGACATGACCGTGCTGCCAACTGCACAGCTGGCCTGCAGGTTTGTGCTGACGGACTCTGCTCAATAGGACACCCCTATTTCACAAGCGCGTTAGTTGGTAAGCTCTTATTCCGGAAATTACCGTCTTATTCACTAGAGCAGGCATTTTTTTGCGCAGCGAGAAGCAGCAAGAAGCAATGCTTCCCGCAGGCCAGAGCTCTCCAGTCAGGCAGCCACTGGAAATGCTCAACAGCAAATGATGCAGCTTTAGCCAGAAGCACAATTTTTGTGTATTGTCCAGCGTGCCAATTCTGGGAATGACGCTAAATAGCGCCAGCTCAGGCTACATCTGTGGAAGGATACCATGCAGTACTTCCTGCACGCGAGATTTCATCTTCAAGGTCACTCTTACACTCCCCATTGTGCGAGATCAGGCGACCCGATGGGCGCGCCGGATCAGGCAAGATCCAGACGCGCCAAATCAGGCGAGCTTCCCGCAGTGACTAATCGTCAGCATGCGCCAAGTCAGGCGGCCCTGAGGCGGTCAAGGGCTTGGACCATGCGGCGGCTCTCCTCCACGTAGCTGACCGGCTTGAGCGAGGCCACGCTCAGCCTCTGCCGCAGCTCCCCATTGTACTCCCTGCGCACATCCGCACACAACCTCCCTGAGCATTCCTGGGTATTCTTACTGCTGGGCACTGTCTCTGAGAAACAAAATCAGGATCAGCATCAGGTTCACCCACCGGAACAGCCTTTAGCTGCCTGTAATTGACCAACGGACTGCCCCTCACACTCCCACTGGAATTGATTTCTCACATGAGTCGGTCTGTCGGTTCCTGGTGTGTAGGCCAGCTCTGGAGCAATCTACAGATTATCGCCCATTGCCTAACTTACACAAGTTGACTTGCTCATACCATAGATGAAGCCTTAACTTTTTACAGACCTGTCTCTTCCAGACGGTTGGTGTCAGGTCAGCCTGGGATCCTGAATTTGAGGGTCCAGGGGGTATGAAATTAGGCAATGAGGTCAGGGGCTCACTGGGTGCGGGACTGCACTCGCAGGACCCATTCGGACCACTGGGCGCGCTTTAGGACTGCCTCGTAGGGGCCCGGGTTGGTCTCGTCCTCTTTGAGTGTCGCTATTTCATCCGCACTTATGCCCAGCAACGCCTCAGCCTGTGGTGTACAATCAGGCATCCAGTCTTTAGCGGCCCAAGTTTGCTTACCGGATCATCAGGAAGCATGCAGGGCACATGGAAGGACATGAAAGGAGCTCCTCAGCAGACGCCGCAGTGGCACAGATGTTGTTCACGCTGAGCTTCTTCCCTCAACGATTGCCCTAATTCAGTCCTGCAGAAGATTGAATTGAATGAGGCAGGCTTGTGAGAATATGTAGACCATATGGCGCCACATATAGTGCTCCTTGATAGGCACCGCATGTGCTTGCTGTTGGCGGGACTTGGCCTCACCCTAGCACAAGGTGAAGGCAGTTCTGCCTTGGTCCAGCATGGCTAAAATTTGGTGTAGAAGAAACATTGTTGCTGGCGCGAGAGCGCAGACAGGTGCGAAAAGGTGTAGGGCAGCACAGAAGCCCCCACCTGTTCGTTGAAGACGGAGAGGAGGCAGTCCCCTGAGGCGTCCACGCAATTGGCCAGCATCACGTAGCGCCGCACCATGGCCATGTAGGTCTGCTGGTCGTACTCGCAGAACCACCCCTCTCCCTGCTTCACCACCTGCCACACAGCAGCCCCACCCACACTCAAAACAACCCTAAACACGGCTGAAGTTACTCATCCTGCTGGAATGTGTGTATGTGTTCTGCAGCACTGATGAAGGCTGACGCCTGACTGGACAGGTGCTCTGAGGCGGCTGAGGCCACCTGGCCCACACATGCTCAATCACGCTATTTGTGCTGCGTAATGACTTTCCCTGGCAGGTGAATACGCTTCCTGCTCTGATCTGCCCTGAGATGCTGCTGCACCGCCACAACAAAAGCATTCCCCATGCCTGAAAGATTGTCCAGCACCAAGGAAGGCGCCCGGCCAGACATAGCCGCGGGCACCCGCCCACCCTGTGCCACATTATGTCGTGCCAGGAAGTTGCAGGCTCACAACCGTCCTGTTGAATGACAGCGAGCACTTAGTGAGTCGCTGTCAATTGTCAGGGTGGATTGCAGCAGTTCAGGCCCACCCACCTTGCGGTTGTTGTCGGGGCAGGCCTCGTAGTAGAGGGATTGCTGGGAGTCGATGTTGGCCACGGTCGCGATGACTGTGTGGTACTGTGGCTTGGCGTCCGCGGGTGGCAGCTCCTCCTTCCCCACCCGCAGCTGCGCAAACGTCTGCAGCTCCGCAGCGCCGCCTGACGCGCGCCTGCCACAGCCACAAAGAATTTCATTGTTAATATCCCATGATTCTTGGTGGTTGGTCTGAGGATGTCATGTACGTCCTCCAATATTGTTGGTGTGTGCTGCTATTGCTCAGGCTGCAACAGGGGGCGATATGTACACTGTGTGCCTTACCGAGTAATATGCTATGCCATGCTTGCCAGAAAGATGATTGTGTAGCACCCAAGGTAAAATGTGATCCAACAGAAAGAATGCTACCCGCATGACAAGATGCATGCCAACCGCAATTTTCCACAAATGGCAAGAACCAGATGGATTGTATTTGCATCCAGTTGATGATGCATCCTCAGCTTGGATCTCTGCTGATCAGAACGGCAGGCAAATCCCCCCTGCCATGCTAGACAGGGCTGCGATTCCCGAGGGGCGCGCACTTGGCGGAGGCGAGGCCCTCTCCGAGGTGCTGCGTGGGCGCGGTGCGGCCGTCTGACTCCCACCAGCGCCGCAGCGCGTCAGCACGCTCGCCCTCCGGCTCCACGCTCACCCCACTCCGCGTCACCGTCGACAGCGACACCCCTGCGCGCATGCACTTCCAAATTTCAAGATGAATTCTTATCAATTGCAGTCCCATACCACCGGTACTGTAGTCCCCCTGCTGGAGACAGTCAGACTCAGTATATCCGGTGGTCCCTTGCCTGATCATGTGCATTTAACCAGGCACCATGGTTTTCATGCTGGCACGTTCAGTGCTCCCATGGCCGAGCGACGTGCAGCAGTGCAGCAGCACGGACTGACCAATAAGATCATAAAGCTGGGCAGCCAGCACAAGCTATGGCAGAGGCATGCACGCTGCATGGACCATAATACTGGTATTTGCAGGAGAAGGCAGAAGGCTCAAACGGCAGTGGGAGGAAGTCGATGTAGAAGGGAGGTGCAGTGCTTGTCAGGGAAGAGAGGGCCGCGCACCATTGAAGTCGGTGACCCGGCAGGAGCTGATGGAGATGAGTGCGTCCGGCTGCTGCTCCAGCTGCGCGCCAACTTCCTCCGCCGTGCTCCCCCACAGCGTCACCACCACCGTCTTCGCCCTGCAGGCGTTACAACGTAGTGACAACATATAAAGCACACTGCAGAGGCTCACATGCAACCTGTGCTGCGCCCGTTTGGGGGCCCTGCAACCTCGACACCAGGAACCGCATGCCCTATTTTTGTGCGCAGTAAGAAGATCAATCAACCCAAGAAGCGCATGCATGAACAAGGGCCCAGAGGAGTGTAGACAGCCAATTAATTCACGCAGACGGCAGGGACAGGAAGAAGGCACCAGCTCAATGCAGCTTCGGTCCATGCTAATACACAACAAATGCCACTCCAGTTCACGATATGCTCGGCTCATGGCGTGACATCACACAGATACAATATGATGTCAGCATGCGTTCATGAATTATCCCTCACCCCTGGTCCACGAGGGTGACGTCGCGGCGGGCCAGTTCGGTGCCGTCGCGGCTGCGCTTGACGCTGCCGAGCGGGCCGACGGCGGTCGCGATGCCCAGAACATCCACGAGGGTCTTCTTGCCGGCGTACATGGGCAGGCGCTCAAAATCCACAAACTTGAGCTTGGCCGTCATTTTGGACACGTCGCTGTCCTCGCACTGCTCGATCTCCGACCTGCGGCCGCCGCAGCATGAGGTGATGAACGATGATCCAGATAGCAGAAGGCACCTTTGCCAAAACGCCATCGAATCGAATCAAATCAAGAGTAAGTGTATCCTCCTTGAAATGACGCGCATGCATGGCTACAAGGGCGGGCCCTCCAGGTATCCCCTCATGCCCAGGGCACAGTGCATTCCGTGTCATGACAAGCCTTGCGTGCCCACGTCTGCATTCCTGCTCAAATAATGCAGACGTAGGCATGACAGATGCGTGCTTCCCTTCTGCAGGGTCTGGACAAAAAGCGTAAAAGAAATGACAGCCTGCCGAACACAGGAGCAGCAGTTGTGGACGTGCACGGAACCTTTATCCATTAACAGTTACTGTTGACGGACAAACATGCAAGCAGCCAGCTGACATTTAAAAAGACCTGGCTCGGTCACTCCTCTCAAAATCTTTACGGCAGGCCCTGCGGAGGCACACCCGTTGTCCATGTGGATGGTGTAGTCGTTGCGCACGGTCTTGTAGTTCTTGTTGGCCAGCTTGACTTGGCCGCGGCGGAAGATATAAACGCGCCCCTCCTCCAGGTGGTCGTAGAACTTCTCCGCCAGGCCCCGCCACAGCGTTATCTCTATTGTCGTCCCCTGCGCGGGCACTTCACACCCCTCAATGACCGCCCAGCTGCTTGCAGTTCCCTAAAGTGTTTCCCACAGGGCACTGTTTTAAAGGCATCGACCGTCCATGTCCGCATGCTCATTGAGCTCTGTGTCCTGGTGCAGATCATCGCAGAAACCAGATCTGCAATTCACTTCATTCAACGCTCCACAACAAGCTTAAGATGCATGAGGGCTGGACTCACACCCCTTGCTTCCACTGGCACCAGCTGACAGCTGAGCACATGCATCCACGGTCACCTGTCGACATCTGAGGACATGTTTGGGAAAACGAGCAGCCAAGTCTCTGGGGAATATTCACATTCTGCAGGGATGTGACCGCTGGCATGACAGAGCCACGCTGGCGGCCATGTGTCGCTGCGGATAATGGGCACCCCTAGCGAATGCACCCCTAGCTGGGTGGACTGCTGGACTTGTGCCCTGTCAGCACAATGCCAGAGCAGCTGACGTGTCATCTATGATCTGTGTTGCACATACAAGGTACTAAGCGCACCTGGTCGTCGACGACCTCGACACCGAAGACGGCCTGCTGCTGGCCGGCCTTGTCGAAGTGGCGCAGGGGCGCCTTGGAGACCAGCTTTGCGCGGATGGTCCAGTCGTTGCTGTACGGGTTGAGCGCGTGGATGGGCTGGCACGCCACCCTAGACGCGCCCCCGCCAGACGCCCGCACCCTGCATGAATGCCAGTCCTCCAACGTCACTCCAGGTCCAGAACTCCTTGATGCCATGACTCCGCCCCCATTGCTTGGCCACTGTGGTGATCCCCGGGCTTGGAAGACAGGTGTGACCTGCAGGTGCACTCGCAGCAACAATCGGCCCTCAGTAGGTATTCCTCTATTTTGCATTCCTGCTGCACCCGCAGCGTGCCTTCCACACCAGCGCAGCAGGTTCCAAAGGTCGTAGCTCAGCACAAAGGGGTATGCTGTCAGCATGCGGGGCAGCAGCAAGGCATGAACCACAGCAAAATCGAATTTGCAAGCTTCTGCATATCTCTTGTGTATCAGCTCAAAGTGGCTGAAAGTCTCATTGCCGAGCCAGGCAGATCTTTGCGCACCCCTGTGGAATTGCCTCTCCTAGAGATGTCTTAGGCCCAGTCAATTCAAATCGCAGGAACCACATGAAGGTCAAAGTGGCACCTTACAGTCCAGTGGGTTACAAGGGGGGGTCTGGAGAACCCAGGTGGACACAGGTTGGTTCTCACGTGAAGGGCGAGGGAGTAGGGCCGGGGGTCATCTGCTCCTGCTTGAAGGCGCCCCTGATCTGGCCCACGGGCGTCTTGGGCAGCAGCTCGCTCTTCTCGGCGGGAGCAGATGCTGACACATCGGCCGGCCGCGCCTTGGCGGCTCCCGGCGTGCCGATCTTGGCCTCGCCACTCGGCCCGGCCGGCTCCTGCTTCACTGCCGCAGGCGCCTCTCCCAGCGGCGTGCAGCCTGCACCAGGGGGCAAAGGTTCACTAGGAGTCCCCTGCTGAGTCCCTTGCAAGGTTTAAGCCTCTGTAGCCATCCATTGTGCCACAGGAGCCTGTGAAAGCAGGAGAGTAGTGTGCAGCAGACTGGGCAGGCTCCGTCTCCTGGTTAAAAGCATGCGATTACTGACAATGCCCCTTCCCTTTGAATGAACGGGGTTCATCACAGTGCCCATGCGCCCCATTCTCCTAGCCAGGCTTGCCTTCGCACCCATGTCATGTGAAAAGATTGCTCCTTGCAGGACGACAAAATGGGCCGGCACGGGGTGCAACAAAGAAAGACGCACTGCACCTGTAAGGACGATTTTGTGCTCCTGGTTGATGAAGTTGCAAGCATAGTCCGTCATCTCTATGATGCTGCCATCCTTGATCTCCCCAGAGATGATCTTGGCGGTCACATCCTGGCCAGTCACGCCCCCCACAGATGACTTGCCATCGCTCAGCGTGCACTCGTGCCTGTTCCTGCCTGGAACCTGTCGCAGTCCCGATATCTGGGGGTCAAACACGCATCCGCATCAGTATTTCTTCCTTGTCTTGCCCAAAAGGGTGTGTCTGCACGGACACTCCAGCTATAGCCCTGTTGCCCTGGTGCGTGTTAAGCCAGCAAGGATGCTTCTCTTGATGGCTATCAATAACATCTGCTTCAAAGTTACTTTATGTGATTAGTAATCCGAGGTTGTATTGGGATGAAGCAGGTGAGCGGGACGTCAGGCAGGCACAATACATTTTGAAGTGAACAGACTGTGAGCACAACCCCAATAGCAAATTTCACACTTGCACAAACATCTCTTGGACATCGCGTTGGATTACTGCCTGAGGGAGCATTGCAAAATATAATTGTACCTGCACAGTGACAGCATCATTCGCGATGTCACCACTCTTTATTTCCTCGATGGCTCCCGCTGTCAGTTCCATTGCTGCTTGTCCTCCAGCAGTCTATGGGTATCCTCTACAACAGCCAATCCGACAATGTTGCATGAGGAGAAAGAGCGGGATGGTTCAACGGGGCAACGACGTCCTGCTCTGTGTGCTGTGCCAGCTCGGACGATGGGCAAGGGTGAATGGTGTATCCATAAAGCTGGATCGCGGATGATCGCACAATCTAGGGCTCGAAATCCTTTCAAAAACCTCTTTTTGTAACCCAAAAGCCTATATAATGAAGATTGTTGCAATAATATGGTTTTCTAGAACAAGGGGAAATTCTAGATCAGGGGATCTTATAGGACCAGGGTTTCGCACAGAGCTGTTCCCAGCAAGTGAAGCATGTATTGAGCATCAGAAGGATGTGCAAGAGCATCTATGTTGCATGAAGTCTCCGATACACGCCTTCAGTTGACAGCAAGCTGTCCCCTGCACTTCCCCTCTTTCCTTCAGTGACTTGGATGACCGCGAGAACGCGGCTCGTGAAGGTGATCACTGGTTTATGATCAATTAAACAAAGCATTACTCACGATATAATGCCTGATCGGTCCACAGTCTGTTGCCCTGTCAGGCATTGCAACCTCAGCTTGTCTGCATTGTCGCAGGAGCTCAAAGAGCTGTCAAGAAGTCCATCTGACGAAATACAGCTGCATCCAGACGAGTCTAACATAAACAAGTGGAAAGCCTTCATAAAAGTGAGAATCTTCAGTGTTTGATATCCTTAGCTCAAATGGCCCTGAGTCCAAGTCAGCAGTTCCATCTTTCACCAGGCAGATAGCAGATCATGCAGGAAAGCCCTGCAGAGCACAATTTTACTTATGAAGAGAGTCAGTACTGTAGCCAGTTCTTGCTTGAATGTCTGATTTCCATGGACTTGTAATTTCCAAGTGTCCCTTTGGGGAGCACCAGTTGCAAAAGGTGATGTGACAGTTGGATGACTGTGTGCAGGGCCCGGACGGCACTCCTTACCAAGGGGGAGTGTTCCAGCTGGACATAAGGGTGCCTGACCAGTATCCCCTGGTCCCACCAGCCGTGCAGTATCACACCAAAATCTTCCACCCCAATGTGCACTTCAAGGTGATCCACCATCTCCCTGCACACAGGCATGCCTCCAAATGTTTTGTTCTTCAAAGAAAGAAGCTTTTGGCAGTGGCAAGATGCAGCACCACCCGTAAGAAAACAGCCAGGCCACAGAGCTGAAGCAGCAAAATTTAGGTGGGAGGCCAGTAGATTTCCTCTGGTCTTCAGTGGGTCTTGCCAAACAGGCAAACTCTGTCACCGGTGCACCGACATACCACACAGCTGAAACATACCGGACGACAACACCTAGATTTCAGCGGGAGTGCCAAACAGGGCCTTAGCGCAGCTGCATGCTGCTTGAGAGGGCGCCCACATGCTGTCGTGGTGAGAACAGGCTTCTGGTATCATCTGCGCGGCACAGCAACACCTGTATGAAAGCAGCTGGCCACTGGACCACTGACAATGGGAGGCGATTTACCGAGTGCACTTCAACGTGTCTCGCCAGTCAGAGGAACCACGCCACCTGTATGGGGTTTTACAGTCCAGGGGTCCTGCTGTGCACCTCAGACTGTAGATAGCGGACATCAGTGTCAATAACCTCATCAGCATTCAATTATCTTGAGGAGCAGAAAAGCGCGCACATGCTCACGGGTTGCCGGCACATGCGCGCAGACGGGCGAGATCTGCCTGGACATCCTGAAGAACGCATGGAGCCCGGCCTGGACGCTGCAGTCGACGTGCCAGGCCATAGTCGCGCTCATGAGCGATGCCGCCCCGGACTCGCCGCTCAACTGCGACGCGGGGAACCTGCTGCGCGCGGGCGACGTGCGCGGGTACAACGCGCTCGCGCGCATGTACACGCATGAGCACGCCGCGCCAAAATAGGCGGCCGGGTCAGTAAAACTGAGACGTAGTGATGACTAAGGGTTCTGGCATGCCGCGCCAATTCTGAAAGCAGGCGGCCGGCTGAGGCTGATTTAGTGGACCCATGAAGGTTCCAAGATGAAGCACCCTAGTGAGGTCACCCTAGTGAGGTCACGCATGGCTGCACTGGGTCAGTGCACCAGAGAGGTCATGACAACTAGGGGTACTGGCCGCGTCAAAGTAGGCGGCCAGCAGTGGCACGTGCGGTCTTAGTAAAGCAAATGCGTTGGAGGGATTGAGCAGCGTGCGCTGTACCAGAGTTGAGCAAGCTGCGCCGAAGGAGGCAGGTTGCTTGCTCAAGCGCTGCTGCAGATAGCTGGAATTCAAATGTGTCCTATTTCACCAAGGCGCTTTCAAAGCAGGTAGCCTACCAGGACTGAGCATGCTGCGGGGAAGGATGCGTCCTGTAAGCTAAGAGCAGTGGCACTCCTGGCACATGCAGGCTCGCCAGGTTTTGTAACATGAGCTCAGGCTGCTACTCTGGCTGCACGTTGCCAGATGGAGCGGTTCTGCTCATCTGTAACGTTGCACCGTTTACCTTGTCCATTTAAGAGCCTTCTGCAAAGGCAATTTGCTGAAGCACTCGGGGTTAGCGTAAGATTATATCTGCATGTGCTTTTTGCTACTGGGACCGTCTGAGAGTATTTTTTTTGATGGCCACCCCATCCTGTGCTACAGTTGTGCTGTAAAGTGGCACTGTGCAGAACAGCTGCAAATGGCTGGGTGGAAAGCGCACAGTGGCTGGACAGCAGGCTCTGCAGCATCTCTGCTGTGACAGCCGACTTTATTGTGATGGTACAGGCACTGTACTCGCACGGTGCAGCTGAGGGGCCGAAAGTGTGTATTGAAAGAACAGCTGTACAGTGGACGTCAAAGTCGGCATCTGCCAGATTACAGAGTGATGTCAACAGTGGTTGGATGGTCCCGTCGATTTTCAGAGTCCCTCTCAATGGTAATGATGCAGTCACTCAGTGACTTGGAATGCCAAGTTGGTAGGGTTGCTGCATCGTGCTGTATGCTGCATATTGCAAGCTGCATCTATGCTAGCAGGGCTGTCTAGGGCATCTTTTGCCATCAATACTACTTAGTAAGGCCCCCGGGCCCCTGAATTCAGCCGGCGCCGTCACCATTACAGTAATAGTGTCACTGACGTTGACGTTGGCACCGTGACCGAGTGTTTCGATGTCTTTCATCATGTTGAATTCAGCTTTGAACTTCAAATAGAAGAAGAACATTGAATTCCTGGAAGGCTCCAACTTGAACTTGAAGTTAAGAGGGCAACTCGAGCTCACTAACTATAGTGGAGCATGTTCTAAATCTCTGGGTATGCCCCAAAAGATCAGCGTGCATGCTGATGTTGACATCAACAGGCTACCTGCCAAAAGGACGAGTTCGTTGACCTCTGACGTCACCTGATCCAATATTTCATTTTTCTTGCGTTTGACCAGAAAGGGCCTGCCAGGCAGCTGACCCAGTGACTACGCTGTGCGCAATATCGACCCCTGTCGAACTTCGGATTTCGATCACAACAACGACCGCATTTCCAGAGTTCCGATTAACGCCCATACAATCCCTTTAAGAGAACAAAGTTTGGCTTGCAGCTTCCCTAGCCTTGCTTCAGAACCACTTTAAGGCAATCGCAGAGGCACCGCTTGACCAAGGAGCACATCATACACAAGGAACGAGCACCGGCCAACACCTGAGAATTGCCTCTGCAGGTCAGCTCGCGATATTTCGTCCGTCTCGTCTCGCTCTTTAGGAGATTCGATGTATAGCTTGTGTCGTAGCAACGTTGTTTATATAGCAGAGACATTCAACAGTGGCTAGTTGTCTGGCTTCCGATGGCTGGTGCGCGAGAACGAAGAATTCATTGCGAAGTTCAGTCGATCCTATCGAGATTGTGCATCAGCTAGAACTGCATCATTGCTTTCTGCAAATGCGATGCCTCCTCATAGTTTGCCTGTTGGTGTGGATCGGATGTCCTCGACTGCTTGCGCTGTAGTGATGACACACCGTCGGGTGGCTAGCCGTTGGGTGTGCGGTTGTACCCATCTGAGCAAAGGTAGCAATGAATGGATTCTACAAGATTATTCCTGGGTTGGGTTGATCCTTGGCAAGTTCTGTGGTGTCGAGAGGGGATTGAAGACGCGCTTCAGGATGAACGGCACGTCAGTTGTCTCTTGAACTGATGTTGGATTCTTTGCCTGCAGACTTCTGCCTCGCCTGACAAGATGGTGTCCTCCAACCGCTTCCTCGCCATCTTTGCCGCACTATTTCTGGTTGCAGGTGAACGGTCAAAGCACCCACACCCCAACATCACCCATTGTTCGTTAGTGTCAGCGTACCTTGGAGAGCTCACGATCAGTGCCTTTTCATTAGCCTGCCAGTTCCACTTTGTCATTTATTGTCTATGCAGCTGAGAGTGCAATCTTGCCTGTCCTTTGCAAAGCCTCCTGCTTGCTAGGCCAAGTATCAACTGCCACGCAGGAGTGTCTGACAGCCCCTAGTGTTGATTCCCCCAGCAAAGCCTCCCTTGCCCCTTCACCAGAGCGTCCTCTCTACACCGCCTGACTAATGCAGCACTTTCTTTCCGCACAGAGCTGGCGCATTGTGCGCGTCCAGTCGGCCTGAGGCGTTCCCTGCAGCAGCTAGTGCAGCCGATGGGCGCGGGCAAGTCCTTCGGGACGCTGTCATCGGGCGGCGGCAAATTCGCGCCGATGGCCGGAGGCGGCCCCAAGACACCCGCGGCCAGCGCCGGCGGCGCAGATGGCGGCGATGTCACCCCCCAGTCCTCCGGCCTCGTCAGCAGGTGCCGCTCAGTTGCTTAAATGCATGCGTGTGGTCTTAAACTCCATTGTCTCAAATGAGGCCTCATGGCAGCATGGGCCGCCGAGCCGATTGATTGCCGCACCTTAGCCCCGATCCTTGCATGCAGCCCTGTGCACTTGCCTGAAACAAGCTGCCTGCCCCCGACTTTCCGGGGTTCAATGGGTGCCCAGATCATTGCATGCCTTAGACATACTGATGTACCTGGATTTGCCCAATACGGTGCCCATCATTTGCGTCATAAGCTCAGACAGCCATCAAAGGAAGGGGATCGATTGTGCATTCACACTAGTTGGCTGACGGCTTTCCCTCTCGTGTGCTGCAGCGGCGGCAGCGGCGGCAAGGGCTCGGTGTCGCTGATGCCTGGCAATGGCGGCGGCGGCGCGGCGGCCGGCACCAGCCCTGCGGCGAGCAGCATCGTCAGCAGCACGCCCGTGCCCATCCGCAGGACTCCTACTGTGACCCCCGAGGCGTCCTCCGCCAACACTGACACCAGCTCCAACAACGGCAACCAGGGCGGCAATAACCAGAACAGCAACACCCAGAACAGGATCAACAGTGCGCCACCGTCTAGATTTGCTCACAATAACGACAAGTGCTTGCCTGCATCTGTGACGCAGTAGAGAGCATAATAGTGAGGTCGGTGTTCAGCTTGAAGACACAATCCAACAGTGCAAGATTGGAGACCTGTGGCTCACTGTTTCTCGTGTGCCTTGCAGGCCCCAGCCCTTACTACAACAACAGCCCTTGATGTGCCCGGGCAATGAGCAACTCCGCACGCACATGCATCAAGATCCCCGTACCCCTGATCCGGTTTCAAATTCGAAACCTGCGGCCGCTCTTCAAGATATTGGCTGTGCAGAGGACCCAGTGACGAGCCTGCTTCTTCCAAGCAAATTCATTCTGAGCGCCCGCAGTTTCTGTTCCGACAGCGTTGATCAAAGGCTGACAGCAAATCCCATGCTGGCGTGAGCTGGCAGCAGCTACTTTCAAGTGGGATACACGGCTGCACACTCAAGACCAAACGCTCAATTCTGTAATTTTCTGAAACACGGTTTTGGTAGTCGACCATGTTCTGACCAAAAAAGAGAGAATTCCTGCTCTGGAATGAATTGCCCCAGAGGAGCGTCCTGCTTCCATGGCACAAAGAGCTAATGTGAGCAATTTATGATTAGTACTTGTCAAGTACCGTGTCTGCCCAGCATGTATCGCTGATGAGAAGGGCCTGACTATGCTTGAGAACAGCCGCACTGAGTCAAGTTTGCTTTACAAGACCAGGCTGCCAATGCAACAAGACACAGGCACAGTGCGTGCCTGCACCCTGTTGCAAACCATGTGATTGCTGGCTGCCTAAGTGCGCTGCAGTCACTAATGTAATGAAAAGTCAAAGTAGCCATGGCCTGCTATGTGCACAAGCTGCTCCCATTTTGAACCGATGCACATGCAAACAAGCACACAGCATAGCAGAATTAAGGATTCCATTCAAAAATGAGCAGGGAAAAACATAACAAAATCCCCGCATCACAATTGCAAGCCAGAGTTGGATCACCAGGCAAGCCTGTCTCAAACCTTCATATTGCTGCAGTGTACAGAACATCCTCAAACAATCCGAACGGAGAATCTCCTAACTTCTACACCGTCTGTCTGTCCGCAAAGCATCCTTGGACCCCACCCAAACCAACAATGCGCACACGTCAGAAATTACACGCCTGCTGCTACATTTGTGACCTTTGCGTAGCATGCTTGACGAGGGAGTCCACAAATACAGCTGATAGACCCCAAACAATGGCAGCTTGCACGACTGTACACCTGCCACGCCAGCTGCGACCATGCATGCGTCGCGTCACACTGCGCGGCAGCAGAATCCCTGGTGGGATTCAATTGGAAGTCCATGCATGGGAACCCCTAGACATCAATGTAAAAAAGCTGGCGTGACTTGCTGTAAACTTTCCCTTGCAAACTCCCTGGATTTTGACTGCGGGAGCTGTGCACAGCAATCCTTCACTCTGCCTCTTGGCCAAAATGCGGCTTTGCTGCCCTACCCATGCATTCACAGCGCGAGCTGTGCACGTCAGTACTGTACTTTACTCTCCCCCTTGGCCAAAAGGTGGCTCTGCTGCAGTACCCCGGTGTTGACAGTGCGAGCTCTGGCGCAGCATTACTGCAGTCTGCTCTGCCTGTCGGCCGCAGTGGGGCTCCGCTGCAATACCCGGGTCTCGACAGGGGGAGCAACCTGCTTCGTGGCCCAAGTGAGGCTTTGCTGCGATACCCGAGTCTTGACAGCGCGAGCTTTGCGCAGCATCGCATTACTATGCCTCTTGGCTGAAGTGGGGCTCTGCTCCGAAGCCGAGCTCCTGGATGGCTTGTACGACTGCCGGCAGCTGCACGGCAGCTGCCAGAAGCTGGTCCCCCGCCACCGCCGCCACCGTCACAATCCCCGTCTCCAGGGACGCCGTCGCAGACCGCACGCCTGGCAGCGCCTGCGATTTGAATTCAAATTTGAAGATCTTCCAAGCTCGCAGACAGCGACTTGCACGTGCTGTGGAAGTGTGTGCCAAACCATGGTTTGGGGCAAGAGTCCTGGTACAGGACAATGACCTGCAATGGTCTAAAAGCTTGCAGGTGTAGCAAAATTTGGACAGGCGCCCGAGTGAGGAGAATGCCAAAGGGAACACCAAGGCTCCAGGTCACTAACATGTGTTGGTGGATCATGAGTCCCTTCAAACCCCTGTCTTTTGTGTGACTTAGCACCTCATCCAAGGCAACTTGACAGCAATACTGGAGACGAAAGCTTCTCATAATGATGATCGGTGCATGCAGGTGGAGATAGAAGCAGAAACGAGGGCCACACAGCAGGTTGACAAAAAATGTTAGAGCATCTGGAATGTGCTGCTGCAGACACATGCAGCCAATGTGACGCTCACCGTAAGGGCCTCCTCCACCCGCGAGGTGCAGTGACCACACGTCATGCCTTCCACCTTGACTTCCAGTTCAATGGTGTCTTCCTCATCTGCTGCTGTGGTACTCTCGTCTACTACAGCACCAATGCAGACAGATTCACCTTGATCTGCTTGGGATTATTGCTTGCAAAAACAGTAAATTGAGATCCCTTCCCTAGGGATGCAATCAACGCCAGTTCTGCAGGTGATTCCCCGGAATGTCAGGCTGACCAAGAAGAGACTCGCAACCGACCTTGAGTCTCGATGGCACGCGCAACAAGCAATGATCCTGGACGACCGTTCTTCAGAGCTCCTGAGCAGCCCGATCGTGGAGCAATCCTGTATCTCCAACGAGCTGAGCTACTTTGTACTGGCAAAGTCAAGCAGATTGCACGAGCGACATCAGGCCTGACAGGAGTAGCGTGAACCCAAGTGATGCTCAGGAGCGAAGCCATGCTGCTCATCAATAACACCGTGCAACGAATGAAGGCCACGATCACTGAAGTGCGGGTTCAGAAGTGAGGCACCATAAAGCACTTTCAAGATACGATCCAGAGTTACTGGTGCATGATGAGTCAAGTGATGTTTAAGAATATGATATTAGATGTGAAAAATTTACGCATAGCTAGTTCCTCTGTCCCGAAAGCCTCTCAGAGGGTTCCTACCATATCCCTTGTTTGTATCACCCTAGTGTTAGGTGAAACTTTGAATATAGTTTGCCCGATTTAAGTTATTCAGGGTTAAAGGGGTCTGATCAAGCCCTTCCATGAACCCCATGATGGCAGAGCAATGCTCATTGCTTGCCCAGGTACTCTGGCAAAGCAATTCTGCTGCAAAGAAATGAAGTGCTACTTGGTAAAGTTGTGACATCTCGGATCGAAAAGCATGGAGAATGAGACGATCATCAGACACAGACTTCTGACGGGCACATCGACAACCCGTGGGGAACCTCCCTTAAAGAAGCTTGCCCTTGCGTAAGTCTCATTACATTTCCTATGTATCAGCGTAACAATCGGCCGCTTACCATGCCAGATGACTTTCGAATGGGCTCTGCTGAAGACATCAGAGGGGCTGATGTCCCATCAGTGGACAGGCAACTGGCTAGAATTGGCTGTGAGACTCTTGAGGAACTCTGACAGAAGTAGTCATTGCAAACGCAGGCTGGTAGCCTTCAGCAAGGACGTACCTGCCGCTCAGCAGGAGAAACAGTACAGGAATCTTTGCAGCGAGATAGCCAACGTAGAATTCTTGGTGAGCTGACTGTATTCCAGACCTAAAACTATTGGAAGCGTCTTTTTTGTGCTACACTGTGTCATCGGCACAAGGGTTATGCAGATTCTCCTCACAGGCTGACCGGCTAAGCAGTGGCCTGGGCCTAGGACAGTGCTTTTTGGGCCAAACGACACGAATTTTTGCCACGTATTGTCCTGCGGTTCAATTAGGGGAAGGAGAGGTGGGCAGTGCTTTGCCTTGCATACAGTGTTGAGACAGACACAGTTTAGTGTGTAATGGGGACTACCTGCAGAGGCTCCTAATGTGGACAGGGAGCCCTGCAGGGAACTCTCAAATCAGCGTAGGAGTCCCGTGAGGCACCTGAGACTGAAGGGCTGTGTGCATGCTAGTTTCTCCAGTCTTTTTAGAGGCCCCTGGCTCCTGGGAGGGAAGGCCTGTCTATAATAAGCACTGCGGTCACATCAGGGGCCCTCTGGCTTCTGAAGGGAAGGGTTCTGACTACCTTTGCAGCTATTTAGTACGCCCTGTGAGGGAAGGGGTCTTTCGTAAAGCAGGCTTTTGGATCTCTTTTTACTTGTTCAGGGCCCTTGGCAGCTGAGAGGCAGGGTACTGACTTTTTTTTGGGGCTCTTTAGTACGTCCTGTAAGATAGAGGGAAGGGGGCCAGTACAAATACTGAGCATCGTGCCCACGGTGGCTGGATATTGCTCAAATCTGGTGAGTCCATCAAGGGTAGGCATTCTGGCAGCCTTCCCCTGCAGCTGTGTCTGCAGACGCACCTTGCCTCTGGCAGGAAAAGCGAGCAACAATAATGGAAAGGGCCTTCCCAGCAGCTGAGGGGGAAGGCTTGTGTGTAAAAATGACATAATAAATAGCTTCAAGGACCCATGGATGCTGTGAGGGAACGCCACTGTGTGTTGTGTCAGGCGCGACGACAGGTGGCGGTGCAAGAAGCATGCGCGCGAGAGGCGCAGCGGTACAGTGAGAAGCGCGGCGGAATTCAAATTCAAACCGCGGCGGCCGCCGCCGAAATCGAGGCCGCCAAGGCCGACCTGGCCGCCGCGCAGATCGTGCGGCAGCACGAGGAGGAGTATGAGGTCGGAGCCTGCCCCCTGCAGTCCCCCTGCGGACTGTGTGTTACCCGGACCTGCTATGCATGCTGTGACAATAGGTGCCACCTAGAGGTCGTCTGATGACTAGTGACCAGAGCTAAAGACATGCCTGGCGCTGCAGTCCTTTGAGGATTGAGAGAGAGAACATAGGGAAAAAGCCCATCACCTGCACCAGGGCAGGACAGTCCAGCTCCAGTGCAAGCCTCCAGTCCACATGAGTCATGGGAATCTAGAAGAACAGCAATTAACCGTGGTCCTAATCTGGCTCCAGGCGAAGAAGCAGGAGATAGTTCGGGTGATGGGCCGCTCGGCGACGGCGGCCGAGGCTCAGAAGGTGATGGCTGAGGTGGCGGGCATCCAGGCGGACAGCGCGCAGGCCGATGACACGCTGGCGGTGAGTCACCGCTTACTCACCCTCTGTCAGCCCTTGGTCGGCGCTGTGTCGTCACCGAGCGCAGCTGCGCCTCGCAGCAGCCCTTGCTGTGAACCAGCTTCTGCGTGAGAAGGGCAGAGAGGTCCTCCGTTGTTTCTGTTGAAGGCTCGTATTCAAGGCTCTTGAGGTGGTTGTGTTGAGGGCTGCCACACAGTTGTATGCTGTGAAGCACGCAGCGGCAGATGATCTGGGGTTGGCCTCATTGCAGTGCTGGGCTGGCTCCTTCTGACTGGTGCAGCAGAGGAGCAGGCTTTGCTCCTCTGCCAAGCACTTGGCTTGTGCTTTCTGCGCGACAGTCACCCCAGGCCCTTCTAGTGAAATAATGAGAGCATGCAAATCTGATGCGGCAGTGCTTCCAGTGCCTGGCATCCCAGAGGTTCACGTTAATATTGGAATTTCCAGGATGGAGTTCTGGGCAGCTGGCAGTTTTGTCTCTGTAGATGAGAACAGTACCAGCTATGAAATTACAGAAACGGTCCAATATGGTTGCGGCTGGCGGGGGGCGTTATGAGTACTGAGCACTGTGCCCACGGTTAATTGGGCCGTGCTTGGATCTGGCCGAGTCCAACCAGGGGTAGCATTGTGGCAGTTTTCAACTGCAGCTTGTCTGCAGAGCGCACCTTGCTTCTTGGCGGGAAAAGCGTGCAATAAAGATTATAATTTGGGAAAAAAATGAAAGCCCGACGCCCTGTTGTCGCCTGGGGCATGATTAAAGGAAACGCTCTCCCCCATTTTAGTATTAATATTACTAATGATTGAAACACTGTTGCAGCTGGGCCGGCGAAGGCAGTTTGCGGCGCTGCTGCATGCGCTGGAAGTGCTGCAGGCCGCGCTGGACGCCGACGGCGCCTGAGCATTAGCATCAGCGTGACTTCAGCATCAGCATGAGCGTGAGTGTGACATGGGCATGGGTATGAGCGTGACATGAGCACTGGCGCGGCAGCAGGAGCAGCCCTCCACCCGGCCGCACCCTGCGCACACCCCACCAGTGCGGCCGAAGTTAAGTGTTTAAAGGTGCACCATGCAGTGTTTTCAGGGACAACTGTATATACAATTACCCCCTAGTCACAGCATCTGATAGTGCGCTAGCACGGGTTGAATATACTGAGGCTTCTACAATTGGCCCTTAGAAGGGGGGGTTGTCAGACCTACAGTCATGGAGTCTACTTTGGGACCATCCCACTATATTGTAATATATGCTTCATCGTATTCTCAAGATTGCTTTCTGAATGCTGCCGTTATTGAAGATGGTGCTAAAATCGGAAGCAGAATCCGGTGTACTACAAATCACCATGGCCGCTGTGTGACGCAGCTCTTATGCTTTGCCTCAGGACCAGTGCAAGGTGTACATTTAAGGTAGCTGCTTGTTTTGGCTAGCTAATAGTACAAAGCTGGCAAAGCCAAGACTTTTATGAGGATATCACATTGCAGGCCAGTGACCATGATGTAGTGTGCCATCGTTTCATGTGACATTTGAACCTCCACCCCACCTTCAGCACCCGAATTTGCAAAGGAAATCAATTACAGCACCAGCATAGGACATGTCATCCATGCCTGACCTAGGTGAAGTGCAAACATGGGCAAGTAAGGGCTGCCTTGTGCATATATGGCCTATATAGAGCCTGTAAACGCCCTGATACATTGACAGGTCCACTTGAAGCATTGCTGGGAAGCCTGCACATAAAAGAGGTGTACACATATTTCAATGCATATATATATATATATATATAAATGTCAGAGTGACTCTGAGCCACTTGTTAAAAGGTGCGGAGCAGTCCTCAAAGGGGAACTTAGGTGCCTGTTGCTGTGTTGCCTCAGGTGGCTGCCCAAGGCAGCAACCTTGTAATCACCCCTGGATTAAACAACCCGAGCCAGGCTTGCCTTTCACGCAAATCTGCTGTGCATTATGCACAAGGGTGCCCCATCTGGAGGTCATCTGGGTACTAATGACCAGAGGATTGCATACTACCATAGGGGGAGTCGATGATCATCAAGTCTAAATGCATATGACACAAGTAGCTCTGCCCGCAAGGCGCTCAGTTTCCAACAAGCATCCTTGAAATATAGATGCAAGACCATGTGACCCTTCTCCTGATGCACTGCAGAGATTGAGAATGTGCCCTTTGCTGCTGTCCCCTCGCTGACTGCCTGCCTCAGATCCAGTCCAAATTGGCTGCCTTTCTTGCCTGGCGTTTTTCAGGAATGAGGACTGCGCTGTGGCAGTGCCTGTTTCCTTCGCTTCCAACAGCCTGGAAAAAGTATATCTGGGGAACACAAGCATGATAGAGTCTCCCCCGGTTGTCCTGTCGTGCACACACTCTGGCAGTCCTTGTCATGAGGATCCCTCAACATCCCCAGGTCCTTCATTCTCACTCTTCGTTGTGACCTGGATGAATGAAATATTGCAGATGTCAATCATCTTTTCCTCGTTTTCATGATGCTGTTGGCAGGACTAGGCTCCAATTGAGGCTGTGGATCAAAGGCAAAAGGCACCAGAATTTACCATTTGGCCGCAGCTCGAGGTCGCTTCAGCAGCTTTGCCATGCGGTACATCCGCGGACGATTTTGTTGGCTGAGAGCTATCTGCATGATTCCGCGCTGCAAGGCCTCAACTTTGCAAGACAATGAACAAAAGTAGAAATTATCCCGTAGAGCCCGTTTGCATGTTAAGCATCCCTCCACAAATGCATCCTGTCAGGGCAAACATCCGTCAATTGATATATATGAACAAGCTGGCAAAGTATTTGACAGAAATCTGTGATGACTAGAAATATCAAGAAAAACAAGCTGTCAGGCTGCAAGTATCGAGCGAAGCCATTCGTATGGAATGCAATGGAGGACTGAACAGACGACACCCTTATTGGAAATGGCAAGCCAAACACACCTTCACTGGGCTGGCATGCTTTCGGTCCCTTAAAAAGACAACTCTGGCTGAATTTATAATGTACGTCTGCACTCCTGATGCATCAAAATGCTCCTGGATGTCTTGAATCCGAACAACAAACTGGTACATGTACTTCCGAATCTGCGAAGCGATTTGGTGGACAAGTCATTTACATGGATGAAGCCGTGAAGTGATATTGTGCATCTGCAGGAGATCAAATAGAATAATATAATAGACAATGACAACTTCTCCTTTTTGTGGACTGAGCATGCTTGTCACTCTAAGAAAAGAAAGCCTTGCCTGGATGGCGGTATGCTCATGAGGATGCGCTGGCAAGCAATGCATGCAGATGCCCGATGAGCAGCAGTCCTTGCAGAAAAAGGTGCACTGCCGCAAGCAGAAAAAAGCGTTCAGGGTGACCATGCTGGCAGCTTCGATGCAGCATTTGCTATGAAATGTGAGTGGAACTTGGCTTGCTGTGTTGTGGAGTGAGGATACCTGAACACGAGGATCAACAGTCTCCATTTTAATGGCCAAGACCAAATTAGCAGGTTGGGCTCACCTCGTTCTTCCTCACCCCATCGTGATCCTCACAGGGATCAAAAAAATCAGACGACAACAGTGACGGAAACCAGTCCGGCACAGCCGTGCAGATTGGACCTTCCTCCTCCATCAGCAGAGGAGGTCCCTCCTTCCGGCAGCATTTGCCAAAGCATCTGCAACAGAAATAAGAACCCGTCAAGCTAGCAGTTGTGACCTGGGAAGATGGCAAATGCAAGCGTGATCAGTCCGTAACGCTCGATCCTTTTGTAGGGTTACTCCCAGACTCAGAACTGATATGCATAAGTTGTCGGAACAAACCTTTTATTGTGTTCTGACGTTCTTCCTAATAGGCCTGTGAATGGCATCTAATCACCACGCCCAGCAACCCAAAATCTGAACAACGCGCCCCACACAATATCTTCGATTTACACACTGGGCACGACCACGGCAGGGCATTGGACATGTTTCCGAGTTTTCATGCATACTTGCATCAATTGCCTCGCAAAAATTCAAAATGCATGGCGAGTACAGAGTGCTAGCTACTCGGATCACTTCGACACTGTGGTTGCGAGCATACCTGATGTGTAAGCAATTCGGCAGAACAACCTGCTAATTATCCTCAGAAATCCCAAACAGTGACTTGTGTTTGGTAATTAGACTGATATTGATGATGAGAAGAATTGCAGACGCTTACGGCGTTTCGCATTCCCTGGGATTCAGCAGGAGAAGGACGGTCAGTGTCTACAAGTAGACGTCCCAGGAAGAATTGGTACCACGAGATTTCGCACAAATGTGAAAGTTAAAGGATGATCCGTTTGTTGAAGGCCACGAGCCCGAGTTCGGTGGTTGTGTTCCCTTAGGGCAAATCCCCATTTCTTTATATGTGTAATAATTGAGCCCTACCGAGGCGATGATTTAATGTGACATTTCCACATAAAACCTGCGTGAGGTGGTGAATCCTCGCCTTTTTTTGAATCATGTTCACATTAGGACAAGAAACATTAGATACAGCGATATGCCTAGGTTGAACCCTTAAAGTTCCTACTCTGCCGCTTACACTCAGTGGGCTGCAGGCTGCCTTTTAGCACTGACTCCGAGTCCGACTGAGTCAGCACTGATGGCATCCTCTAGAGGAGAGATCCTGGTTTTGGTCATGAAACACAACAGGATCAAAGTAGCATGTGCAAGACTTGTCATCCAGTTGGTTCCACTTGCACCGTGACTTGAGAGCTAAGCTATGAGCAGGCAGTGCAGTGAGCAGTGAGGTGCCACCATCAGTGATATGCATATCATGATGCATGCAAACACCCGTGATGGCGTACCTGACCTCCTGGAAGGCCATCTGTCAGTCCCAGTGACTTCTATCTGTCTCTTTCCTCTGATGAAGATATCATCGATGGTGTGATGCAATGATTCTCAAATGGCTTGCAGTGTGCGCCATTTCCTTCCCCCAGTCGGACTCCTGTTCGGATCCAATTCAGAGCTCATGAGCTGATCAGCTGCTGCATATCTTAACGTCCTGCATGCATTTCTAGTCCGCTGAATCCATACAATGGCACCAGCTGACCTCTAATGGGGCACCTCAGGTGCCCATCATGTTTTGAGTATGAGAACTTTGTCTGTCCCTTTCTTCCACAACTTGGACCACCTTTCAGCTCCACTCCTGTGTTAGACAATGCTTGGGCTACCCGACAAGAACCTAGATGGGTAATTCTTCACTTTTAAAGTTGTTCACGGCTTGGGATCTCAGCATGCATATATCGGTGCCGCCACTGCTCAAATTTCAAGGTGCAAGGTTTCAAGAATCAAGCTTAGCTGGTCCAAGGCCTGGACTCCAGACTATTAAAATTCAACTTCCAAATTGAACGCATGCATCCACTTTTCAAGCTTCGTTCTCGTTGTCTGGGGTCACGCTGCTGGTTTCTTTGCCCAAGAAGTCCTGCAAGCATGCAAAAGGGAGATCAGTGCAATCCTGCGGACATCCTGGAGGAGTTACAAGCACAGCACACATAAAAGCATGGGAGCGCCTCGAGCCCCCAGGAACCCATCAAACCAGAAGTGCTTTGGGATTACCTGAATATATTGAAGAGCAGAAGACTCGATGATAACCTTATCGGCCCGCAATATGTCGGAGACAATAAGTCTGTCAGCAGAGGTGAGCTTCAATGTAGGAATGTTTCGGCTGGACAAGAGTAAGGATTGTGTCATCTCATTGACAATCAGGAGTGCGTGACTGCCTGGAGTGACCCCCCATTTCAGCAGTGCTTGAGCCATCACTCGGGTCTTTGCGTCCGTCACAAATCCCTGTCACAGGAAATCAAAGTGAGACCACACACTAGCCGCTTGTCATGATCAGTCAAACCTGCAAATTTTACCCCCGTTGAATAGAAGGCCAAACGTACCTGGACATCCTCTATGACTTTGATGTCTGGTGCAGCACTCTGCAAAGCAGTCGCCACCGCCAATCTGCGCTCCTTCTTATTGATTTTTATGGTCCAGTCTGTTGGCTGTGCGACACAGGAAGAGAGGATGAGTATCAGATGAGAAAACACACATTCTCTACTGTCCCCTGCTCTGCACAACAATCTCCCACCTTTGGACCAAAAGAAACCCCTCCTCCAGGCCGCAGCGGCGTGCGGCGCGAGCCAATCCGTGCATTGCCTGTTCCTTTCTGGGCATATGGCTTCTTCCCACCGCCTCGCACTTCTGCTCTGGTCAACGTGCTGGCAGTCCCCTACCAACAACAACATCGCCTCGGTGTCAATTCACGAAAGGCCATGGCGCAGCTGGATTGAAAAGGATTCCAAAAACAACTGAAGAGCCTCACCGCCTTCTACAGTGGGCTTTAAAGTTCTAGAGCCCTGACAACTAACTTGCATACAAAGAAAAGCACTGTCAAAAGGTTGCATTCGAATCATTCTACTCACCCTTCGGGCATTCTGCTTTTCCGTTACCACACATCTGTGGACCAGCCCCTTCGCAGTGAAGGGATCTGCGATCTTGAGGGCTAGGCGCTCGGAACCCCTCGCCTCGCCGTCGAAGGATAAGACTTCCAGAGCTGCAGGGTCTGCTATGGCAGAAGATGACACTGACAGGCCAGAAGTTCTCTTTCCCTGCCTTTGTGGTTTGGGCAAAACTGTCAGACGTGATAGGTTTCTGGATCCAGGGCATGCCCACAACGGACGATTCGGTTGCTGAAGCATTGTATGGGTTGCCACAGGGACCACCATGCTCTTCTCTATACCTTTGTCCTTCCAGAGTCCTGGATAATCTTAAGGAACAAGCGGCTGCCCCGCACTCCATCACCTTCCTTCCCCTGGGAAACGCTAGGTCATGGAACATAATTAACCTAACAGACTACCTCGGCTCATAAATGCTCATTACATGCACACGAGTAGAATATCGGTTCATGAACGAGCCCAGCATGTGAAGTGGTTCAATCAATCTCGTCAAGATGGAGGATTCAAAAAGCGACGATGGCCTGTACCCCATCGCTGTTCTGATGTAAGCTGGAGTCCTGTTCCCTTACGAGTCCGCTGAGGAGTCCCCATAGATCTTCTTAACACGATGTTTTTCTTGTGCAGAGATGAGCTCAAGAATGAGGACGTGGCATTGAGGCTGAACTCTGTGCGCCGGTTAAGCACAATAGCCTTGGCTTTGGGAGAAGAAAGAACACGCCGAGAGCTCATTCCTTTTGTGAGCGAAAGCAACGATGACGAAGACGAAGTTCTCTTGGCATTGGCAGAGGAGTTGGGTCGTTTCATCCCCTACGTGGGGGGACCAGAATATGGCCATGTTCTCTTGAGCCCGCTGGAAAACCTGTGCACCGTAGAGGAGACAGTGGTGCGCGACAAGGCAGTACAGTCATTGGCTGCGATAGCCTCAGAACTGCCGACAAAGAGCGTCTCAGAATACTTTGTGCCCCTTGTCAAGGTGTGCAGAGTCCTGATCGATTCTTGCTTCCTGATATCCAAGGGGAAAATGGACGTGCATATTTACACGAGCTTTTCATGCAGAGGCTCGCTGGAGGCGAGTGGTTCACTTCCAGGATTTCGTGCTGTGGCCTGCTGCCAGTGGCCCACCGTGTTTCAACACAAGAAAGCGAGCTCCAGGAGCTCAGGGGCTTATACCGTGTTTTGTCACAAGACGACACGCCCATGGTCCGGCGTGCTGCCGCTCAGAACCTCAGCGGAATGGCAGAGACTGTAGAGCAGCAGGTTTTGAGCCAAGATATCTGCCCCATCTTCATCAAGCTCACACAGGACGGTAAGTGCACCCCTTTGGCCTTGGCTGTGTTGGCTGATTGCTCAAAGTGCAACCAGCTTGTGTCAAGTTGACAAAACTGGCGATGCAGATCAAGACTCGGTTCGCTTGCTGGCTGTGCAATGCTGCGGCCCTTTGGCACGCTCGCTAAGCAAGAGCGAGTGCCTCTCCTCTGTCGTCCCGGTTGTGCAGCGGTTTGCCCAGGTGAACCTCACAGGAATACTTGCACAATGCCTTTGCCCTCATTCCCCGTGATTTACATGCTTATTGTTGTGCTTGGGCCTGTGAAAGGACAAGTCCTGGCGCGTACGGTACAATGTGGCGCAACAATTGCACATGCTCTGTGCTGCGCTGGGCGCGGAGGCTTCCAGGTGAGTCCATTTGGCCGGACCATGTTGTCCTGGGTGGTTATTAAGATCATCAATGCCCTTCATTTGCATGCTGCAGAAAGAGAGTCATATTCCTTTCAAAAATCAGGCAGCAGCTTTTGATGCCATGGGCCAACCTAGTGGTGTGAGTGCTGGTGCCAAAGAATGCTGTCATGCTATGATAGGAATGAGATAGTACCCCCTTTTCTGAAGCTTCTGCGGGATAGCGAAGCAGAAGTGAGGGTTGCCGCTGCCGGCAAGGTTGCGGCGATCAGCAACCTGCTGGATGCAGACACGGTAAGCAGGCATTTTATTCTGTCAACTTCTCAAATCGGTGAAAGCATGCATCCCTTTTCTCATTGCAACATACGTCTTGACTGTATGTTCAGGTGATCAGGGTGGTCCTGCCCTGTGTGAAAGTGCTCGCAGCTGATAGCAGTCAGTACGTGCGGAGTGCTCTTGCTGCTGTTGTCATGGAGATGGCCGCGGCCCTCGGCAAATCAGCCACCATTGAGCATTTGCTACCTGTCTTCCTAAGCCTTTTAAAGGACGATGTCCCAGATGTGCGACTGAATATCATTTCCAAGCTTGATCAGGTATGGCCCCCCATGCGGTTATTGGCGTCTTGTATTGGTTTGGACGGGGTCTTACATGCCATGACTAGTCCTATTCCAAGCATGCAACTGATTGTAAGCTTGGTATATGCAGGTAAATCAGGTGATTGGAATCGATCTTCTAGGGGAGAGCTTGATGCCCGCCATCGAAAATTTGGCAGATGACAACCACTGGCGGGTCCGATTGGCTATCATCAAGTACATACCCCTGCTGGCAACGCAGCTAGGTGCTGATGTATTCCAACAGCAACTTGGGCAGCAGTGCATGAGGTGGCTTGAGGATCAGGTGAGCCTTTGGCCAACACATGCATGTGTTGGTTCAGACAAACACATTCTGCTAGCCCTTCGTGACCTTCAGCTTTGCAAGCACTACATTCTGGCAGAGACAAACTAAAGAGAGAGCTGGTTCAACAGGTGTTCTGCATACGCGAGGCAGCGACACTGAATCTGCAGAAATTGGCAGCGGAGTTTGGTCCTGAGTGGGCTAAAGAGCATCTTGTTCCTCAGGTATGATGAGAAGAGGGTGGCTGACGTCTTGATAAATGTCCTTTCAGACAGATTCTCCTTACTCCCTGGCGCTTGCAGTTCTTGTTTTCTGCATTCCTCCTTTGCTAGATATCTTCAGCACTCTGACTTTGATGCACAGGTCCTAGCCATGGTGAACAATTCCCACTACCTGTACCGCATGACAATCCTCTCAGCTGTTGCAGCTCTTGCACCTGCTGTCAGTCATGACGTCCTGTGCAACAATATGCTGCCAGTCGTCATATCTTGCGCAAAAGACAAGGTAGACACCTATCTGGGTAATGACAAGCTGTGCAATTTAATTGGCAATCTGCAATTGCCATAATCTGGAGACCTGCTGCTATCTAATGTCCTGCTTGTGCAGGTTCCAAACATCAAGTTCACTGTGGCAAAGATGCTGGAACGTCTTGTTCCTCTGGTGGATGCTGCTATCGCTGAGCACACAATCAAGCCCTGCCTGCTGGAGCTTGCTGATGACAGCGATGCAGACGTGCAATTTTTTGCTCAGCATGCGCTGCAGTCCTGCGAAATTGTTACTGCTGCGTAAATGCAGAAATGGTCCACACTTGCCTTTTGTCGACTTGCAATTGAAAGACTGTAAAGATTTCAACACTGCCTACTAACAACCCTCCTGGCCAATGTGCCTGTCACTTCATTCTGAAAGATGTGAAGGGGTCTTTGCTTAAACATCTTGCGTAGGCATCCCTCCGTTTTCAAATATTATTAAGTTTTTGTGACTAGAATTTCCTGTTGCTGCTCAAGGGCCAACATATACAGTCAAATTGTGTATTGACCAGCAAGTGCTTTCCTCTGTGTTGTTCTGTGCCTCAAAAAAGGGAAGGGGGTTTCAGTTGCAGCTGACAATTGTGCAGGGTAATGTGCATTCCCGGCAGTGCTTGCATGCCAGGCATGTCTGCGGTTGTGGGATGAAACAGCTTTACTGTGATCCATCGCATGGTTTGGAAGTGAATTTTCCTCCTGCCAGGTGATCCGGCAGCCTTCAGCAGGTGATTGCTCTAGATCTCTAAGGCCCTAGGGACCCGGGTCTGCACATGCCTGCATTACATCCTATACGTCGAGCAACAGTGTTACTCGTTTGGAACAAGGACTGCGCAAATGTTGATCACAACATACAGCTCGATGTCCTCAAGCGCATCTTGATACAAGAGTTCAAACTTCTTCGAGTTGCACTTGCGGCCCCACAGACAGGCCTTCAGCGGACAATGCAACACATGACTTGGAGTAGGCGTGAGTACATTGACAGGATCTACTGAATTTACGACACCGAGAAGCTAGCCTTTCTAGCTTACGATGAGCCGAGCGTATCTGTATGAAGGCAGATCCCTGACGAGCCATGTGGCTGGCCCTAACTCCGGGTGACTTCCAGACACCAAAAACACTCTGCCAGCTAACCCCGGTTTCATTTCCCATCTGCTGCTGTCTCCGCTCAGGTAAAAGGGCTGACAGGCCACAGTCAAGGGCTCACAGACGTCGCCCACGGCGCCCACCCTTGCGCCTTGTTGAGTCAGTGGGTATGGGAGTCACATCCTCTGGAGCAACACACACACCCTTCTCAGTCCTATCAAGCACTTGCTGTGAGCCAGCTCAGCCACACATCTATAGCAGCATTGGAAACACTGATATAGAAGGCTATGTCCTCTGCAATATCATGTGTTCCTTCTCCAGTGACGATTAAAGAGAACCAGCACTTCCATTCGCAACCTTATTGAAGTTCTGAATCTCTCACCTATGCGCCCAATTTTGATACCAGCACGGGCCAGTGCCCGAAGGGCAGACTGAGCTCCCGGTCCAGGTGTCTTGGTTTTGTTGCCCCCAGTTGCGCGCAACTTGATGTGCACAGCTCCGATTCCCAGCTCCTGCAATAGTAGGGCAAAATTTTAACCTCCAGAATGGAGATGGGCTCCAGTATCTTGAAGGAAAACAATTGTGAAGGGAAGTGTCCATTCTTCTGAATGGCTGCAGCGATACCTTGCAACGAACTGCCACATCTTGAGCAGCAAGCATGGCAGCGTATGGCGAGGACTCGTCACGATCAGCCTTGACCTTCATGCCGCCAGTGACGCGTACCAGCGTTTCCTTGCCAGACAAGTCAGTGACATGGACAAAGGTATCATTGAAGGATGCAAAGATGTGTGCAACTCCATAAACTATCTCGCCTTCACGAGTGCTGGGGCCAATGGTCACATTTTCTTCTGCTCCAGACGACTTTTTCTTGGGAGCCATCTTGTTCAGCGATCGCGTGACACTTGCAACAAGATGTGACTTCGAACTACCTTGGCGGCTTGCGCAGAAACACAGTGAAGTCAGTATTGACCCCTGGCAAAACCTCTTTAGTCCCCTTAAGGTTGTAATACAAGTCTCAGTAACCTATACAGCTGAGAAGGAAGACCTTGACCCAGCCAAAAGAGAGCGTGAAAACTTCTGCGTGTCTTGCTGCCGAGCGATCTGTTGAGCAATCTTGCTGAAATCGTTACATGCTACTTTTTATTCCCTGCGCGCCCGCTGTATATTGCCTTGCCAGAGGATTGTGGTAATGGTGTGTGTTTTCAGGGACCTCGCTATTTCAATGAGATTTGTGAATTTTCGAATCAATATATTTCTGTTCGATAACGGCTATATGTGGCCAATTATAGCCAAGCCCATGACTATCTTTCCCTCCATTCCACTGCAGGAAGAAGCTATGCTCGATGATGTCATAGACCGCCTGTTGGAAGTCCGGGCTGGGCGTCCTGGGAAGCAAGTCCAATTAACAGAGCAGGAGATTCGTCAACTCTGCCTCACAGCGAAAGAAATCTTCATGTCTCAGCCGAATCTCCTGGAGCTTGAAGCTCCCATTAAGATATGCGGTATGTGCTGCTCGATCAAACAAAATATTGTGCTTTTAGTACTTTAATCTGTGGGAAAGGGAAGCTTACTTGAACAGTACCTGTTTCAGGGGACATCCATGGACAGTACTCTGACCTCTTGCGGCTTTTTGAGTATGGTGGCTTTCCTCCCGAGGCCAACTATCTCTTCCTGGGAGACTATGTTGATCGCGGGAAACAAAGCCTGGAGACAATCTGCCTCCTTCTGGCCTACAAGGTTTCCTCTACTTCCTGCGCTACAGTCATGAGTTTTCTCCTATCCTTGCTGTCGAGCCAACTGGGCCTTCTCTGGCCATATACAGCATGCTTATTGTTTGCCATTTTGCTGTCTCATTTGCTGACCTAACAGAGAAAGATTGAATTGCATGCAGGTCAAGTATCCGGAAAATTTCTTTCTTCTTAGAGGCAATCATGAGTGTGCATCGATAAACCGCATTTATGGGTTCTATGATGAATGCAAGCGGCGGTACAATGTGAGGCTCTGGAAGACCTTCACTGATTGCTTCAATTGCCTACCTGTGGCTGCACTGGTGGATGAAAAGGTAAGTTGAGCAAGGAGTACAGTTTGCTGGCTATCAATGGGGTCTTTCTTGTGTTCCCTGTGCCCTGTTTCCCCCCAACTTTGAGAAGTGGTCTGTTGTCGAACAGATTCTCTGTATGCATGGTGGCCTCTCTCCAGAATTGAAATCGCTGGAGCAAGTGAAGCGCATTCCTCGCCCAACAGATGTCCCAGATACAGGCTTGCTGTGCGATCTGCTATGGGCAGACCCCGACAAAGAAATTCAGGGCTGGGGTGAAAACGATAGAGGCGTTTCCTACACATTTGGGCCTGACAGTGTGTTGGACTTCCTTGCTAAGCATGACTTGGACCTGATCTGCCGAGCACACCAGGTGAAGTCTGGACAAGCTGGGCAACTGTTGTTGTGTTGGTCGGCCTTCTGCGTTCTCAGCATGGTGCACATCCTGGCACTATTCTTTATCAGGACTTGCTGAACATCTGGCTGGTTCTGAAGGTGGTGGAGGATGGCTATGAGTTCTTTGCTAAGCGACAGCTTGTCACCATATTCAGCGCGCCCAACTACTGTGGTGAATTTGATAATGCTGGAGCAATGATGAGCGTGGATGAGACACTCATGTGCTCTTTCCAGGTGAGTGCTGACAAAACAATGTTTCTCATATTAGATGAGCTGCAAGATCTGCTTGTGTGCACTTCCCAAAGTATTCAAGATGTGATTTGGCACATAAATTGTCCCTCACATGACACATGGTTGGTCTGCAGATCCTGAAGCCGGCGGAAAAGAAGCAGCGCTTTCTTCCTCCAGTTGTGCGCAAGCTATAAATGGCTGGGCAAAGTACTCCGAAATGCAGCATAGCAGGTAGTTGGTTGCCGACTGTTGGCATAAAAAGTTGTGTTGACTCTCTTTAGGTTCCTCTTATCTGTCTTCATAGAAGGCTGATCAGACGAAGGTTGAAAGCTGGGAGCATCGAGGATGGCGGTGACGGGCACATTCCATGACGTTCAAGCTATGATATGCTTTGATGTTCGCATATCATTTTCTATAATATGCTGCAGAACTTGTTTTGCCCATGCGCCTGACTATGACTGGTCATTTGACGTCGGGTGTACTGATTTCAAAAACTTATGAGAGTGCTTCTTCAAGAAAGTTGATTCTCCCTAATGTCACGTTCAATATATTCAATATATATTGCGCATGCGTCCGACAATCATTGTTAGTCATACATGATCTAACGCTACTTGTGTAAGTAGCCTACTGAGTCAACTTGTGTCCGCTTAACTTCACTGAAGACGCCCACTGGGCGTCCCTTAACCCGGCTACCAAGGTAAGTATGCAGCAAAAATAGTATATATCTGCACCAATGTCGCCAATCACTTCAAAGATCTTCAAAGATTGTCATATGAAATCCACACAATATTCAGGACTGTGGCGCGCGCCACGCGCACGCAAATGTCTCAGGCCGCGGGCTTCTGAATTTTCTGATGCGATTGCCAGCAGCGCTGTCCTGTAACTAATAGCACTATACTGCTGCCAGACATTTATCGATGAATGGTGGATCAAGCCTGAAGCTCAATGTCCTAGGGGAGCCCTCCAAGGTGTTCAAGTCACTGTGAGCAACCTAACACAGGGTAGCAGTGTCACACTTATACGGTATTCAAGAACCACCACAAACACGGTCCAGTTGCTAGCTATGGATCGATAAGCACTAGTGTTCTGGTTTTCAGCTTGAGCTACTGCCGCTGTACAGTGTACACAGGGCCATGGCTGGCATGAATTTTGAGGACCAGACTCAGGCCACTGACTGCTCAATGAGGATTCACATATATAACTTGAATATTGAGCATGATGTTCTGCACCTTGTCGGACAGCGCGCGACAAGACGCCAGGTTGTACTGCATCATGTATGGCAGTATGCATTATTCTCAAATAGAAATTCACCATTGTGTGTGCGCTAACACAGTATATACCATTAGAATTGGGAATCCTGCACAGACAATTAAGTGTGTCTGGCGGAAATCTGTCTGGCCAGATTTCTGCCTCCCTGGAGACGGATATGATATGCTCCCATCACTTCAAGATTGACATGAAGAACTTCTTCAGAAAAAGACTATCTGATGAAATCATTGCTCCCTCATTGTTATCTGTCAGATTTTCCACACTTGTTGCAGCATTGCAATGGCCAGACATGACTCTCAAAAGTACATGGCCCAGGTCACAAGAAGAAGCTGGATGTCTCACAAGGTTCCGATAAGATGCAAATTATCCTGACTTGAACAGCAGGATAGCTTGAGGACCTGCGTTGCGACAATGGCACGGTTTAGTGAGGGCCCTTCAGTGAGAGGCGCATAGCAGTCAGAACCACCAAATTCTGCAGTCCTTACAGGTGATTAGGCTACTCACCTATGTAAAAATAGATGAAGTGGCTGCTTTCATGAGTGACATACGACCCTGCACAAGTCTCCCTCTTAGGCTGCCCTTGTTATTGCTGGGCGCCTTGTCATCCAAGACGGTTAGCCTCACTTAGTGGGAACGAAACCAAGCGCACCGAAGTTTCTGCCGACGATGCAGTGCCATGTTGGCTTGAATTTCTCGTCAAAGTGCTTCTTGATTGTGGCAGCGATGTCCTTTTCAACAGTGTAGAGTTCCATGGCCTATCAGACGCGAAATCCAATATTCGACGTCGCTCAGGATCAAATGATGATGAATACGAAACAGCTGAGTGCACACGTGAGTCGCATGAACACACAACCTCAGATGCACATTGAATCGCCTCGCTCTGAAGATCTTCGCGCATGTCCACACACTTGATGACCACACGTTTCTCCTCCATTGCAAAGCTGTGCTGTTCGAGGTAGAGCTTGCCACATGCAAGAGATACGAGTAGAAATCTACTTGTCACCTATTCCATTGCCAGGATTGCACTCCATCTATCAACCGTCCTAATGCGGAATGACTTTATCTGGACCTCACATAACACATTTGCTGGTTTTCCCGACCTCCTAACAATTCTCTTGCAATGAAATTCTATTGTTGAAGGACGGGACAAGGGAGCGCGGGAAAAGCTTCCGGAGAAAACACCGACACACAGCTGATCAGCTGATCACCTGCAGGGGTTTTAAGGGATGCAAGGGTTGACCCCAGCTTGCCCTACACACAAGCGGGAAATGGACACTGCCTTTGCTGAATTGCACATTCGCAATCTCGGCTTGATCCATACAATTCTGTCGTGTTGACCTTGACTGATGCAAAGCATGCATTGGATGTGCTGCATATAGGACGAAGATTGAGTGCTCTGAGGTGCAATGTTCGTTCAAAAGCGCGATGGACGCCGCGAGGCTGTCTCCTTTGACAAAATCACGGCAAGGGTTACAAAGCTATCGTACGGTCTGAACACCGACTTTTGTGACCCGGTGAGACCATACATGGCCTGTCCAACAAAGTGTTGTTATGCGAGGCGCCCAAGTGCCTCGCTTGGTCCTCCAAATTGGTGCTATTGCATGTAAAATTCGGTTCCTTCACTCAGTTCTGTGCGTCATGTATAAATTCCGTTCATCTGTTAGGTGCTCGTGGCGCAAAAGGTCACTACAGGAGTGTACAAAGGAGTGACCACAAGCGAACTGGACGATTTGGCGGCAGAGACTGCTGCTTCCATGACCGCCACCCATCCTGACTATGCAACGGTAAGCTAAAACACGAGATTGAAGCTGAAGCATCTTTGCATCGCGCGGCTGCTTTGAGGGAGCCTTAGCACCTCCTCCTCTGCTGTGCATTGAGTGATAGTGTTCTGTCCGCAGTTGGCAGCCCGCATCGCGATCTCAAATCTGCACAAGAACACATTGAAGTCCTTCAGCGAGACGTGAGCATCTTTCCCAAAACTTGCTGTTTTGTTTTCTTCTTCTGTCCTTGTAATAGCTGACATCCGCCTGCTTGCAGGATGAAATTGATGTATTCGCACGTGAATCCAAAAAACGGGGAAGCATCTCCACTGATTGCAAGAGATGTATTCGAAATTGTACTCCAGGTATGCAAGAAGCTCCTGTTTTATCTGTTGTAAGTGCCTTGTACTACCCTGCACTGACAGTCTTTTTACCATAGCATGCGGAGCGGCTGGACAGCGAGATAATCTACAATCGCGATTTCGACTATGATTACTTTGGATTCAAGGTAAGAGCCTACAATGCTTGTGCGATAATGCTGTGTAAGAAATCCCTATCCTGCTTACAGGGGCAGTTTCATGTGAATGTGTCCTCGTGATTGTGTCAGTTGCTGCCCTGTGCAAATTAAGGGCAGGAAAGCAGGATTCATCATCACCAATTTGTTTGTTTCTGTAGACCCTGGAGCGCTCATACCTGCTACGGATCAATGGTGCAGTTGTGGAACGGCCGCAGCACATGCTCATGAGAGTGGCTGTTGGCATCCATAAAGAGGTAATTTTGAAGGCGTGCACCTGCGGAATCTGCTTTGTTGCCTGGTCATGACATGAGCTGTAGTCTTTACCAGAACTTTCACCATGGTGGCCATGTGGTTCAGGACATTGAAGCAGCAATACGGACATATCACTATCTCTCAGAGAGGTGGTTCACTCATGCATCGCCTACCCTGTTCAACGCTGGCACACCCCGACCACAGCTGTCCTCCTGCTTCCTCATTGCAATGAAGAACGACAGTATAGAGGTATGTCAAGCTGTCAGTTGTAGTCTGAAGGCATATGTCCTTTTTTGACGCTCGATATCTGATACTGGAAATGCATGTCAGGGCATATACGACACCTTGAAGGAGTGTGCAGCCATATCAAAGAGTGCTGGTGGGATTGGACTCTCCATCCACAACATCCGTGCAGTGGGTTCATACATCCGTGGCACCAACGGGACATCCAATGGCATTGTCCCAATGTTGCGGGTCTTCAATGACACTGCAAGGTGAGCCGTATCCGCATGAGCTGGGCTCCTTTCGTTTCTTGCCACCCCCAAAGTGGGATAGAGAGTAGATGTTGCTGTGCAGGTATGTGGATCAGGGTGGTGGCAAGCGAAAGGGTGCCTTTGCAATATATCTGGAACCATGGCATGCAGACATCTTTGATTGGTTGGACCTGCGCAAGAACCATGGGAAAGAAGAGGTGTGGCATGCTGGCATTCAATGGAAAATTGTCTTCATTCAACTGCTGGCATGGCTCAAACAATTTCTGGTCAGCTAAGCAACAAGCCCTGCGTTGCCAGCATTGTTGATCAATTGCCGTGCACATACCTTTCAGGCTCGTGCACGTGACCTCTTCTATGGCCTGTGGACCACTGATCTCTTCATGGAGCGTGTGGAGTCCAACGCTGACTGGAGCTTGTTCTGCCCCAACGAGGCCCCTGGTCTGGCTGATTGCTGGGGCGATGAACACGCTGCCCTATATACTCGCTATGAGAGAGAAGGCAGAGCCAAAAGGGTCATCAAGGCACAGCAGTTATGGTTTGCAATCCTGGAGGCACAGGTAACTTGCTCCTCTACATGGAACCATGAGCAATTGCCATAACTCGCTTGGGAGAAATCTCTTGTGGGAAACGATGATGTAACAATGTACTGCAACCTTTGAAGAAAGTACTGACCGCAGGTAGAAACTGGCAATCCATACATGCTGTTCAAGGATTCATGCAACCGGAAGTCGAACCAACAGAACCTGGGAACCATCAAGTGCAGTAATCTCTGCACAGAGATTGTGGAATTCACATCACCTGAGGAGACTGCTGTCTGCAACCTTGCCTCCATTGCCCTGCCTCGCTATGTGCGCGAGCGGGAGGGCACCCCTTCAAGTGGGCGACCCAAGCTTGCAGGCTCTCTCAACGCTCCGAACAGGCATGCACCAAGCCCCTTGTCATCGAGTCGTAAGCTGGAAATGAATCCTTTATACTCATCACATTATTGACATCACGGTGCTGGTCCCAGGTACTTCGACTTTGAGAAACTGCAAGAAGTCACACACATCATCACGGAGAACTTGAACAAGATCATTGACATCAACTTCTACCCAGCTGAGACGGCCAGGCGTTCAAACATGCGGCACAGACCAATTGGCATCGGTGTCCAGGTGAAATCCATTCAACATATTCATGCACTGCCCCAGCTGCAAATTTGATCAAATGCCACCCAGCCCGCTCCCCGTGACCAGCAACGCTGTCTGTTGCTCTTTGCATGACTGTGTCAACTGCCGAGCAGGGCCTGGCGGATACCTTCATTCTTCTTGGCATGCCATTCGACAGTGCAGAAGCAAAGCAGTTGAACAAGGAGATCTTTGAGACAATCTACTTTGCAGCCCTGGAGAAGTCCTGCTCCCTTGCCAAGACGGACGGTGTGCCTTATACCCTGTACCTGTTCATTTGCATATTCAGCCATCGGGCAATCCATGATAGCATCGCCGCTTTGGCCCATGCATGCTGCACCGCAAATTAGCCAGAAACCGCCTTTGTGTTGACAACTCAACATTTCTGAGTGCCATGGGACACTTTTTGGTGAGAAGAACACATTGCATCCGCTTCTTCTTGCCTCATAGGAACTTTTTGTGGTGCAGGCCCCTATGAAACATATGCTGGTAGCCCAGTCAGCAAGGGTGTGCTGCAGCATGACATGTGGGAAGTGCAGCCTCCAAGCCAGAGATGGGACTGGGACACTCTGCGAGCTAGCATCGCCCAGCATGGAGTGCGAAACTCTCTGTTAGTGGCACCCATGCCCACAGCTTCCACTTCTCAGGTATCTTCCTACTTGGCCTCTCAGCTGAGACCACTGCATTTGCTGGGCTCCCGGAATTTATGGAAGACTCGGAGTGATACTGATTGGCATGTGTTGCAGATTCTGGGCAACAATGAATGTTTTGAGCCATACACCAGCAACATCTACGTCCGAAGAGTGCTCTCTGGCGAGTTCACAGTTGTCAATCAGCATCTGCTCTCAGACTTGGTTGCCAGCGGCCTCTGGTCTGCCGACACCAAGAATGAGCTAGTCGCCGCGAATGGAAGCGTGCAGGTGGGGCTCTCGTCAAGCCATATGTCAAATCGTTCTGCGCCTGATTTCTGCAACTTGTCTTGTTGCTTGTCTCGTTGCAAGTCTCTGGCTTTGCATTGCATACTTAAGGCTTATTTCACAATGCTGGCTTATAAGCCGCAAACAACAGGCAACAGTGAGAGGCACAGCAATATGAGAAGCCATGTTGCTATGACTCCTGGAAATATTGTGATGGTGCTTTATCAACTTTCGGGTTGTTGCTCAGGGACTCGACATCCCCGATGACTTGAAAGCCCTGTACAAGACGGTGTGGGAGCTGAAGCAGCGCACGCTGGTGGACATGGCTGCCGATCGCGGGGCATTCATAGATCAGTCGCAATCCTTCAATGTGCACATGTCTGATCCCAACTTTGGGAAACTTACCTCTCTGCACTTCTACGCCTGGAAGGTTTGCACCTGTTTTGAAACCCAGCATTTCCTGAAATATAATGCATTGAACTTACTTCTATGTTTTGTACCCCTATCTATTTGGCTACACCTCCTAAATGTGTCACTGATCCATCGGTATTTCGCGCATGTAGGCAGGCTTGAAGACAGGGATGTACTACTTGCGCACACGTGCTGCTGCTGATGCCATAAAATTCACCGTAGATCAGCAGGCCCTCACGAAGAAAAAGGCTGCCAGGGCAGCCAAGTCTGCCGCAGACCTTGCAGCGTCTTCAGTGACAGTGGCCCTGAAGGTACTGGAAGCATCATTTCGCAAATACCATTTTGATCCATCTTGGACCAGCATGTTTCTATGAGATTGAGTTCAAGATCACCCGAGCATCAGATCTGAATTTGTTCTTACACCAGTGCTTGGTGTGCTGCAGGAGCGCAATGGATCTCCGTCCCGGCAATTTGCCAGCGTTAAGGTAGCTGCATTGGATGAGGAGATGCAGAAGGAGCGAGAGCTGGCAGCCATGGTGTGCTCCTTGGAGAACAAGGATGCCTGCTTGATGTGCGGATCGTGAGTGGTCTGGATCTCATCAGCCACACCTCCGTGCTGTCAAAACTGCAACGATGCACCAACAAACAATTCCTTGCAGCCTAATTTCAGGATATTGAACCTTGTCATATTCGAGCAACCCTTGAATCCTACTTGGAGAAGCGCATCATGCTGTATGACACAAGTTCTGGCCCACGGTACCGGGTGTCTGTCAGTGTCACTGTCCAGTGGACAAGAACTCATGATCAGCAGAATTTGGCCGGCTTTTGTAGGTAGCTGTAGCCCATTGACCTCCTGCAAATTGCCTCTGAAACCTTGACCTTTTGATCTCATGTAAGGAATTCCAACATAGGACCTTGAGTGAAAATCTGGCTTCCAGCACACAAGATCAGTAAGCCTTAGTATCCCTTACTCTGCCTTTAGCTTACTACTATTAGTAGTACCCAGTTGGTTTCCCTTCTTGACTCGAGCCTTCGCCACAAGGCTCCACAGATTTATGCGACTACCAGTAAGTGCGGATTTGAGCCACACTGGTTACCCACGTCCACTGTAGCCGTGCAGAGACTGCGTGTAATGCCGAAGGAGCCAAGAATATATACAAGTGGATGAACCGATCAGATTTTCTTGAGCAGTCTCTCCCCAAAATAGTGTCTTCGCATTAGTATTGCGGAACGTAAAATCGCAGACCTGAACCCAGTAGACGGGATGGATCCTGTTCTGGCGCACCTGTTGAGGACAGTGCGACCAGACACTGTGAAAACTAAGTTTTTACACTGCGCTCCGGAAACTTACACTGCTAGCCACGAAGTCACTCTAACGGTCAGCAACCATGGCCTGCTTGCCCCAGGGCCTGCTTGCCTGACGGGTATTGCATCCTTGCTACGTTGCAGATTTGTTTATTCAGTAAACAATACTAACAAGCTAGAGAGATGCCTCCCCATAAGAAGTTTCTAGTGCGTGGCAGGTGGCCACTTACAATGTCAATGGTCGGACACCACCGCCTGATTTGAACACCGTCCAGTGGCTAGGCTTGGATGCATCGGCAGACATTGTCGCTGTTGCTTTTCAGGAAATTGTTCCCCTGAGCGCCTCAAATGTGGTGATTGGTATGCAGCTGCACACAAAATATCCAACGGATCTTTTCTGGTTCCTCAAGCAACTCCAATGTCCTTGTGCTTCCCACCGCATGGTTTTACTGACAGGTGCACTGTGTCAGGGGCAAGTTTGGAAGCGGCTGCAGCCTGGGATAAATTGATCAGAAGAACATTGAATCCACAGGAATCACAGATAGTAAATTCAAATCTTCATTATGTACAGGTGGGCTCCACAGGCCACTTCGATGCCATGTGATTCTCTTCGCCTGCAATGATCTTCATGTCAGGATCGACGGGTCTGTGGTGGTTTACGTGGACGTGACAGGGGTCTGGCTTGCAGATTTGGATATCTGCTATTCCTCTTCTATACAGAATATTGTGAACCTGCCACAGGTGGCTGCGAAGCAGATGGTGGGCCTGTACCTCAGTGTTTGGGTGACAAAGACCATCCTGCCCCAGATACGTGGAGTTCAAGTCACTGCGGTAGGCACAGGCGTCATGGGATTCCTTGGCAACAAAGGTGATGTCCGGCATACTTGCTGCCCTGCCCTTGGACTGGGTTATGGCATGGAGGTCTTGAATGAAGGTAAGGTCAAGAACACCTGTGGCATGCTTAACCAAATTTTTTGCAGGTGCGGTCGCTGTGCGCATGCGTGTATTCGACACCGGTGTGGAGTTGATCAATGCACATCTGTCAAGCGGGGAAAGTGAAGGTGACAAGCTGAAGCGGCACAGCGATTTCTTGGAGATCATCAGACGTGGACAGTATCCCCCAGATTCTGATGCAAAGGAGCCTGAAACAAGCTTGGCAGTAATTGCAGACAGTGCATGTGCTGGCAGCAGCAAGGTGAGCCGTTGTACGCAGTAATTTGGAGTCGGACACACCGAAATTAATTGCATGCTTGTCTCTAAGACCTTTGAGAACTATTCCAAAATTCTGTTCAGGTGATGGACAGTACGCATGCATCAGGCCAGTGGGGTGAGGCACGTGCATTGTTGGAGTGTGACCAGACATTCTGGGTGGGCGACCTGAACTATCGCCTGAACTTTCCAGACAAGCAGGTGCGAGGAAGATGGATAGGTTGTGATCATAAGTGCCTTGCTTGCAACGCTGTGCACACACCCTGTATGCCAAGATTTGCTATTTTCTGGTTCACTTTTGTTACATCCACAGGGGTCCCACAGAGCCAGTCTCCAACTTAGAACTATGCTTCAGGTGAGGGAGCAGGTTCGGCTACGCAAGTTCGACGCTTTGGCAGAGCATGATGAGTTGGTGCAGGCAAGAGAGGCAGGGGATGCCTTTCAAGGCTGGTGTGAAGGAGCCTTGACCTTTCCACCAACTTACAAGTTCAGGTGCGTTCGGGATACCGTATGTACAATGTCTACTGCGCCATCGCCATAATATTGTCTGCCAGTGCTATCAATTCCTACAGCATCTATTGCCACCTGTCTGATGCATGCAACATACAGGATCATCTTTTGCACGGGTTCCTCAGTGCACATCGACTTCATGCTTCTTGCAGGAGAGGAAGTGCTAGGTATGTTGGCACCGATGCAGATCAGGATGAAATGGCCCAAGGGAATGGGAGCACCCCTGCTTTTGAAAAATTTGCTTTGGGGACTGTGGCAGCTGCTGCAGATCTGCCGAAGAGTACAATCGCCTCATCTATTGAGGTCAGATCATATGCAGAGTTCCATGCTTGCAAGCAAGAATTGCAGGGTAATGGAGCCTGAAGGCATCCTAGGTGTCTTGCTTCTCATGCACAGGTATTGCAGCTGTTGGCAGTAAGGGCAGGCTGTTTGAGGCCAGACATTGTTGCAGGGTCCAGACAAGGACAGAAGGCGTACACCTGCATGGACAGACAGAGTCCTATGGCGATCGAAGGGAAAATCAAGTGCTCCGCATCAGCTTATTTATGCATCCGCCATGGACATCATGATGAGCGACCACCGTCTTGTATATGCGGCCTTCGTCTTCCCTGTAAGTGCCTGTGCCCAGGGTCTGATGCGGTGACCTGGCTTGATGCGACCCTGAAAGGAGGCAACCTTCCTTGCGCATATTTATGTTCATAAGAACAGTGACATCTGAGCTACAGACCTACCTTCAAGATCGTCCTTGACAGCGATCATGGTGATGCCTTGCCCCCTTCATAAGGTAATTTTATCGCATAGCTTGATTGTTTGCAGGCTAGACAGTATGTGAAGGAGCTTGTGGCAGCTGCAGTGGATGCTGCTCGCCGCTCAGTTGATGCCCGAGAAATGGCTGCCATACCCAGATGTGACCTACATCCTTTGACTGTGGATCTTGGAGATGTCATGTTCGCCCAGGACAAGAGGTTTCGGCTTCAGCTGAGGAATGTAGGTCAGGTGAGCTCATGCAGTTGAGGATTGAAGGATGCCTTGCCTATGGGGGAAGGTATCCCCCATAGGGATATCTTGGGGATATCCCTAAGTATATCCCTTACTTGTGCACCCCTTGTGCACAGAATGGGCATGCTGAAAGATGGCCCAAATTTGTCTACACATTCTCAGGTAACCGCAGATTACCGTTGGATGACTCAATCAGGCAGTCGATGCAGCAAAGAAGCAGACGTGCATCTTGGTGCAATTCCGGGCTGGGTGAGCATCAATCCAATGGAGGTGAGACGGCTGTACTAGGTTCATGAATTGCTGTACGCGCAATAGATTGAAACATCAGAACTCGCTTTGTTGATGCTGTTGCCTGGTTTCTGTAGTGCACCATTGCACCTGCAATGCTTCGTGAGGACAAACATGCTTGCAGGGTGAATTGGAGGAAGGGGCAGCAGTAGAAATGGATCTGGTGGTGCGCATTTCTGGTGGTCCAAAGGGGGATGCAGAGCGATTGGTGTCCTCAGAGGTGTGGTATATACAAATAAAAAGACAAATTCTTTGATGAACTCACACCAACCCTGTGCACAAGTGGCCAATTGCATGCATTGGCATGACCCAGTGTGCAATCTTGCAGGCTTGTCGGCTTGACGCTATTCTTATACTCTGCGTCCAAGACGGCAACGATGTCTTCTGTTCATTGACCGGCACCTTCATACCATCATTTTTTGGTCTATCACTGTCAACCCTGGCCCAGCGTCCGAGGAACGTCTCTACTGATGTGCAAATTGTCAATACATAATTCTTGCACTGTTCTGCTGGGAAGATCAATGAAAATTCATGAAGTGACACAAGATGAACAAGCAAAATCACATGGGAAAACTTTACCATCTTGCAGGCCACTTGTGCAAAGCAATCCTTCCTCAGAGGGACGTGAGAACTTGCATGCGGTTGCAATAAGGAATTCAGCTCATGGTGAGGACGTCAGTGCTGCTGCAAGGGAGGAGGATGGCCAATTTTGGTCCCCACTGTCCTCAAATATTGAGACCTCTGAAGAAGGTGATCCCCACGGCCAAGTGAAAATTGGAGGCAAGAATAATGTGGTCATTAAGGGAACTCTTACACATTCTGCTGCTGTCATCATTATGAAATCCAGAGACAGGATGACTTGCTACTTTCGATCTGACAGATACAACACATGCAGTGGATATGAGGGGAAACAACTTGTGTTCTGCGTTCTTACAGCAGCTGGTGATGGCTGTGCAGGTGATGGTGGTTGTGGCCATGTCAACAGTATCTCTGAGCCAACCGTGGTTTCACTCGAAATGGTTTGATCTCAAGCCTCGCTACCTCGAAAAGCATGTGAAAATTTGGAATAAGAAATCAAAAAGGGAATCTACATTACTGAAGTGCCTTTACATCATGATTCCCAGAGGAGTATGAAGACCACACTCATTCCTAAACAAGCAATTGCTGCTATCAAACCTCTGCTGTTTTGCAGGATCCTCGGGACTCGCAAGTACATCGAAGTGCATGTGAAGACAGGACGGCGGGAAGCCTTCTGTCACAAATGGGCGTGTCTCAAGGTTCACATTGCACGCTGGAATCTTGCAATTCAACTGCAGCTGCTATTTGCAATGGTGTAGTTGGCCTTGTGCCACCCGAAGTGAGGTAAGTCTGATCTTTACTTGGAGGAGCAGTTGGAGGCTGAAGATCCTGGGACCAAGACACCACTGCTTCCTCCTATTTCAGCTTTGCCGCATTCCAAAATTTAGCTGCTGGGTCTTGGGCACCCTTTAAGACATTTTCAGGGCACAAGAGTGCTTTTGCAGGGCTTTGTTGGAGTGGTTGATGCAAGTAGAAGCTCGGCACCTGCTGAAAGCCTTTGTGCAAAGTGCTGAGCAATCCCATAGCATTCTGCACGAGACAGCAGCTGCCAGTCCATCATCCTGGAGCCTTACCGCTCAAGCTGTGCATCGCATAAGGACCTCCTTGGACAGCGGACATGGAGTGAGCCATCCGCCATTAATTCGCGCAACGTTCACAATAGCCTGCAGAATTTCTTGTGATACCTATTCGTCTTCCTTGTTGTGAAGTCTGCCAGTCAAGAAAATTGCGACTAGCAGTGTCTGAGGGCCATGAAAAGTGATGGTGGTGAATTGTTGCGACAGGTGCCCAATGACGAGACGGAGGTGAAACATATCACAACAACCCTCCTGGCCTTCTTCACAGCCCTGCCGCAGCCCTTCATGCCAGCAGAAGTTGCGCAGGTGGGCAGTGACTTGCCTCAAGTACCCCATCAGTGTTGTTGACCAGACGGCAGGCCTGTCCAAGTCAACCACATATAGGATTAAGTAGTCCTGCTCTGCTTCACCCTGCAAGGCACTGAGCACAACAGCCAACAACAGGGTCATGCAGTATCTGCTATGTCAATGGCCAAGTGCAGTCTGCTGTGGTGCTTGATGCAGGTGTGTGATCTGTGCACACCTTCACTGCCGGCAGCATCTTCACTGCTTTCCGATGCCATGTCTCCCTGGGAGTGGGCAGTCTTTCGCAATGTCACTGGTATGCACTGCCTCTTGGATCGTATCCAAGAGGCAGTGGGGGTGGCCCTCTCTTACCTCATCTTTTCCCTGATACCTATAAAAGGTATTGTACAAGCATGCACACCATGCATGATGACGAATCCTGCTGTCCTGTTGCAGGGCTACTCAGGGATGCATTTAGACAATCAGACAATCCCAGGCAGGCTCCATGTGGCCTGGCTGCCTTGCTGGCGGAAACCTGGTTTGACAGCAGCCCAGTCATGCTCAGCGCCGGTGGCACAGGGTTGCGGTCAGAGGCAGTAACTGACCTGCAAAATGTGGTTGAAGATATGCTTTCACGCATGCAGCGCAGGGCTGCCTTTTTAGAGATCTTCCTGGACCCTTAGCTGTGCTTTGATTTAACCAACAAGAGTAAGAGAGTAAAGAACAAGAAGCACATGGACTGCCCTCGCCATAGCGCCCTTCTTCTGCATGGTGCCAGTGCATTTTGTACTTGACGACGTGCTGATTTGATGCAATGAAAAGAATAGCAATCAAGCTTTCTGATGGGAGCCCAAAGGAACGCTTCATCATTGACGGAGAATCCTATACAACACTTAGAAGTAAAGGTGTAGTGAAAGAACAGAAAGTTTCATTTCTACTGTCTTATTATCAGCTCTTCTTTGTCTTGTCCTTCCAGTACTCCCTATAGTACTCCCTATAGGTGCTCGACAATTCTGACTCGTCACAAGAGCAACTGCACAGAGTACAGAAAAGCACGCGGCAAGCTCCGTCATTGTGCGGCAATCGTTTAAAAGAAACACTCGCAGAAGTACGTGCGAAGAGAACGGCCTGAACAGAAACACAAATCTTCACATTCTCCTTTGATACCATCAAAATGAAAGAGATACTTTCCCAAGTTGCAGAGCATTGTGGGCTTCCGCGCAGTCACCGGCAGGAACGCCGTCCTCCCCAACACCACCTCTGCACAAAGCCGCCGTGATGACAGTCATTTCCAGTACAGTTTCGGGCATCATAGTGGGCTCAAGATGGTACGCCATGCTCTCCTTTGCTGCTTGAACCCCCAAACTCTGCTTCTGCTTGTTCTACGACTTTCCCTGAGACTCTGTCACATTTGCAGGCTCCCAAACCTCAGGCGAGCAAGGAAGCAAAGGCTTTGGCCGCTTCCAACAGCAGCAAAGGAAAGAAAAAAGTACGCATTAAACATTCAAGTTGATTGCACGTCACGTCTTGTGGTACTTGGGGAAGCTTCTGATGCTGGGACTGCTTTAACGATTGCAACTGCAACTGCAGAAATGGTCCAAGGGAAAGATGAAGGAGAAGGTCAACAATCAAGTCCTCTTTGACCAGGTGCGCCGAGAAATGTTTCGATTGATTTCGACGAAGGACCACTGCAGGGAAATCGGAGTTCACCTATTTGGCCAAGTGATCCTATCTCTTAAGTGGTGGTGATGCTGTTGTTGCAGGCAACGTATGACAAACTGCTTTCGGAGGTGCCGAAGTACAAGTTGATCACACAATCAGTCCTCTCCGATCGCCTCAGGGTACGATTCTAAGATCACTGTAGTGCTTTTCTGAGTCTATCTGTGGTGCTGTGTTGTCTGTGTACTCATACATTTCTTTGCACTTGATGCGCAGATCAATGGAAGCCTTGCACGGGCGGCCATGCAGATTCTCAGGGAGAAGAATCTGATCCGCGCAGTAGCAGTGCATGCAACTCAGTCCATTTACACAAGGGCGACCAACACAGAGGCAGAGGCACCTGAGGGCAAGGCACAGAAGGGGAAGGGAAAGTGAAGCAAGCTGGCCAGATGACTCACGCGCCCTGTCAGTCTTTATTGCCTGTGCTTAATTATCCGAAGAAGAGCACATTCATGCTTGGCAAAGATTGGCATCCACTCTGTATTGAGGGAAAGTTCCAGTTGTTCAGTCTGCTGGAGACCATGGTGCAGGTGCTGTGCAGCACCATCCTGGTGAAGCTCACACCTTTAAGAACATTGTCTTGGACTGAAAGAGGTTGCAGGGAATAGCTTTGCTGCAGTCTGTGCTGACGGGCACATATTGTAAGGTCGCGGCACAAATTGTATATTTTTTACTTGAAGTGGTCATACCTTGATGATGTTCATTCTGATGTCAACAGCAACATACATCCTCACACGTACTGTCCTGCCCTGAGCCTTGCTATTATCTATAATCTTGCGGTTGGCCCCTTCTGGCATGCCTGGGCAGCGGGCTACAAGCAGGCCTAGGTCTCCTCTATTGTCATTCAGCTCTGAATTTTACAGAGCCTCACACATCAGCATTGCCCCGTTCGGGCGCCTTTGAACCTGATATCGATATCCGGAGTCTGCTACAGGCGTATTCAGGCTGATTTCAAGGCTTGATGCACACGAGTATGGCATGCTCACTGATCAGTAGTAAAGGGTTTAATATCCATATTCCGGTTACCATTGCCAGTGACTGCCAGTCACGAGGGTGACCTGACATGTACAGGCATGGCATGGAATTGATCAATCGATCCTCATGAGGACCGCATGTACATGGTGCACAAGTGGTCTGCTTGAGCTAGGTGATCCAAGAAATCAAGTATAGTACACCTCCGCTGATAGGGAAAATCTAAGAGGGCTGCCCACCAGGCCCAGGGCTGACTCAGCCAAATTGACACCATGGCATGATGCATATGCGACATCTTACTTTGAATCATTTGAATGATTGCCTAGAACTTGAAATATGCTATGTTGTACATCACTCAGTGTACATCACCAGGCTGGCCAGGTCCAACTGGACAACTGCAGCGCTGACAGTATTTCCAGTCACACGGTGTTCAACCTTCAGTATATCTTTTACTGAGTATATTTACTAAGTAAGAAAAAATCGACTGCTAGCACTCTTCTGCAAGCATCGATACATTTGAATCTTAGGGCCTGCCTGAACCTTGGCAACTCTAAATCTGCATCACTGATCACTGGCGCTGTCCCATAGATCAAGCCAGGACAGTCTTCAAATATCCCTGCCTTGCATGTCATGTAGGCTGCCTCAATTAGAGAAAATCATTGCTGACATCAAAGCAGAGCGAGCGCCAAAAGAAAAAATCCTCCTTGAAGGAGGAAGGGCTGCCTCGCAGTGTAAGTAGGACAGGGTAAAAATACAAGACACCTCCGGCCCAGGAGCACACTAGATCACATTGCATACACACAGTCAAGTGTGGCTAGGTGAGGGATAGGGCACACCTAAACAAAAGTCAGGACCCAGCGGTAGGAGCAGGTAGAACATGATCCACTCTCAAACACCGGACCGGAGTACCTTCAGAGCAAATGCAATGCATGGCCAACCGAGACGGGATGGCAAGAGAGTCAATGTGCAGAGACAGGATGTGTGGTAGTGAGGCAGGCAATAATCGCGACAGTGGGCAGTACCGGGCAGTATGGACAGGGAACTCCCAGTGACAGACAAGTACCAAAATACATACACAAGTAGGTGCTCATGAGACAGCAGTGGCAATGTGACAGAGTAGCATGTGGCTAGAAAAATCTGGCCTCAATTGTATATCTCTACTTCTTCTGAGGCCTGTAGGGTCCAGAAAATCCCGGGGGAACTTTTACATCGACACCCTAAACGACATGTAACCGTCAGAAATTGTTAAAAAGGAATGAAGGGAGCAAGTTTTGCATAAGCACGAAATATTGATCTGGATGCACTGCAGTCTGCTTAGGTGCAATTCTGAAGGTTTCAAGTGGTCACGAAACGTACTGAATCGCTTTTATCTACTCGGCCAAAGGAGGTCAACCTCATTCTTGAAGAAGCTTTGACCCAAAGAGGTAGATCGTGAATGTTGGACTGCGATCTGCATCTTGAACAGTCAGGGTTTCCCGACGTCACACCTATGACAATTCCAGAAGAACAGGCGTACCTGTACGAGTGCTTCCCGAACGACTGCTGCGACGGTGAGGAAGATTTCAATTTCTTCCCATTTATTAAGGCAGTCTATTAGGCAATGTTGCTTGCTCACTTTATCACCCGTCAACGTCTCCGCGAACTCTATTTGGTGTACCAAGCGGTATTATTGGCTTACAGGTGAAGCACTCAGCGCCTCGCCCCTCGACATTCCTGACTTTCGCGATCTTCTTGCATCAGCAGCGAGAAATCCAACAATAAACTTTGATGTAGATCAAGGTAAGAGGTGACACACACAAGGTTTTCCCTTCCTTCACATGGAGTTCCTCCTTCCTTGACATGCATCTATTGAGAAGAAGTCCTGGCCTACAGGAAGTACACAGTCCGCCTTGCGCCGCCAAGGGAAACGCAGAAGAGAGCCTGAGCAGGCGTTTTTGACAAATATAAAGGTAGACTATTGTACTCTGTGATGCTCACCAAAACAGCCTCCCCATTGGCACCAAACACACAGAAAGATTCAGACTCACTTGTGCACGGGATTCTGCAGAAATTTGTACGGCATGGCTCTACGGCAGGCAATGGGTTTGCCATGAATGATCAGCAGCAGATGGACAATAAATCACAAGGCTGTGCCAGTCGCACGCCATCTGAGCATGACAAAGCTGGGATGCTTCGGGGTTGCCAAAATGTGAGCAAGTGCCATGACAAGGACCATCTTGTGTCAGGACGGGACAGGTTTTGCGCAGCGCCCAGTGTTGCACAACAGCCTTCAGCGCAGAGAAATGAAGTTGAGAGTACACAACCAACCACTGTTCGAGATTGCTGTTCCAAGAGTGTAGTAGAGCTCCCTTCTGCTGTTCTAGATAAGATAAAGGAGGGCATGGCCCAGTTGCTTGCTGAGTATACATGGCCATGGTATGAACAAAATGTGCACCTCTTCAGAAGCTTGTACAATGTGCACCTTGTGAATGATGTCGCTTTCGCACATGATGAAATCAGGCGTGCTTGAATTGCCGCACACTTCATACTATGTGTCATAGTATGTGTCTGGGACTCTGGGTGTATCAATAGCACCGAGCACTCTGTAAAGTAAATAAAAACTGTTAACAGCAATTTTCAAAGTACATCAAATGGGTGAAAACCAGAACTGCAAAGTTCCTCTTAAAGGAACTTTGAATATTTTGACACCCATGTATCGCACTTGGGCTTGCATATACCGCCACTGGCAGGCCCTAGGGCAGGTAAGTAGTGCCCCCTGGATCCTGTACCTAAGCATAAATTCAGTTGGCCCTCTCATCAATGCTATCACAGAACCAAGTCAGGGGCCTGGATGCACTCCATGCCACCCATGTACGGTCTTAACACTTGTGGAATCACCACGGAACCATCCTCTGCTTGACAGTTCTCAAGGATGGCTACAATCAGCCTGGGCACCGCACAAGCCGTTGCATTGAGGGTGTGCAGAAACTCCGTGGGCAGCTTGCGCGTCTTCTTGCTTCCACCCTTGCGCTCTTCGTCAGCCACAGACGGCCTGGAGACAGTCAGACAAATATGTTTGGCAGGCCAAGCCATGGTGCAGGAGAGACTGCTTATGATGATGAGCTGCGCAAATGTGATGAGCAGATTAAACAGGAGCAGTGTACATCAGGACCTGTAGCGGATGTTGAGACGGCGGGCCTGGTAATCCGTGCAATTCGAAGCAGAGCTGACTTCTCCATACCTGCAAATGAATTTGAGCGATGAGCTCATTACAACAGAGGTTGCCTGGAATCAATGCAAACGAAGTCCCCAAGAAAGGATGATCCTACCTTTGCAGTCCTGGCATCCAGGCCTCAATATCAATCTTTCGGTAGGCAGGTGCCCCGAGGTCTCCAGTAGGCATGTCCTGTGCATCAAACATACAGTTGATGGCCCGCTCCCCATGGGGTACATTTTCTGACGACCATAGATGACGTGGTGCTGCATCTGTGCCCTCAAAATTGCATGATCATAGGGAAGGCCATGTGAAGCAGTAGCTAAATGGCAGCCCCAGTGGTAGAAGATCCTCTGTGTTTAGATGACACAGCCATTCTCTTGGATGGGAGGACTCACCAGCATCTGGAAGTGTAGCCCCAGTTCTGTGAAAATCTCCTCCTCTATGTCACAGAGCTCTTGCAACATGGCCTCGCTCTGCTCCGGAGTACTCAACACAAACATCTCGACCTTGCTGAACTGATGCACTCGATACAATCCTCGACTGGCTGAGCCTTCACAGAGCACAACACAATACCGGGTTCAACAGAGGGGCAGTTGAGCAGGGAAACAGTAGTGAACAGTAGGAAGCTTCAATGACAATGCAACTGTCCAGGCTCAGAAAGCATGAGGCATCATTGAGCACCTGCAGAACCAGCCTCTGTGCGGAAGCAGTGGCCAAAGGCTGCCAATCTGATGGGCAACTGCTCCTCTGGAATTATCTGATCCATGTAGACAGCTGCCAAAGGCACCTCTGCTGTACCAGTGAGGCAGAGTCCAGTGTCTCGTATGGAATACACCTGCAACATCTCTCCTGTCAGAACCTTACTTACACCTTACTTACACGCACTGTACCACATCCGTAATATATCACAGTGCTCGAGCAAATCTGCACCTGTGTGTTATCTCCGCGCGGCTGGAACCCACACTTTATTAGGACGCTTTCACGCACAAGGTCTGGGGTTGTCATTGGCAGAAACCCCTTCGAAGCCACCTTCTGCATGGCGTAATTGCAAAGAGCCAACTCTAGGAGTGCTGCTGCTCGCCGCAAATACACAAACCTACAATGCAGACATGGTGTCTTACGATGTATTGCAGGGAAATTGACTGATAACTACCGCAGCATGTGAAAGAATACATCCCAACGGAAAGGTGAGGTCACAAACAGCGCGCACTTTGCCCCGGAGACATTTGCACCCGTCTCAAAATCTATGAGGTCCAGGGCGGTGCCGACAGCCATGTGATCCTTCACCTCCAAGCCCAAGTTTCGGCGTGAACCAACCATCTTTATCACCCTGGCTGCCTCCTCTCCGCCCACAGGTACCTGTCAAGTTGAAAACATATTTACACATGCAAAGCTACCGCACCAAACAGACCACATGTCACACATGAAGAAGGGTCTGCTTACGTCAGGATGAGAGATATTCGGCAGCTTCTGCCCTTCTCTCTGCAATGCATCTTCTACCATCTCGACCTCTGCCTCAAGCACGGCCAGCCTTGCCTTCAAGGCCTTTCCCTGATCCACCAGTTCTGACCTTTTCTCTGGGTCCAGCTTGCCCTTCACAGATGCCACAACACAATCATTAATTGCAAAAGCATGGATGTGATTGACATGACTCAAGTTGTGGATTCTTCCTTGGTACAGACATGCACCCAAAGCAGCGTATGTGATGACCTCAGAATTGCAGGGGAGCAGACCTTCATTGCCCTTGCGTTAGAATTCCTGTCTGCTCGCACGCTCTCTAGTTCCTCCAGCACCCTCACCCAGTTGTCATACAGTCGTGCTACGAGGTCAGGATCGGCTGAGCTGTTCCTGTTCTTCACGTTCTCTCGCAATTTATCCAGGTTGGATTTCACAAAGCGGAAGTCCAGATATGCTCTGAAAGCCGGTCGATTGAGCTCTACCGTCTCCGATGGACAGTTCGAAGACGACGCCGTGGCATCCATATGCTCAAGTGGTTGCTGGATGCTTTAACACAGCAGACAACCCTCAGAGCACTGATGATTTGCAAGGGCCAGCTGCAGAAGCAAGGCAGGCCAATCCAGATCTGGCGCGGGAATTACCTGGCAGTGCATCTGAACGACGATGATGTAGCAAGTGCAGCGGATCGATGACTTGAAGGTGCTGGAAACAACCACCTCCTGCCCTGCAAGAGAGGTCTACAGCAGCATCCCAAGCGTCCCATAACAGGGAAAGCGCCATGAAGGCACTTCAGAGCCATCAATCTGGCCTTCTAGGTGCTGTGCAAAGTCAATCAGCACCGCAGGTGGTTTCACTCACGACCACTGTCGCCTCTAACACCCTCCTATCTGTCTATAAGGGGTGCGAGAAAGTGAGTACGCTTGATAGGGCGTCCCTTGATTGAGACATTTAGATCATGCTTTGCTGTCAAGCTCTCCTCGATCCCCAGAGAGCACTTGGAGAGCAAAGACCAAACATTCCTTATCAAATTATTAGTCATAGCACGGTGTACAATGTTTTTGCTTTGCCTCGGTGAAGATTCTCTCCAGCTGGCCTTCTCACTTTTTTGTTCCACCTGGCACCGAAGACGAGAGGAGATACTCTCTCTGGGACCGCAGACTGCGCATTTTGACTCCGTCGCTTAGGCCTGGGCCATCTATACATTGCAGACATCCCGCAGGAATACGGACCACGAAAGTGAGCTGTGTGATCTGAGGTCTCCTCCATTGTGAAAGCCTAACACGGGCACATCTTCTGCTGGGGAAGTCCTACCCGCCTCTATAATTAGCTGGTTCGGTGAAGAACATCCGCTGTGGCAGGTGATGTGCCAGTCAGGCAGACAGAAGGCCTGGTACTAGCAGGAGAAGTGTCTTGAAAGGCCACCCGAACACTCTCTAAAGTCTTCTCTATTACATGATGCGCTACCTTTATGGACGGGCAGCTTTGATCGTCAGGGAATGAGGTCATCTGAGCGAAATTTCAATTGCGCAGGGCGCCCGAAATGGATGGCAGGGATGCCAGGGACAGGGCCGAAACTGTTGAGGCGGGGCTCGAGCCATCACCATTGATGAAATGGACGTCAGATGGATCCATGATGGAGGAATTATTGAAGAGCCTGACGTGTGTGAACAGCCTCGAATCGTAGTTTTGTACAACGTTTCTCAGTCAAATCTGCACATAGCCTGTGCTGAATTGCCAGCATGTATGGATGCATGATCCCAGAGGAATCTAAATGGTACTAATATGTGACGCACTGAGCACCTTATTGTGCCCTGCAGCCCTGGTGCACAGCAGCCTGCCAATCACAACGAGACAGCTCTTGTTAAGGATGCTTCCATCAGCTCTACTCTACTGGCCCTTATAGCACAGCAAGACGATGAAAATGTTGCAGCTGAGGGGCAGGTGATGATTTTCTTGGTACTAGTGCTCCTCACAGTGGCCGCCCCTCAGCCCTTAGTGACACTCGTGCTCATTCATGCAGGCAAGCGGAGAATTCCACACTGCCGAGCATGAAGCCCTGCCGTTCAGTTCCAACACAGCTGACATACCTACATCCATCAAGTCTGAAGACACTGGGTGGCTCATTGATCGAGGAGCCCCTCTGTTGGATGGAGAGCTGGTATGTTTATGCGATGCAGTCATGTATAGTGCATAGCGTACATCAATCGAGCATTCTTTACGTCTAAGCAAGATGGTGAGCATTCGTGGTGAGCATTCGTGATGAACCCTTGAAGCATCACTTTGACCGAGGCGATGTGTGTATCAGGCTCATAGTGGAGGCGGGTCTCTGTATCCGAGTGCTGATCGCACGAGCAAAGGACTTCCTATTGCATTCCTCAGCAGACCTGCTGTTGCCAGCACAGGTAGGTCACATGCACATCTTTTAGAGGATGAAGGGCCTGCACAGATAGTAGTTCTGTGCATGACAAGCGCGTGGTGTGTTGCTTTGCTGTCGCTAGATGACCAATTCTTGCAGGTCATGAAAGTGGGTGGCAATGTGCAATAGGTTCCGCCACAGTCATGGACGCTCAAGATGGTCCTGTTCAAAGGATCTGCAGCACAGGCGTTGGATCGCAGGCAAACATGTCCATACCAATCCTGCCCAGCAAGGTGGACCCTCAGTTCATCACATTTCATGCAGTGCAGTTCCTGTGCTTTCTATTTGATTGCTTCTCAAACCCTGTATTTTTTCAGAGCATATGCTGACAAGATGCTGCCCGCTCTTCAGTTGATTGGCGGACAGATTTCACAGAGGCACCACGAGTCTGCACCCTTTCTGGGCCCCGCTCATGGGACCCCCAATTACATCATTCGGCAAGCTGGTCCGCAGACTCAAGTGAATCTTGTGAACGTAAGCCCGTGCAGGCACCTTTGTTCTCAGTTCATGTAGACAGTAAAGCCGCATGTTTCATTATATGTTCAGCATGCCTTCTTCCTGATGAAAAGGGCATAGCACCGCCTGCATGCTGACATTTGACCCCTTTGTGTGTGTCAGGCTTCCTCGTCAGGGCCTTGGTTTCCTAGACCAAAAGATTCAATTGCTGATCTCTCCTCTCACTACCCCGCATTGGGTGGCTATTCGCTGAGTGCTGATGGAGAGCAGCAGACTGAATTAGGCACAGGCTTGCTGAGAGACTTCACTCAAGGTGAGCTGGCACGTGGGTTGTGCATGTGATTACACACTGACTGCTGAGGATCACAGTTATGGGATGACTTCTGGAGTGCTGCACTGAGCTCGTGCAACTTGCAGGGGCACTGCCGCAGCATAGCAGTTGTGTCACTCAGAGCACCTCGGCATTGAGGCCCCTTCATTTGGACGGAGGTAAGCACTTCTGGGGCATGCGGAGAGCCTGATTGTGACCACCTAGTACTTGGCTCTGCAGACATCAGCGTTATTTCAAATGCGGTTGGATGAGTTATGTGGGTATGGTACTGTAGGCTTGGAGCTTCAGCAGAGCATGTGCTCGCCATCATCTCTGCCTCCCCGCCTATATGCAGGGAGTGGTCAAGAACTGAGTCGGGGGTATGAAAGCGCGTCTTTGCCATCTTCTGCCAGCTTTCAGCGCCCATCGAGCTTTCAGAGTGTCTACCAGCAGACTCCGAGCCTGCCTTTGGACACCAGCAGGGATCAGCTGGCAAATGCCAACCAGCATGCCTTACTGGGCCATGCTGGCCGCGCCGCATCAGCTCCTCGCGAAAGGCCCCGCCCAGACAGCAGTGGATTACCTTTGCGGCCCGGCACACCCACAGAGCAAGGGTCTGACCTGCGGACATACTATGCGCAAGCAGCCGAGCTTGGCACTCAGCTTGCTGCTGAGTACATGCGAGAAGCAGCGCAAAGTTCTGGCCGTGCCTATGCCAAACCCTCAACACTCGACGGTGAGCGCGCATCGTCTTTGCAATGTCTTTGTCAAGCTGTTGCATGTTGACTTGTTGAATCATCTGCACATCTACACACATTGCCCAATTTTCTACATCTGAAGAATACTTGTAACCAGCATTTTGCATGCAGGCGCGCCTGCTACCTACGAGGCCACAGCAGGCTTGGATAGGAGTGAACTGCCGAGAACTTCGCACCAGTTTGGCATTGATTCACGAAGCCGGCCAGTGGTGGTGCCAGACCAACTGGTTGAGCCGCCCGCAATCTTGACGGCCAACATCTCAAGGATCGGCGAGGGTGCGGCAAGCCGCTCTCAACGGGACGTCACACAGGGCACGGTGCAGACGGCGACACTACCAGGCAGTGCGGCAGCAGTCGAGCGAGGAGTGCCGAGGGTGAGCGCATGACAGTCTGCTTGCTTGACTGTTTGATTTTTGGCATGCCTGCCCCAATGTTTCCAGGATGTTGCTGTCTGGGCTGTGTGGAGGCTGAAGGCTGTGTGGAGGCTGAAGGCTGTGTGAAGGGGGCTTGAGCTGACATCAGTGTTGTCACCGACAAGCAGGCAAAGAGGGATCGCAGCGCGCGACTGGCGAAGCCGCCGGCCGGTCCAAAGCGGTCAGCGGTGGGGCCCCCACCGGCGCGAGCAGTGTCAACAGATGTGGACGAGGATGGTGAGGATCACAGCGCTGAGGCAGAGACTGGCTCGTGGGGAGACATTCACATGGAGGATCACATGGAGGATCGCGATGCCAAGAAGCAGCTGCGGAAGGAGAAGAACCGCGCCAGTGCAGCTGCCTCCAGAGCACGCCGCGAGGCATATACTGCTTCCCTAGAAGAAGAAGTGAGCCACCTGGTTGTGCCTTTGCCCACACACCTGAAGATGCCTGCAAGCGTGATCATGACTGCAACATCTTGCCCCGGCTGAAGGGTTGCCCTGCATGCTCATTGGTAGCCTGCATGTAAAAGTCTTTTCTGATCATCTGCACATTGCCTACCCGCAGGTTGCGAAGCTGAAGGAGGAGAAGAGCTGGTTGGAAGGCCAAGTCAACTCACCAGACCACGCGATGCCAATGTCACTGCCTGCCAGAGCACCAATGCGCCATTTGAGTCTTTGAAGTTTCTGGGAACTTGTGAGCACTTGGGCCATCGTGGGTCCCTTCATGTTTCATTCCTCTGGGCCATGATTGCCAGACATTCTTTCTATACAGCTGTGCTATTGTGGAACTGGGCAGCCCATGACCAGACAAAACTGGAATCCACTTGTGATGTGTTACTGTTGCAGCACTTTCAAAAAGGTTGCTGACTTACTGGTCCAAAGTTGGGATTTCGTTTGATACAGCTCTGGTTACTAAGTGAACTTTGCTACACTGGTATAAGCTTATGGCTCCAAGCAACCAGGCCGGAATATGGTAAGCTGTCCATATGCAAGGGGACAGTCCTTACAAGACTCGTGAGAATATGTTTTCAATAAACTTGATTGAATCTTGTGCGCCCAGTGGGTACTTAGTAGCTACGTATACGTATACGTATACTTAGTAGCGCTACTAGCTATAGCGATCACTTGTATAAATACTGATGACTCGTCAGGACTCGTTCGGTGCCACTCATTGGCGATGACATCAAGTTGAATCCATGCACATGGACATGTGCCGTTTCAGCCTGATCGGCCCCCTGAAACATGAGATCTGAGCAGCCTGACTCAGTGAGGTTGGTTCTGGCCACTGGCAGCTGTAAGCCATGACCCCTTCCCCCCAGTACTGTGCATGCGCCGTGGTTCTCACAGAATAATGCCACACCTATTCTGTGAGAAATCATTTGATGCAGCATCATGCATGCATGCACAAGATGTCACATGACGGCCACAAATTGTCTTGAAGACTGCAGTGCACTCACGGGCATCATGATGATCATGCTATGATAGGTGAGTGACGGCTTTGTCTCATAATTTATAAATGAACTGGATTGTTACTCATCGATGGCCACTGGCATTCTTCATCAAAACTTCACATACTTCTCAAAGAGAGAGATCCCATAGAAAAGGAAAAAGTTGGCAAAAAAGTCAAAAAGTCCGGCCTGTCGGATTCGAACCAACGACCCCGTGATACCAGCAGCTTCCCACTGGGGGTTTTACTTCTACAGTCACATGCTCTTCCAACTGAGCTAAGGCCGGTTGATGCCCAAGATCAAATTTATTTTGGATAACTACCTGCTCAATCGACTGTCAGTCTCTCCTTCTTGTCAGGCAGCAAGAAAGTCCAGAAAGCGTCAATCGAATTTCTGTCATTGTGTTTTATGCTTGCAGCGTTCAAAGCCTGCTGCACCTGCATCGCGATCGCTTGAAGCACGACTGACATCACTGTAGGTGACAGAGACAGTGTCGCGATTTGCACGTCTTCTTTGTCGTGGTAGCCTGTATTATCAGATATCGATCTGTTAAGGGGGCGTCTCCCGCGAATTTGCAAGCAAACCATCCCTAAGTCATTCTGAGAGGCCTTTGATCTGGGTGACTGAGCTAAGAAACCTTCCAAACGTTCTTCGACGGCTGGCTCCTGCAATGCGGCTGTAACGCATGAGCTCTGACCTCATAATCCAAGGATTGGAATTGGCAAGGTTAGGTGCAGGTTAGGATTGAAAGGACAGCCTCAGGATGGACATCTGCATCACAGGAACAGGCATGTAATATCCGTGCTCAGATCATTTGCTGTCATGAGATTGCGGATCTACTAACGGTATTTCGATTCGATGGGCCATCCAAGTGCTCACCAAAACTGTCTTGCAGGCTTTCGTGGTAGTGCACGGGAAGACATCAGGCGCCTGGCAGAGCTTTTGGGGATGGAGTTCAATGGTGCTCTTGTCCGCGATCGTACCACGCACTTGATCTTGGCATCTGAGGCTCTACTATGTGAGGACATCCCCAGAAGTCAGAAGCTTGACAGTGCAAAGTGCTGGGGCATTGCTCTGACGCACTATGCCTGGCTGAAAGACAGTTTGGCAATGGGCAAGATCCTGGACGCGCAGAAGTACATTGTGCAGGTAAGGGGTCTCTTGAAACGTGAGAATTCCATGGTTGCTGCTCAGGTGACTCACGCACTTTCCCGTTCTCCAACAGAACAGCCCCGACCGGTGTGTCTTGCATGGGAGAGGAGCATATTCAGATGCCTGGACACCAGAACAGCTAAGAGCAGCCCAGATTCCTCCTGCACAGCGGTGTGACCAATTCTGGTCCCCAGGTAACACCTGATCAGTCATGATGATTGCAAGCCTAGCAGTCTATGGTGGCTACGCTGGATGCCCAGCTTGTGTGATCTGAACAGATATCTTTCAGAAGCATGGCATTGAGTACCACAAGTGAGGAGTTTGCCTCCTCAGAATGGAGCTGCTATGTTTTCAACGAGTTAACAAATCCATGCTGACATTGTCTGCAGGTCAAGCATCCAGTGGACCGGGAGATGAGGATGCACAATCATCAGGACACAGCGCCAGGCACTCAGAGAGATCCATGGGGTATGCTGCACGGTTATCATGTGGTCTACTACCAGCGCAATGGAAAGCCTTACTGCTCTGGCTTTGATGGGTGGCTGACTGTTCACATCTAAGCTGAAGTTCTTTGCTTCAAAGGACATGACTGTCACTTGTGTGCACAGAAGGACAGTCGTCAATGCCATACCTTCTGTACAGGATTTGTGCTTATCCTCAGCAACAGTGAATGAGGAGAGATACAGCATGGAAGTGTGCTCTGAGCGCGCTGTGCCGCGTGGCACAGCCTGTTCCAAAAGCTACTCGGCATCTGGGCAGTCCTATACCTCGTCAGAAGGTGAGGAACCCTGCTTCCCAATAGTGCAGATTACCAGTGCGTTTTGGGAATCAGTTGTTCTGGCGTTGGCATGATATGAGCCTTTGCCCTGTGCCCAGGATATGGTCAATCAAGCCCAGAGATTATGCGTGTCTCTGTAGACGCGCCCTTGAAGATATGTCCAAAGGGGTCCACCGCGGCTGCTTTCCATGGAGTCAGTAACAGGAGTCTCACTTACTATGAGAAGCTCACCATTCAGCAGAGCAGCAGTTCACCACCTCTCCATTTTGACCTTCGAGAGCGCTCGCATGGCGCCTTGGTGAGACTCCAATATGAATTTTGAAGCGATTGAGCCAGTTTGTTGCACTTGAAGCAGAGGCCAGCATATGTTCAAGTCCTTCTGATGAAGAGTTTCGCATTGATGTCTAACAGGTGTACTATGAGGACTCCAACTCAGGGGAGCACGAGCTGGCTTATGCTGACATTTTGTACTGTTACAGCCTTGAGGGTCAGGAATGCTGCCACAGACAATTGCCTTCTTGTTGAGTTGAACAATGATCACCACTGCCTTATGCCATACTCTCCCTCTTGCGCTCATCCCTATCGTGCACTAAGACTGGTGTGGCAAGTGCAATGCAGGTGGCGAGGTGTACATTGAGCATGGATATCTGTTTGATCGTGACGATCTGGAGCAGCACGCAATGGGCCGCTTGTTTCTGGAGAGCTTTCAGCTTGCAGATGCTGAGCTGGTGGATAGCTCTGGCGTGTATCACAGCCCTGCTACGGTGATTGAGGGTGGGAGAACAGCTTTGCTAGTCCACGTTGTATGCGTGACATTGATGCCAGCATGCAGGAGTACTAAGCCCGACTTGGCAGGGTACGCAGCTGATCTTTCAAGCAATAATTGACTTATGTCCACATGCATGCAGGTGAGTTCTGGCTGACCAGCCGCAGTAAAGCTGAGCTGAGTGCACATGACAGGTCCCAAGATCAAGAGCGCCTCTTGTTCTTCTGCGAGAAAGCTTGGGAGAGAAGGACTGGTCGGGGCATCTGCGTCTCCCGGTACAAACTGAAATCCAGAAAGCAATTTATTCGGGGATGAGAAGAAAGCGTGGCTGACTCAGTGGAAGTGTCATGCCATACTGCCTTGGTTTGCTGATAAGAGGTTTATCAATATGGGGTCAAATTCAGGATCTGCAACTTGCAATCTTACATTGAGCTTCCATGACATCTCCATATTGGTGGCATACCACAAAGCTGCCTACAGAAATCTCAAAAGAATTCTCCCCTTTGATACTTGTGGTGCTTTTGGCACAGTCAAGTTTAAGACTTGTAAGGACATACTCATCTGCTTCTCAAAACCCCATAATACTTGATGGGCAGCAGGAAATGAACGAATTGGGTGTAGACATGGCTGTGTATCACTGAGCGCCTCTCGGCGCTGGTGTTGCAAACTCTTCACAACACAGTGTTCATAAGGCATTTTGAGGACTCGTTGCCAGAGTTCAATTGCAGGTCTTCCACAACTGCTGGGTAAGCAGATCTCTTGTGCGAGTTCCAGAATACTATTTCTTGGGGGAACATGCATCTCTGCTGATATACATATAAAACAATTTTGTGTTTGATTTCTTGTCGAATTTTCGTTCAGCTGTCAGCGCTCTTGGTATTCTGGCACTAGCAGTTCTGCCAGAATTCTTGCTTGCGTTTCTTGCATCCCTCTTGGTTCCCATCTCACTTCACCTTCTTTACTTTGGCGAGATGAGGGTCCTTCCTGCTCCCATGCGTAGCATTTGTCCCTGCACGCGAGCACCTCCATATCAGCTTATGCTCAAGATGAAATATCCCGTATCTCACATCTACCAGCTGCACTCTATCAATCATGACATTGAAAGACTGCTTTACTGAAAGTACAAAAGTAGATCCCTAGAAACGAGGATGTTCTCGAGAATATCTAAATGCAGTTGACAGACCTGTCCAAACGTCGACGGAGCGCTGGGGCTAAGGAGCTCTGTGTCCTCTGCGCTTGAGTGCGATCTTGTGAGTGCTGACTGGGCGCCTGCAATGGATGCCTGAGGGGCCGGCAGCGATGCTGCCCGCTGAGGGGCGCCCCTTCTGCTGCCAGCCGCCAATCTTGGGACATCCGTCAATTTGCGCACCTGCACACATGGATGGCTATTATCTTAGTCATCTACGCTTCTCTGTATTCTGTGGTGACTCTATCGGCAAAGGACCTCTGGAGAGCTGGACCTTGGAAGCAAGGGGTTTACATGATTTACACAGACACTGCAGGGCCAGCGTTTGCATGCAGCCAGCATGGTGGATATTCTTGCCCATGCAAGCGCTCCTCACAAAGACTGGTACAAGTGTTAGATTTCTTGCCAGACAGGCCTGTACCTGTGATGTCCTTGGGGCATGGCTGGTCTTTTTCCTGCCTGTCTGCTGTCCCATCCACAGGCCCCTCTTCAAGCTGGCCTGGTCTGTCTGCATGGGATCCTGCACACAATGTTGCAAAACATCAGCTGGCCTTCAGGGAGTTGGCAGGAATGCAACAATTGCAGGGACATCTCATTGCTATGCATGCCTGGCCACATCTAAGGCCTCCCAGTTGCTGACTGAGAAGGGTGCATGCAAGTCTTTGGCGCAAGCAGTCACACCTCTGCCTTGAAGACAATGCTCTTGGCTCGCTCCAGCAAAGAGGGTTGTGTGACTCCTTCTGGCCCCAGCATCATTTGGTCCACATCCATATCAGGTGCCCTGTGCCCTGGTGCAACCATTGACGGCTCAGCTAGGCAATTGTGGCATCCTTGCAAATTGAGCGCAATCGCAGCTAACAATGCACGCGCAGCAGCACGTCAGAGGGTACCTGGCCTGTGTAGAGCATCATGCTGCTGCTCTGTCCAAGGAGTGGCTGTGCAGAGGGCTTCCTCTGCAGCAGCCAACTGTGCCAGACTGAACTCGCTGTTCCTCATCCTAGGCAGAGCCACCATTCCACCTGCAATAGAGGGTTACTAAGCAGTATTCACAGCGTGGTGATGAAGCACACATGCCACTAGGGAAGCATCAACAAGTAGCTAACAAGATCTCATGCATTCATGCCGTGAATGGTGATGCACACCTGAACCTCTTCTCAGGTTTGGGTGCCTTTGTGAAGAGGTGCTGGCATGAAAGCGGTGAGCGAGTTCTTCAAAGGACGCAAGATCTGAGACCTCCCCGTTAAACTCCTGCATTCAAATCAATACAATCCTCATGCCCACTGTTGAAACCTGTAACATTTGTATTGGGAGGAAGCTGCCAAGGGGCATTCAAGTTACGAAGAGAAGCCATGAACCCTTTGCGAAGGATATGATGAGGTATGTTTCTAAACAAACTTGCCTTTTCCTCCATGGTTGCTCCCAATCTCAGCGATGCTTCATCAGAGACTCGGCCCATCACCACACCAGCTGGCATCTCAATGCCCTTCCCTGCATCTGTGAAGTATTCAATGCTCAGGGCCTTGCATGCTCTTCAAAATGCAGCAGTAGCACGCACTGCTCATGCAAGAAAGATACAAATGTGCGGAGGAGGTTAATCACCAGGTCTTGTCTGTGTGTTCAGGCCTAGCAATGGCAAGGGGAATAGCGCCTGACCGCCAGGAGTGCTGCTCACAAAGCACTGCCCGATGCCGTCAATGTGCCCTCTTCCCTCTGCAGGAGACTGCGCCAGACATGATAGATAATTAGGGGTCAAAGCGCGAGGATCTTTATCAGACAAAGAAGTTTGTGATATGAAGATGGGCAGTGACAGACTGCCTACAAGACCAATGAGCCACAGGTGGCTCCCAAAAGGTCTAAAAAGGGTAATATTAATAATCATTATCAAAGCAATTGACTTCATGTGCATTGAACAGCTCCACATGGATAGCAACGCCCTCCTACTCTTCTGACTCCACTTCAGGTGGCACGCAAGAAGTGGACCACAGTACCTGCTCATCTCTCTGTGGGGAGGGGCCGGGCTGGGCTGCACAGTCTGGTCCTTCGCCATCCCGGCGTCCATCCAAAGACGTGCTGAGAAGCCTGGCAATGTCACTGCCCCCCATGCTGCCATGCAGCTGCTGCTGCGATGCCTGCTCCAGAGCAGTGCGGCCTAATATCCTGGAAACGCTGCTGTGATCGAAGAGCGCCGGTGGGCTCAGCATCTGAGCACCGCTGCTCGTTGCACTGCCCAACACATGGCCCTGCGCCTGCATGCAGCCGCATGCCAGCATTCAACAAGAAAATTGACAGCAAATTGCCTTTTCTTCTGCCAAGGGACCGTCGAGGCTTTGTCTCGGGCAGCTGATGATCACATGCATCAATCAACATGTCAAATAAGCGAAAGTCAAATAAGCGAAAGCCAAAACACACTGGTCAAGCAAGCTTACGCTATGGTCAGCCATCGACAGAGTCTGACAAAGGTGGTAGATCTAGAGCAGGTTGGTGGGCAGATCACCTGGGCGAGAGTGTTGGCAGGCCAGACCATGTCAGGAGGGCTGAGCACTCCAGCGGAGGGGGCCCTGTGCTGCGAGGCGGAGCTGTCAGTGGAAGGGGTTGGTAGGCGGCGTGGCTGCTCGCTGGCTGCAGGAGCGCTGGACGTCCAAGCCTTGCGCTTGACTGAGCGCGAGGACGTGCGGCGGGCGTCCAGTGACGTCGTCTCCTTGCCCCTGCTCACACAAGCCATTTCAGTCATTTCCTGAAAACTGCTGCTTGGTGTCTCAAGAACTCACTGAACTTTGTCAGTCACCGGCCCTGCTGCATGCTGCTTGTTCCGGCTGTCTTAAAACAAGTTTCAAAGAGCGTGGTAGTGATACTGATCGAAAGAAGCGTGTGGTGTGAAGACTGAGATGGAGCAATGGTAAGAGATTGGGGTGCAGCATGGTAAAGAATGGGGGGCAGAGGGTGCGCACGGGGCAGGCGGGGTGCCAGGAGAGGTCTTGTTGCGGTCGGCAGGGTTGGTGACCGCAGCAGGAGCAGTGGCAGATGCTGCAGCGGCTTGCTTGCCATTTGCGCGCGGCGGGGGAGGCAGGCCGTCTTCCACAGTGTTGTGGCACTCGTCGCACTTGCAGTGCACCCCGCAATTCACGCCCGCCTGCAGGGACAAATACATCTCTTGTGCCAGGTCACCTTTGCACATGCTGGACATGCCAGTGTAGTCACATGGCAGCTTTCAACGGAGTGCATGGGCGAGTCATTCAGATGATGAGAGGCTGTCAGCGCCAACCTGGAAGCACTCGCAGTACTTCTTCTTGCAGTGGCTCTTTTTGCAGTGACAGCCCCTCTTGTGCAGGCCGCTGACCCCGCTGCCTTGGCCATTGGCCTGCTTCTCAATCTTCTCTTGAAAGGCCTGCGTTCAGAACACAATGGTGACGTCTGTTCACATGACAGCGGAATGACATAAAGTGGCTCTTGTTTCTTCTGCATTGAAGGAATCTTTCGGTATTCAAACCCACCTGGGGATTGCGTTGCCGCACTTGATCGCGCATGCTCACCACAACATCCCTGCGGTTGTATCAAAATATTCGAATATGCAGGAGACAACCTGCAGCCAAGATTGACAGATTTGCTTTCTAAAAGCAGACCTCATAATCGCAACGTGATCTGGTTGAAAGGAGCGGGCGCATACTTGTTGTCGGCATTGTTGAGACAGCTCTGGCAGCTGCAGGCGTGCTTGCAGTACTGACCGGCAGCAAAGCAATCACAGTAAAGCTTCAGGCACCGCGACTTCTTGCAGTTGCATCTCTTTGGCTGCCTGCAGCAACGACACATGCTGGCCTCACTGTCGTGCAGCATGCGGTCACAATAAGGGCATGTGGGTTTAGATCTCATGAAGGGTCAAGGAGCGGCTTGAACAGATGGGATGACGATCTCCTTGTGGCACTCACTCTGAAGTTGAGGCCACCGCGCATCTGGCCTTTGTCTCATCGTCAGGCGTAGTGGGAGGCACCACTGAATCACCTTGACCTGCACCAACATCCCATGCCCATGAGTCACTGCAGAATATTTGAGCCCACATGAAGGAATGCCGTTGGCCTTCCATGCAGGATAATCCATGGTGTGGCTTCAGGGCAGCGCAGCACCAATTACCATGCTGTGAGAGAGACAACAGTGTGCTTCTCGCTGAGAAATGTCACTCTGTACACTAATACAAGAGCCACAGCAGCACCTGAAGATGTGGAAGACAAGCGCCGCGACACAGGCGTTGCTGCGGCGGCAGCCGAAAGGGCGGCAACTGCAGCAGCGCTCTGCAGGCGATGGTCCACACGACCACCAGCAGCCATCACTGCCTTCAGTGCCGGGCTCGTCAGGGACGCCGTGGCTGCAGCCGCAACGCTCTGCAGGGAGTTGAACGGCGCCGCGGGGCAGCCGCTGTCTGGCGGCGACTTGAGCTGGCCGTACTGTCATGAGCACAGGACATTCATTATTGGGCAGTCAGCCAGATGTGCATAGCACAGATTTCATCTGATTGACGGAAGGACATGCCATCGATGCTGTGAATTTACAATATTAAGAAATAGTGCCAAGAAGTGCTCAGAGACTGCGTTCACCTGCCATGTCCGGCCTCCTGACCCCGCTGCATTGAATTTTGTCTCCCAACCGCGCGCCGTGCTTGTGTGTACTGGCTGCTGCGGGTCTGCTCTCATGTCAGGCTCTATCGCAGAGATAACGCTGTTGTCCTCTTCCATGCAAGAAGTACGACGTGTGGCAGGTTGTGGGATGGACTGCGTGAACATGGAGACAAGTGAGACACCATATTACGGCTCATCATCACCATCAAACACTCTGACATGAAGGGCTTACACCTGCATTTGGCACCATTGGCCTGAAGAGTTTGACTCACCTGTCCCTTGCTCTGTCTAGTTTCCCTGGCATCTTGACGGGTTGATGTGTGAGACTTCAGTGGCTGATTTGGGGGACAACGTTCTGCGCCTCGGGCTCCCCTGCTGTCCATTTGCTCATGCCTCTCACTGCTGCCTTCAGGCGTGCTGTAAACTGGACTCTTGAGTCTGTCTATGCTGCTGTAGAAGAGATCTGCAGCGGAGCCATGCTGGGCACTCCCACCACGCCAGCGGGATGGAGCCTCCACCTTTGCATCTTCTTCAGGTGGGAACATGCTGACACGGGAATTGCCTTTGCTGCCTGTTTGCTGATCCTCGAGCTTCACCAAGGCTGTTTCCCCTCCTTTCTCTTCCGTGTCTCCGCCTCCACTGGGTGTAGCAGTTGTCCTGGTCAGATTGCGTGCACACAATTCCAATGAGCACAGAGGCAGATCGAAGGCGTGCACGTCTCACACTTTGCTCGGCCCAACTTGAAGGAAGTCAACCAAGATCACTGCAGCATGCGTGGCAGCCTGAGCCGGCCGACAGCAGCAGGGTTCAGGAATGTGGCGGGTAGAGGAGCTCACTCGGTGGCAAGCTTGGGCGTCGTAAATCCCGCCATAGCTGGGGACAGCCCCGTGAATCCAGGGCACCCAGAGAAGGTGCCAGTGCTGTCCCATTGGTTGCGTGGAGGAGTAATCGGCGGTAATTCCTTGGCGAAGAGGGAGAAAGGCGAGGCTGCCTACGCAGCAGCCATGGATTGCTAAGATCGCTTGATCATTGCAAGTGATCAACCAAACCAACATAGGAGCAAAGTCATAAAATCGATGCGCGATCACAACGGGGGCCGCTGCTGGTCTCCAAAAGGGAAGAGCAGGGTCCCACAATATACCAAGATGGGACATCCTCGTCCTTCTCAAGCATTCAATTGCTCCAGTGCAGGAGTGCCTTTAACGTAGGTAAGCACTATAATTCGATGGTGGGATCCATCTGGGATCCTCTGGGCTTGGACAGCTGGTTGCACAGCGATGGCGGGGAGGCGTGCGAGATACCTCCAGCAAGCCTCGTTTTGCTCTGCCTGGCCTCTCAGGTGTGCGCTGCAGGGAGTTCGCGTGCATCTTAATCGGATCTTGAGCTTGCTGTCGGTCCTTCGTGCGCTTCTACAGGGACATTAGGTGCGCTCCCTCTCGCACGTATGCTCTGCCTCACGTCAATGCTGGCCACCGTAGCGCACGCAGGCCACGCACATTGCCCGCTGTGAGCTCCGTCCTGCTGAGGTGCGGATGTGCAGCGTCGCACGGGCTGGCTTGTGGCCCACAAGTTGTGGGAAGGCTGCGGAGGGCGGGGCCCGGCAAGCACTCCGGACGTGACGATCACTATTACGACATAGACCTTGGGGTTTATGTGGAGCAGGGGAGCGGAAGACCTGCTCCTCCAGGAGCAGAGGAGTCCAGTAGTGCGTTTCTGCCACACATGCCACTTGCCATAGCTTCATCGGGCAACAGAGCAGTGGCTCGGGTTCATAACATGTGCCATGCAGCCTGTGCGGCAGCTGGGACGCGCAGCAATACCTACGGAGCTGTCACTGCAGTCAGCTGCTGCAACTGGCACCAGCAACCAGCCACAGTGTGTCATAGCAAAATACAAGGTTGTGCGCCCTCTCGACACTTGCAGGTAGCTAATCCACCAACACGGCAGACAGAGCAAGGGCGGGACAGCTGCACAATAGTCCCTGCAGGAAGTGCTGTGAACCAAAAGAGATGCCCGCAGTCACCGCAGCTGAAGCTTGCGTGCAGTTGCCTTCCAGCCCTTTGAAGCCCCAATACGACATACTGCTTACACAAAGCCGATGGATATGGAGATTTCCAATGCCGATCTACAACTACACTGCGCCAAAGGGAGCATTGCTGTACGGCTCAGCTGTGCTCCAAATCAACAAGGCAGCAGAACACAACTCTGGCCTGACTGCTGCTGGCACCAACAGTCCTTTGCTCTTGGACACCTGCATTGTGCTGATGCTGAAGAGCTGTAGGAGTAACTACAAATTTTGAGCAAGTATCTGCGCTCCACTCGTCCTTGCTTCACCTCCGTTGAAGGCAGAAATGGGCTGTCTTCCCCACACTACAATATAGTACATCATATCCTATGCCGCTTCTCTGCGCTCCACTTAAATGTGATGAAAGAGCAAACAAAGGTGCCCAGACAACTTCTGCAGAACCTCAATCAACTTCTCTCCAGTAGCCCCTCATGCCATAACCATGCCGACCTTATCTACTCCCTCATCCTCAACTCCAATGATCTTCTCCACTCTTTACCTGGTACCAGTTGTCTGCTTTCGCAGCAGGAACAATCACCTTTTTCACTCTCCTGTTCTTCTCATGTACAAGCAACTTTCAGGTCCCGCTCAAACTGCAGCTATGCAGCATTATTAAAGAATTAGCCCTCCCTCGCTCTCTCAATTTCAGATCATTTGTTTGTGGACGCCCGTGCATACGTAAATGTGGGTGCCAGTATTTCCAGCAACCCATCTGGATTGTCTGCATGCAGCCAGTGCCCTGCAAAAGAGACTTCCTGTCAAGCTCTCATTCATTTCCTTCAGCCTACAAATTGAAAAAGTCACCTTTGCCTCCGCACATAAGCACCCTTACCTGCTTGCGGTAAATGATGTACTCTGTGGCCATACGCCTTCAAGCGCTCAACATCATCCATTGGCCATACGTAACTGCTATTTTCCGCACGAACGAAGTCCACTTTGATGCCCTGAGTCGGGGCGCTCAGGAATGGCCAGTAGGACAGAGACTCGTACGACTCATACATTTCAGCAATCCCCTTCATGTCAATTGTCCAGGAAAGCTTCCTGCAAACAGTATGACTGAAATTGTCAAGAACTGTCAAGCGTCTCCAGGGAAGATCAAGCAGTGAGCCTCGTGCACACGATACCTCAAACATGCCAGCACGCTACCACAGTACACAACATTCAGAGCAGGGCAGGGAATGTACACAAAAACAAATGCAGCCAGAGTTTCAGGCACAGCAAAACACATAAGGGTTTCACCTTGGGTCCTCCTGAGTGGGCTTGAGGTTGCTGGTGACCCAGGAGGCCACTCGCTGCGAGAAACCGCTCTGCACAAGGTAGGTCTGCAGGGTGGTTCTGCTTCCTGTGGGAACAGGGAACGCCTGCAGGCTGGGAATGAGATCTGCTGGATGATCCTGCCGCAAGCGCAGGTCGCTTGCATGGTGCTCGCGCACAGCACCCGGCAGTGCATCCAAAACCCACACCTGTGCACCAAATTCCACATGTCAGAAAGCACAGGTCAATTCTTTAATGCATCCCGAGTGCCGGAATACCTTGAAAATGGCATACGCTAGACACCTGCTTCCCAGCACCAGTGCAAACAAGAAACAAACCTGCACCGGCCGCGGCAGCCTTGGGCCTATTCGCCCAAACTGATCAGCCATGCTCATGACCACCTTGCCGCCAAAGGAGTGGCCGATCAGCACTTCTGGGAAGAGCTTGAGGTGCCGCAGCAGGTCAAGGACATCAGCGGCAGCACTTTCCACCCCATTTGGCCGATGAGATGCTGCTCCATGCCGGGCAGACTCCCCGTGGCAGCGCAAATCTACCAGAAGCACTTGCCATGAAGAGAACTCCTGCAATGTGTTTCACTTCTCAGTCAGGCTCATGAACGAACCAGTAACAATACCTGAGATCGCAATGCTTGGCATAAGAAGTGAAATTATGCATTCACTCGAATGCTAAGCGCACCCTCGTCAGGCGCTGAGCAAAGCTCAGCATGTTTCGTCGCGAACCCAAAATGCCGTGGACAAAGACACAGGTAGGTGGGGGCCGCGCACTGGATCCTACAGTGCTCCATCTTACCTGCAAAAAGGTAAGCACAGCTGTGACTCAATGTAAAAAGACATGATGCTTCTCTTTGTACAATTGAAGAAGTAGCAGGTGCGGCACATGCAACATTAGTGGAGCCATACTGAATTGTACTCATGCATCAACAGCCTGCCACCGTTTTGTCTCTTTCTTTGCAGCAGACTGCCAGCAAGGCTTGGAATCACACAGGCTTCCAAAGAAAGACCAGAGTGATTGGCAGAGTCCAGGTGGTATGTATACCTAGTATCCTTAGATTGAGTGCTGATGAATTGCCAAGAAAATTCCTGATCTCCAGACAGGTGAGAACGTACCAATGCGCCTTGCACAAGCTCATAGGCGATGTGGGCCCCTTGGACATATCCTGTGCCATTTTGGACAGCTGCGTCCTGTGGTCTGGACAACTTCAGACTTGCACTGTGGCGCAATGCTCCAACTGGCTCAAGAACGCTGGCCCCGCTCTGCAAGCAATAATTAGATCTCAGATACAAGAGACTGTGTAGGCTTATGTAGATCACCTGGAAATAAGGAAACAATATCCTTTCCTAATACTTCCTGCTAAGCGCCGCTGAAAAGACTGCTTTCATACACATAAGTGTGGAAGCAAGATGATGTCGCAGAGTCTGTAATGTACCTGTGCTGCTACAGTCATCTTTCTGGCTGCGACATGTCGTGGCTGCAAGTGCTTGCCAAGCAGGAGGCGCTGCCAGCAGGACCCACTCGATTCCAGCAACACCGCTCTTCTCATCTATGCAAACACATATGATTAGACAGTATTTGCCATATCTGAAGCAGATATTGTAGTTGTGCATAGAAGTTTGCTGAAAGTGTGCGAAGTACAAGGAGACACAGTCATGGGCGTGCGACGAATATCGAGTTGTTCGTGCGCTCTACCTGGTCAAATGTGGCGTGATGAAGGCAATTTGCCAACCAAGCTATTCAAGACTTCTACCAAGACGCACACAGTTGGACGTTCGAGAAAAGACGCAGTGACGGAGTATCTCGGATCAACAAGAGTCACCCTTTGCGAGTAAACGTCACGGTCCCAAGATAAATGGAAGAATCAACAAAGCAATTTGGGACCTGGTGCTTTTCACTTTCCGAAGGCCTCGATGCCATTTTTCGCTGAAGAATTTTTTTGGCTACAGTAGAGCGGCGTTCCAGCTGTGAAGATTCCCCCCCGGGCCCCCCCCCCTTCCCAAACTGCACCGTTACACATGTAACTCATAGGCGAGCTCGTGACCATCTTTATTTGAAGGCACAGGTATAGAGATTGAATAGCCGAAATCTCATATTTGTCTGGCCATCTCAAAAGTCGGGAGCCTGTGCCTACTTCATTCGATACTGGGCCTCATCGACTTCTTATGACTGTTTTTTTCTCAACAAAGCCATCTTGGGAAGTAGAACACTCGATATTATTTAGTGCTAATTGAGGATCAGGTAGATCAGGAGGAGCGCCAATAGAAGGGTTGATTCATACTCCTCTTGGCTGAAAGATGCGTCCAGAGGTAAACTTGCATGTCACATGTGACGTGCAACGCCGGGACTTTAGTGCAAATGAGATGTCGGGGATCTTAATACATTAATGTGGCGCAGGCACGAGTCACAATGTCGGAGGTGATGGCAAGGGCAAACGCCATCAATCTTGAAAAACTTCTCCAGCTCGTATCCCGAGAAAGAGGTATGATCGGCCTGTCCATTCAGGATGTGAATAGATTGAAAAAAATGTATGTATCATTCGTATTGTATGACAAGGCAGCAGTCTGTAAGCCGTGTGCTGCCTATTGTGTCAAACCTCAGATATGCATCGACCACATCAACCAGCGGATACGAGCAGTTGTATCGGTCCAGAGCATCAGAGGGTACAGAACACAGATACTTCTGGATCAAGCCTCTGCTCCACCTCTGTGGAAGAAGATCTTAGGATGGTTCGGCCTATCCGCAGCCTTGTGCATGCAAATGGATCACTTGCTCAGACTCACCATTCGGCAATTATTCAAACAACCTGTTCTAACTCTTAGAACGCTTGTAAGTACTGTACCGTGCTTGCCAGGAACCAGTCACAACAATAGACGGTGCCTGCTCAACGGAGCCCCAACCAAGCCAGTGCATGTGCGCCCTGACCACCCGATGATTTCTCCTGATCATAGCACCTGCAAGATGTAGTGCACGACTTTGACACTCTACCAAGCTGTGGCGCAAACACACAACTATGCAAGCCCAGGAGTTCCATAATATAATCCCGCTTTGACTCGCAAAAGACAGTTAATGTGATGTGATGACACCTACAGGAAAGAGAAGAAACGGCCCACCACCATCACACTGAGGGACTTGCAGGAAGTTTATCATCTGCCAATCAGCAGTGCAGCAAAGAAGTTTGACATGGGCCTGACGCTGCTTAAAAAGAGGTGCAGAGAGCTGGGGCTCAAAAGATGGCCCTACCGCAAGCTCAAGTCCATGGACAAGCTGCTGCAGAGCATAGAGAGCGTTGACGGCCAAGATCCACAGGTACGGCCTCACGGATGCTTTTCCTTGTGATTGCTGCAGCTAGAGCTGCGACTGCCAAGCCCTTCTAGTCCACTGATGTCAGGCACATAAAAGAAATAACAAGTTTGACATTAAAATGGAGAACACACTGCACCTGCGCACACTGCCGAAAAGGATGACATTTCATGCGTCCCTAAGATATGTGCTAATCTGTGCATCCAATTGCAGGTAGCGAAGGCTGTGGATGAAGTGAAGACGCACAAGAAGCTGATGCTGCTTGCGCCTTCAGAAACTCAGATAGAAGTGGGCATCAAGAAGTTTCGGCAGGCAGCCTACAAGTTTGAGTTCAAGTCAAAGCGCATGTTGGCTAGGACGTGAAGCGAGACCATCAATCGCCAGAGTCTGCTTTCACCATGAGAACAGCAGGTGACCTCAGACTGAGAATCGCCTGTTAGATCTGGGTGTCATGCTGCACTTTCAGATTCTGTCATGGTAGACCATCCTGAGCAGCAGCAAACGCAGTGCAGACTGTGACATTAATGAACGAGACATCGGGTGTGGAATCTGGAGTAACATTGGACCATGTCCCAGTGTGTTAGGTGCCATGTGTGCAGGGCTCAGGTTTCTGTGGTCAAATTGTCTAAGTATGTCTGAGAACTGTCAGGCTAAGGCCCTTCTCAACGGGGTACACCATCCGTTCTCCTCTGCTGCAGCTGGTCTACTCGTTTTTAGAAGCCTCTTGGCGGCGCCCAATCCTGAAGACTGCATATTGTCAATGAAGCCTTCGGAAGGGCATCATGGTGCTGCATGCCGCCCCCTGAGGGCGGCCCATGTCAGTCAGTGGCAATTGCAACCTGCTTTCAAGGATGCTCAGCAGAATGCATATATCCAGACTGCACTATTGAGCAACTTGCATTTAATGGTGCTTGTAAAAGGTGAACATTCAGCTAGAGAAATGCTACTGCGTTGGCATCGCCGCAACGGCCACTGGCAGTGGCAGTCCAACTTGGTGTTGCTAGCTGGCACTGGTGATTGGCAATGTTGTTGCTAACAGCTATACATGCGCGTCAAACGGCCGTCGGCAAGCCGCATTGCGGCTTGCAGGCACATGCCGCATGCATGCAGTGCACTTAGCAAGTATGGCATGCTTGAGTAGACATCTGTTTCATCGATGCAGATCTAAAGAGTTCAGAGAGTCCAGAGAGCAGGGGGATGTAGTGAGATTTTGATAAGAGCCACCTTAGGGATCTCCGTTGACCCGAAGCATTGTTTCGACCCTAGAATACTTATAAAAGGGATTAAAACCTAAGTCACCTTGCCATTTGCAAATTGGACATTCCCTGTGAACAAAAGGTTTCTGAAGTGATCTAATAGTGAAGTTTGACGCGATGCAAACATGCTCAACCTGCACTGACGACGCACAAGACAATTCGTCACCCGAAGATCCTGATTTTGAGGATGTCATTAGAGAGTTTCCAAGAATGCGCCACGCTTTTGCGTATGGATCAGGTGTATTTTTACAGCCAGGCTTGTATGAAAAGGGTAAAGAGGAGGCAATGATTGACTTTATATTTGCGGTGGAGGACCCTGCATCTTGGCATCACATGGTGAGTCGTGTAGGGCACTTTCCGGTCTGATCGGAATCTAAATCTTCCGCAAAATCAGTTCCTGATGACATGCTGACTGGTTAGTGCAGAATCTACGTCGGAATAGAATGCATTACTCGTTTGCAGCTAATCTAGGGAGCTCGATGGTAGGATCTCCTCTTCGTGTTGAACTCTGACACTCTTAAACGCTGATTTATGTCTATATTACAATGTCTATCTCATTGAGCCAGCTTTTCTCTTTTGCAGATGACTAGTATTGCTGCTGGCCTCGGTGCAGGGGTATACTTCAACCCCAGAGTGCACCTGCCGCAAGGGGTATGTCCTGAGCTCTTGTGGCCTTCATGTGGATCTTGGCACCTGATTTTCAATTCAAATGAATTTGCAAAGACACACGAGCAAATGCGGTGCATGTGCTGGTGCTGCACAGACAATCAAGTACGGAGTAATAGGTATGGAGGACCTGCTGCGCGATCTCAGGACGTGGGATTCTCTTGTAGTAGCAGGCCGCCTCCACAAGCCTGTGCACCACATTGTGAGGGACCCTGCAGTTATGACGGCGGTGACTGCCAACCTGAATGCAGCCATGGCTGCATCACTACTCCTACTACCAGAGGGGTTCTCCACCAAGGTGATGCAGTTTGACATGGGGATGTGAATGTCTGGAGAGTCCTGTTCCGAGTGCTGATAACTTGAAGGACTGCAGGAACTGCTAGAAAGCCTCTGCGGACTGTCCTACAGAGGTGATGTGCGTGTGGGAATTGCGGAAGACAGAGACAAAGTGAAACGCATTGTAAAGGGGAGCTTTGAGGCATTGCAGGACTTATATCGGCCGCACACACAGGTGAGTCTTCAAACTTGACCTGTCATTAAGTTGTGATGGCAGATTATGAAGATCGATTGATCAACTCCTGGGATTGCAATTGAGTAATCGCTTGTGTAACGGGACTCGCAGGGTGATGTTGCCAATCTGGCTGGACTCAAGCATGAGGGGGGCGATCAGTGGGTACAAGACACCAGCGTTTCCTCACAAACAATGCTGCTAGCGTGCCTGCCAAAGGTGAGCTTTGCTGAACACGGCCTACACACTAGTTATGTCAACAAGTTGATGCGTTGCCTGTTGTGAGACAGACATTCTGCAAGCTTGTTCACATTTTGTGCTCTCTCTCACAGGCTCTGCAAGTGCAGATGGCGAGGTCTGCTGGTTGCAGCCATACAGACCATGATGCCTTGCAAAGAGTAATGCAGCAGAGGGGCGCGAGGGATGTACTGCACAGTGCCATCAGCCGCATTGTGCGCAGGAGCAGTTTGCGGCAGGCTTTACTGGGAGGCGTGACAGCAGGTGCCGCAAAAGGCTTTGCTTATTTGTTGGCAAAGGCAAGAAAACGATGGAAGAGCTGAACAGTGGATGGGGCACCAACATGTTAAATCTATGTCAGACTTCGGAATTTGCGCTCAGCACAGGCTGTATCACTAATGCGATTGCGGCCGCGGCGGCGGACTGCCCTGTCCGGAAGTGTACATGGCTAGCAGACTTCATTCCCCAGTATCAAGCAATGCAGGGGTTTGTTGAACATTGTTAGGCCTTTGTGGTCTCACTGGCATTGCCTTAGGCAATGTAGCCATTGGACCTGATGCACTCTTGCCATATCAGTGACTGTCCTGAATGGCAACTTGCAGCGCGCTCTCCACGAAGGCTGATGGTGTCAATGTGCTCTCGGCCGTTGATCAATTCAATGTTGCATCAAAGAGCATAAATTATACATTAATTATCCTCTTGCATTTGAAGGATCACGAAAGCTCATTATCTGGATCAACATTCAAATTCGAATGGGGGAGGGCATGCAGGCAGGCCATAATGTCGTCTATTTATAAGTATTCCGAGACCCCGGTTCAGCCCAGCAAGTTCTGCTTCACATTGAGTGCGAAAATGTGGCTTTCCATTGCGACAGCTCTTATTGCTTTTATTGTTGTAGCTGTTCTGTTGGGATCAAGGAATGCGCCGCAAATAAACGGTCCAAGAGGGCTTCCGATCCTTGGACACCTGCGAGAACTGCTGCGACCAGACTTCCACCGAGTCCTCTCTGACTGGGCAGATGTATACGGAGGTATATACAGAATCAGTATCCTGGGACTCCCGGGAGTTGTGGTGTCCGATCCGCAAGCCATAGCTCAGGTTCTAGGTCGTGACACGGGCACAGCCGTACCAAAACATTTGGCCAGCTACCAACAACTCAATCTTCTATGGGGCTCTCTTGGACAGCATTCTATCTTCACGGGGTCAAACACGGATCTGTGGAGGGCTGTACGAAAAGCGGTCTCCCCTTGTTTCAGCTCTGCAAATGTCAGGTAACCTTGATGGACCAAGCAGCCACACCATTGTCCAGATGCATGCTGTGACTGCAGCCAGAAAATAGGAGGCACAGATCAATGTTTTTGCAAATGCAGGCAGAAATTCGACGTCGTTTTAAGGACATCTCAGGCTCTTAGTGACGGCATTGCAAGAAGGGGCTCTGATCACCCTATTGACATGGATGATGCGGGGATGCGACTCACGCTGGATGTTGTTGCACTGGTGAGACCATAAGCTGCATGCTGCTGACTCGGTGTCTCTCATTGCAATGAAATAGGCTGGCACTGCTGAGGACCGCGCTAAGTGGTGCATCAACATTGAGCTGCCCTATGATGCAGGCATCATTTGGTTACGACACGTGCACTGTCAACTTCACACACAACACCATTATCGCAGCCCTTCCATGTGCTCTGGTTGAGCTGCAGAAGAGAATGACAAACCCATTCCGTGCGCTCTCCTGGAGCAAGGCATGTCCCCATGCATTGGAACATGCTTCCTTCGCAAGAGATTGCCTCGCGCGCAATCCATGGATTATCATCCTCTGTGATCAGCAGCCAATTTGTTTTCATAACTATATGGTAATTCAACATTGCAAGCGAGAGACTGAGGGCATGCCTCTGCTGCACCAGGAGAGTCGTGAGGCCATGGAATGCGCCAAGCAATTCAAGGCTGAGTGCAGAACCATCTTGCAGTTCATGCGAGCAAGGGGCCCTCCAGATCAGACAGACATGTCAGTGGGCGCGCAGTTGCTAAGGGTGCTCAATCCCGGAACAGGTGGGTTGAAGGCACCATGTAGTGCCTGAATTGCCATTATAAGAGTGCCCTGAGCGTCAGTGTGTCTCTTAGCTGCGTGCAATCACTGTTGGTCCTTGTGCACTTCAGCAAAGATGCAGGCATTGAATGATCTGTTGATCTTCTGTGCAGGAATGCCACTTTCCAATGCGCAGCTGGTTGCCGAGATAGGCACTTTCCTGATGGGAGGTTTTGAGACGACCGCGCACACGCTGTCATTCACCCTCTTCTGCATTGCTAATTCCCCAGAAATCCAAGACAGGATCACAGCCGAGCTGATCAGTGCGGGCCTCCTGGGTGGGAATGCCTCTCAGCCAGAAGCTAGAAAGCTTCAGTACGAAGACTTACAGGGCCTGACATACCTTGACAGCGTGCTAAAGGAGTCAATGCGGATGTTCCCTGTTGTTGCAGGATTTCCCAGGTACGCAAGTTTATGCGCACATCAACTCCAAAGAGACTTGTAAAGACTTAGTTGTGCAGAAAATTTTCCCAGTGTTTCACCGTCACTGGAGAAGTGCCGCATGCAGGATGTGCGAAAAGCCAACCCAGATCGGGGAGTTCCTTGTGCCTAAGGGCACATTCGTGTATGTGCTCTTTCATGCCTTACACAACAGCGCGAGGTACTGGAAGGATCCAGGACAGTTCAGACCTGATCGCTGGATGGAGAAGACTGCTGCATCGAGTTCAGAACAGCCGGGCAATCACAGTAAGTCAAAGACTGACAGCAGCATGAATGCCGACAGCAGCAGCTTTGGACAGAGCTCTGCCAAGCGCTTCCTGCCTTTCAGTGATGGCCCCCGCAGCTGTGTGGCTCAGGTGCTTCTCCTTCTCACACGCACGCAATGCTCAGGTTTCACAGTTGCCAGTCGCTGCCTTCTATTGCTGCTTCAGATCCCTTGAGTGCAGCTGTTTTGAGTGGCTCCAATAGAACATGCGCTCATGCATGCTGATGAGTATGACGTGACATGCTAGTTGACAGTGTCAAGTTCATGTGCGCGCAGGCCATGGCAATGATGGAGCTTAGAACGGCGCTGGTTGTTCTTTGCATGCGCTTCCATTTCCGGGCGGCCAGTCAGATGGGTGGCATGGAGGGCCTCAAAGCCTCGGAACAGATGGCTTTGACTTTGCATGTGCATGGTGGGGTGCACATTCACTGCACGTCTCGAGTCTGAATGAACTTGAGTGCAGAGAAACCTTGAGAGTGAGACTCTATGCATGAAGGTCTGCCCAGCAATGACACTGCTCTGCATGCACTGCAGTGTCACATAGGCAGTGATCATGCAGAGGCCGTATTAGATACGTACTGGGTGGCTGTGCATGCACGTGGGCAACTACAATGGTGCCAGTATGAAGTCGAGGGATAAGGTGTCAGCCGGACCATGTCAGACAAATTTGGGTATGCAGTGTGCAAGCTTTCCTTGATCAAGTCATGTGCATGCCACTGGGGGGAATGCACTGAGATGTACACTGTCATTACTGCAAAATTCAGGCATGCCTGTGAGCTCTGGATGATCAAAAGTAGATCAGCTTCGCATGAAGGGAACGGACTTGTAAATGAAATTGAGGAGAGCCTACTTGTGTTGCGCTATCAGAATTACCAGTACCAGTAGATTCGCAACCCTTCTTTTGCTATCCCATCAGTGAAGCTTCAGGGATTGGGTGACAAAGTCAAGACATACACTAAATTATCACAGTAGCTCAACCGACGCCAACATGACTGTCATGGGTACCTCCAATGTTCTCAGCGAAGGCTAGGGCCTCACAGCAGGCCGCCTTTTCCTTAAGATATCCCAGCATGTGAGGGTTGTTCCAGTCACTGGGTGTTCTGGCCAGGCAAATAGTTGCCCAGTGAAGTCCTTCAGTGATTGAGTTTGAGCATGTCAATATACAGCACGGCAAAGCAAGGTCTCCTGACTGTTGCGCTGGCTGCCAGGTACAATGTTGTTGCTGTCCAACTTGTCAGGGCAAAACCTGCCACTCTTGTCTGGTGCAATCAGACCGTTCGAAGTCGAGCATGAACAAGCGTGAATGCGTGTCTGGCTAGCTGCTTTACTCCTTCTTGGTAGCCTTGTTGATCAGGGACTTGTGGATGTGAGGGATGACACCACCGCCAGCAATGGTCGCCTGCAGAGCCAAAATATTATTCAGCGTTGCAACTCATTGGGCACCTGCTTGCTTGAAGCCAGACATCAGGAAACTTGACAAAAAGGAAGCTCTCTCCCACCTTGATGAGGGTGTCCAGCTCTTCGTCACCACGGATGGCAAGTTGCAAGTGACGGGGAGTGATACGTTTCACCTGCATGACCAAAATTAACATATTGACCAGTGCGCCTTCAAAAGATTGACATGCAGGGAAACGAAACCCAAGAAGAAGCCGCTTTGTTACCTTCAAGTCCTTTGAGGCGTTCCCGGCAAGCTCCAGCACCTCTGCTGTGAGGTACTCTGCAGCACCAGGGAAGAAGCCAGCATTAGAGAACGCTCTCATCACTTTCAAGGGGCAGACATCAAGCTCAGTGGACCAACTGTCACAATCTGCCCGCTTTCGAGTCAACAACGGTCCCTCACCGAGAATTGCAGCTGTGTAAACAGCGGCAGTGGCTCCAACGCGTCCGTTGGCTGTCACACGTCCCTACAGCGCACAGGATGGGGTTCACGTTGACGGATTTCAACAAAAGAGCCTGAGAAGACCACCTCGCCCAGGTGTCAAGTGTTAACATCCAAGGGCAAAGATGTTAACTTCAAATACAGCTATGGTGGTTCAAGATTCATGCACGCCTACCTTGAGCAACCTGTGAATACGACCCACTGGGAACTGCAGCCCGGCGCGAGCTGACCGAGAGACAGGCTTCTTCTTGTCTCCCTTCTTGTCACCCATGGTGCCCTTGGCGCCCTTGCCGGACAGGCCCTTTGCTCCTTTCCCCGACATGGCTGCAGACTGTCAGAGCACTGTCAAAATTTTAGGTTGGGCAGAGAAGTGGTGTCAGGGCTGCTTTCTGTTTGAGAGGATTCTTGAAAGTGTTTGCCCAAACTGCTTTCCCACTGCAGCATTTAATTCACTACCCTCGAAGGCTTCACTTCCCGGGGCTTTATGGTGTCAGGTTTCCGAAACGCAGTCTTGCCTCTCCTCTTAAGACAAGCCGAGTCTGGAAAGCAGAGGCCTCCCTAAGATCCCACAAAGTAGCCGTGAGCACCGAATATCGGCAGAACAGGTGGACTTTTGTGTGTATTCTGTGCTGCAATCGTGCGATCAACCAGTGGCACCAGCGTACATCGCCCACTCGTCTTCACACTGCCGCTTGTCATACATGTTTGTGGGAAGAACATGCAAGCTTAAACGCTCATCAGAGCTTAGCATTCTTTCCAAGGGCGCTCCAATTCTTGGCAGAGTGGATGGTGCCAACAGAGCCAGAAGAAGCGTGAGTTTGTGCTTTGAAGGTGGAAAGGGACTCCAATTTGGATAAATTGGTCAATGGCAGATGGTCAATCAGGTGAGCATCATGAGGGTTGAGTATCTATATTTGAACACACAGTATTGCTGCCAATGAACTCTGCACCGATACTGTTACAATGTCACACAACGATTGTGTCCCACGATCAGGAGGAAATTTTCGGCTCGCGCACGACAAAGCTGCCACATGACAAAACTTAGCCAGTGCAGCAACCCTGCAGCTGTACCATCAGGTCTCAATAAGGCAATTCTTCTCACCGGCATTCTTCTCACCGGCAACAACTCTGCTAGCCCCAAATACAAGTGAACCCATAGTTGCGGATTGCATCACACAACAGAAGACAAGCTGTTGCCCAATTCTGGTCTGGCACTTCAGCTGAGCTGGCCGTACCAAAGACCAGTGATCTTCACATCCTTGGGCGCCTTGGAGCCCAGGTCTGTGTCAGAGGGCTGGATCGACTCGAAGACGCCAGCAATCTCGCCGGTGGCGGGGTCAACCTGCAGAGAACAGGCAGATGTATCAAGCAACCAGACAGTCTCTGCAGCTGCAGGGTGCGCCGCACCCACCCAACTATCCTGGAATATTTAAACTGGATATTCTTACATTTGCAGGCAGTCTCGAGGCATGTGGGCTTGGCACACAGAACCAGAGCCAGGTGTTTTTTTTTTGTCATCTGCTTTGTTGCGTGCATGTCTGCTTGCCAAGTTGCTCTGGAGCTGACGGTAGGTATTCTGCTAATCCTGCTTTTGTGCATTAATCAGGTTCACTCGTTTGTACACAGAAAATGACACACCTTGGCAACGCTGAAGACGGCCTGTCCCTTGAGGGCGACTGTGCTCTTGTTGTTCTCCTTTGCCAGCTCCTCTGAGTCAGATCGGCCGGGCAGAGCGACAGCGTTGTCGTACCCGGTGGAGCCACCCCGTCCCTGAAGCCACACACAAATGCCTCTGTCATCACCAGCAGCTCATCAGCATGTCCCAACTCATACAGCAGTCATGTTACTGTGTCAGACCATCTTCCAAGGCAATTCACGGAGTAGTCATGTTACTCTGTCAGACCATCTTTCCAAGGGAATTCACTGGCCAAAAGTATGCAGAGAAGTCAACCAGTATTAGTGGATGTCAGGCACAACACTTGCGGCTGCGTTTGGGTCCTCAACATGTCAATGCCTGCGCAAACCACCAGTAGATGACTGGACAATCACTGGACAGAAAAAGAAAATGCACCTTGGGGTCGAGGAAGGAGGAGCCGCGGTATGAGGGCACTACGAAGTCGCCGCCGAAGCCGCCCAGGGAGCCCTTGGCGTTGAGCTCCTTGATGGTGAACAGGAACGGCACGCGCTCACCACCGGGCAGCTGCACAGTGACGGGCGCGTAGTCGATTCCGTCCTCCTCCTTGAAGTTCACGTTGCCGCTGCCGTCCACGCTGAACTTGCCGGAGATCTGCGCGCCAGCCAGCATGCATAAGAAGCTGTGTACACACTCTGATATCCCTGTCTGCATCCCTCTACGCTAACATTGATGACTGCAGGAAAGGACAACACATCCTTGGTCGATAGAAAATCAGCACAGCAAAAAAAAGACATCATTCTGCATACTAGGATCCTGCAAAATATCATGGCAGCACCAGAGGACGGCAGTGCGCATGATCGAGTTGACACGTGCGCGATGTGTGACAACGTTTCCCATACATGAACAGGCTGCATCCTGGCAAATGCGTACCTCATCCAATGTGTAGGTCAGGCGGGTCATCAGCTTGGTCTTCACAAAGTCGGTGTCGCCACCCTTGAACTGGCTCTCCTCCTTGACAGTGAAGGAGGTGGGCTCCAGGCAGAACTTTGAGATGTTGTAGTCCCCGGCCTTTAGGTCCTTCAGGTTGGAGGACCCGCCCTCCAACACTGGGCAGGTGTTGGCAATGCCACTGCCCTTGACTTGCAAGTAAGTCAGGCCCTGGAGCTCGTCGTATGTCAGGGCCTGCGACGCCTGCGAAGATGACAAGGAGACTGTCAGTACGATATGACGGTGTACCGTGCTTGATTTGGAGTGGTGTCCCACACAGCAACAGCACGGCTAGGGACAGCGAGGCGCGCACCCCCGCAAGCATCAGGGAAGAACCAACGACGACAGCCATCTTGCCGACATTGGCTGCTGCCGCTGCCACAGCGCTCTGCACATTCTCAGACAGCCCACAGACGACGGTGTTCCTCACGGTCCTGCAAAGGTCACAAGAAAACTTAATGCCTTGTTCTGGTCCCCACCAAACTGCTGTAGAAGTGGACCCATTGAATGGGTGAGCACCCAAAAAGTATTATCAAGATAGGGAATGGTTGTATGGCTCTCAAAAAGGCGAAAATTTGGCCTTGGAGTAGCAAAGAAAACTCGATCCACCTGCCAGATGGAGCGACGCAGCGGACAGCAGAGCCCCGCCTAAGCTGGGCAGTGGGAGTGGGCAGGGACGACAGAGCTGCGCGAGAAGTCATCTTGCCGTCTGATCGCTGCGCACGAGCACTGCTCTCTGAATCGGTGTAGGATAAGAAGGGAGATCTGTTGCGGGCCATTTAAGGGGTTGCTGTTCTATCGAAACCGATTGGCCATCGCCTAAACAAGACACGTCACCTGCAGGCTCCATCCCGTGAGCTGAGCCCCAGGAATGGCAGTTCGACCATCGAGATCGCTTGACAAAATTTGGTCCTCGCTCTGACCTACAGTCGTCAGTTTTTTTAAAGTGCAACCCCAATCCTACGGATCGCCGCATCATGCAGGGACTTTTGGCATCGCACATCCAGGTGGAGGGCCCATAGAAAAGACATATTGCTCAAAGAAATCGGTGCTTTGTTTCCCTAGATGACGTTTTAAGACATTGATACGCATGCAGGAAGTCGCTCACTACCGCTATGTGCCCAGTACAAGACCTGCCCTGCAGCCGCATGCACCTAGCCTGAAGAGATGCAGAGTCTGTAGAAGGCAGATCAGAGCAGCTGCTGAAGATGGTCCTACAGAGTCGGCCCCAGTGGTGAACACAAGGAAGATTGGCCCAATACCGTTCACTCGGGATACTGAGACTTTCCAGGAAGTCATGGCTTTCGACGGACCTGCGCCAGAGGTGCAGCTTTACTTTATCACAAGGGCACCTTTTGCTTGGAAATGTGAAAATAACTGTTTTCAATGGAATCTATCGTGAAGGCTGGTAAGGGCTACTGCATGGTAGCAACTCTCCTCATTGTGTGGCCGCAGAGGATTAACGGCAGAATAGCGATGATTGCATTTGCGGGAGCAGCAGTGGCAGAGGCTGTCAGCGGCAAGTCTATACTGGAGCAGGCGGCAGTAGCGCCGATCTCGGTTGGACTCACAATGTTTCTCATCAGCTTGGCCTCCTTGTTCCCCAAATATTCTGCAGGAGTGTCACTGTCCCAGCTGATAGATGCCACAGGTGGGTCAATCAAGATCCCTGCCAACTCTTTGATGCTTGAGATGTCGCTGATTGCAGCGTGCACTTCACATATCAGCGGGTGTGCTGAAGTGCATTTGCCTGCCGTCCTGTCCAGGGAGGGAAGGCATGCCAAAGGAGTTGGCGTTCTTCAACAAAACACATGAGGTCTGGGTGGGCAGGTATGCCTCCTTTCCATCTGCATTTTCTGAAGAATGCTGTGCCTGATGTGTCTCTGGATTTAGTTTATCTGAAGGGGTTGGAGTCGGGCTCTTTCTTGAATCTAGTTGTCTGCAAGGAAGCCCTTGAGAAGTCTTTGCAGTGACATTGCTTGTTTCTCGCTCGTCTAGGGGAGTGTTTTGACAGATCTGTGAGCAGAGCTGTGCTGCCTGTAAACAGGGTGGCGATGCTGGGGTTCCTGGGAACTCTGGCAGTGGAAGTCATCAAAGGTGGAGCGCTGTTGAGCGGTGGCCAGTGATCACTGCTGGCCAGCCAAGGCCTCCTTTGCGCAGTGTCCCATTGCAGACAGTGTGCAAATTCAATCAATGGTGTCGCTCGATGCATTCTGATGTGTTGGTTGCCTGTTTATCCATGAGGAACTCCACGGAGACTGAACCTGCTGAGTCACGACCAAGCAGGCAATCATTGTATGATACTGGTGTGGTTGAAGCAGAGGATGCTAAGCTGAAGTGGCATGTCCTGTGCTATTTATTGCCTAGTAGGTCACAGCAGAATTGTTCAGCATTTGATGTCAACAGCACTTGAGGAACGATAGACTATGGTTCCAAGAGAGCTGCAGAGTCCGACTCTCTCGAGTCAAGAGAAATCACGAAGCTTTCGCTACTGGATCCATCCTCCGGAGCACCTGAAGTCGATGCCATCTGTTGCAGTGCGAATAGACTCAATAGCTGTGATGCATTCTGCATGCCTGCCCTGCGTGTATGGTGCAATAATCACCATATGGTGGAGGCAAGGGGCTGGCTTTCAAGACTTTTGGCCCGGGGCCTCATGAGGGGCCCGGGGCCTGATCAGAAACAAAAATGTAGCCAGTGAAGTTTGTGCCTTACGGCCTTAGGCGATCGGCTTGGAATCAGCTCCACTCTTGCATTGCTCAGGATCTTGGGAAAGGCACCGCATGCGCATCATCATGATGATGCATGCAGTTAGTGAGGTTTAGTATTGCAGCCTGCACTGCTGGCAGCAGCTGAGGGCGCCACCTGCAGAAAATTCTGCTGGTGTTTCTCTTGTGTTAATGTTGGTTGCCATCTGCTAAATTTATTTCCACTCTAGTTGGATAGGAGAGTAGAATGGGATACGATGGCAGCCAGCAGAGGTAAGGGGCTCCAGTAGAGGCGAGAACGCCGTCACAAGGATATGTATATCCAAGGCACGCCGTTTCCCGAGCTCATGCCGAACGTGCAGTAACGGCTAATTGTAACCACTGCGCTAGCTTCGCACACCTCCAGATCGTCGGAGCGAAAGGCATCTGTCAGTACCTTATTTACATCAGGATGCCTTAATGTAGAAGATCGCATACCGAGGGTGACATCCGTGCCAGACGTCAAACGGGCAAAACAACATCCCTTTCGGCATCCTATGCGGTGAGACAGGATGCCATCTCCTACAAAGGTGCGTTGTGCTTTACATAACTCGCAGATTGCTGCATTACCTCTATATGCCGTTTGCAAGTGTGAGAAACCATGTATGCATAGTGATTCTTTTCTTCTGGTGCGCTTTCCTTACTAGGCTACTTTTCATTCTTTGCAGACAGTTAGCAAAGTCAGAGAAAAGGAAAATGCCGAGACATCAAAGCGTATCAAGCCCGCAACAAGGCCTGTGTCGAAGCTGAGAGGCACGCCTGCAAGGCGAGGTGCAGCAGCTACAAATGGGGACACAGCGTCAACAGGGCCCCAGACACTCGAGCTGAGGACCAAGAAGGAGGTCTCAGAGGAATTTTTACTGGTAAGGAACTCTTCCCTATACTATACCCACCCTTGTAGGAAAATATTATTACCTCACAAGAGCACCTCCAGGATTGGGCATGACCCCCGAAAGCGCCGCCTCCAGCACTCGGCTTCCCGCCACCTCCGCCCTCTTCGCGTCGCCGATCCGCGCCTTCATCTGCAAGACGGAGCTGGTGTTCACTCATACAGACTGTTTTTGACACCGTCATGCCTTCCTCATCAATAGTCTAGGATTACTTCTAGGACTACTCAGTCCTCATATGAGCAATGGAGGCACAGGAGGAGGCCCAAAAGTCACAACAATGTATAGGAGTTGATTGACAGGAGGTAAGGTTTTGTTTCACACTTATATCTCAGTCTCATCTATCATCAGAAGCTGCAGGTGTAGGGCAGCATCAAGGAATCAGCATGATGAAGGTCGCAGAAGTAGCAAAGGAAGGAGCGGCTGACCTCATTGACTGCAAAAGAGGGGCATGTGTAATGTGCCAGAAATCGCTTAGACTCCATGCCATGGATAGTTTACACAAGGAGCACTTTTGCAAATCACCTCTGTCTGTGCTGCAGCCAGTCAAGGAGCTGGTGCGGCCAGCGAATCAGCTGCGGCTGGCCCAGGCAGATCTAGCAGAGGACATTGCGTGCTTGCTCACGGCTGCCAACCCTGAAGCGCCCAGCAATGTTGCGAACTACAGCCTGCGCGAGCGCGCATACAAGCTGGACAGCTCCGTCGACCACACACTGCAGCACCACTGCAGCCACGGCTGGCTGGTGCATGTGGAGTCTGAGGAGGCGGAGCGGCTGGTGGCCCATCATGTAATGCTTGGGAGTACACACCATTGAACAATTCCTTGTGAGGAATGGTGTATGCTGGAATGTGGGTTGCGTGCTGCAAGAAGCTGCATCAGACATCAAGATCTATGATCAGAAGTACTGATCCTTGGTTCTGTGGGTGCAGGCAGAAGCGGATACAAAAGATGCCGGGACTGAGCCGGAGGCGGCCTCCCCCAGTGCTGACCCCGCCCATCTGCGCAACCAATTCAACTACAGCGATCGTGCTGCCCAGGTGCGCAGTGTCTCCCTTCTCATTCTCACCATACAGATGTAAACAGACCCCTGTCCAGCGCTCGCATGACATTCCACTAGTCCAAGCCAGGCCTGCCTTTGCATCCCAGCTTTGCATGTCATGAAGTTGTCTCCCTTACCTAGGTGCCATCTGGTCCGCAGCGTGCCAGAGGAAGACATGACTCAAACCTCAGATCTCTTGAGAGACTGAGGCAGGCCAGTCTTTGTGTGCCTGATGTGCATGTCATGTGCCTTCCGGTCAGAGAAGAAGAGGGCATTTTTGTTGTTGTTGTATGCTTAAGGGTTTAGGGCATAAAAGCATGTTGTTGCGCAGACCCCGGTGTTTACCTCGCGCGAGAGGGGCACGATGACGGAGCCGCCGCAGAGCGCGTGCGCGGGCGGCAGCTGCTCGGATTGGGCCATGCGCGATGCGTACGCTGCGCACCAGGCCAGGCAGGCACTGGAGGGCGAGCAGGCCAAGGCCAAGACCGCGGCTGCCAGGAAGGGCGCCGCCAGCAGCGCTGCAGATGAAGATGGCCATGCCGCTTCCGGCCAACCTGCACAGGTGCTTCCACTTGGTGTAAATCCCTCTTCAGGGATCAACACTCTAATTCTTGCCCTGACAATGTATGATGAGATGAAAAAAATTCTGCATACAGCTGTGGCTTGATGGAATGACCAGGCAGTGTTGATAGGTTCCTGATCATTGCGCCTTTCTAGTCAAACTGTAGATTTGTTGCATTTATTTGCCTCCTTTTGGAAGGGTGCATCAAAAAATTTTCATGCAGTGATTGCATGCACAGCACCTTGGACGTGGCTCCTTACAGTGTCTTACGCCATGACTTGCTCAGGAGCCGGATGATGGGCTGCACCTGTCGCCCGCCATCGACCGAGCACTGCACATCGTGGAGCGGATGACTCAACAGAACCTGCACAGGGACGTCATCATGGACTTCAAGGTTTGATCAATCGCCCTCCAATCCCATGTCTTGCTTTCCCCTTGCAGCGCAATTGTGCAGAGTTGTAGTGTAACCCAGAGCGCTTTCGTAACTCAGTGACGATCAAAGGTGTTTTTAAAGAGAGAAGTGGCTCAGGCACAACACGGCCACTTCCCACGGATAGATGCGCAACTGGAGACTCAATAAGATGCAGCAAATGGAGACTCATGGAGTGTGGATTTGGCTGCGGCAGTACTGGGACGATCCGGCGGATGCGATACGGGTGCACGAGGGGACGCTGCTGCCGCTGTGGAGGTTTGAGGCGAAGGCCGGCCGCGGGCGCCACGTGACTGCGCTGGCATGGTCCCCCAAGTACGCGGACCTGCTGGCGGCCGGCTACGGCAGCTACAACGCGGCGGTGCAGGGGACGGGCGCGGTCGCCTGCTTCACCCTCAAGAACCCCTCCGCGCCCGAGTTCCTCATGACCACCCGCTCAGGTGCAGCACCGCAGCCTGCCACTTCTATTCCCACGTCAAGCCTGAGGTCTTGTCCTCACAGGCTGTCGTCTCAATGTCACCGCACCCTCATGCAACAGAAGAAGCGCCCTGTGCCTAGCAGTCTAGGTTTAGACATATCAGAGGTTTTCCCTGGTGATCAGTCTCACCTCCTGGGTCTTGGATGGCGTTCTGGTCTGCCGAGAGATGTTTGTGCTCCCATAGACTGTTAGTACTGCTATAGTCATCAGGCCCTTGTCATAACTCTTGTGGGCAAGCCAGCCCCGGAGTGCTTTGTGAGTGATTATGGCTTGTGGTGCTTGCGCAGGGGTGATGTGCCTGCACTTCCACCCGCAGCACCCCAACCTGCTGGCGGTGGGCCTGCACGACGGCTGCGTGCTGGTCATTGACATCCGCCAGCCGAGCGCGCGGCCGCTCTACGAGGCCAGCGCGGCCGGGGGCAAGCACGCCGACGCGGTGGCGGCCGTGCGATGGGCGCCCGGGGAGGGCAGCGGGCTGCGCTCCCTCGCATTCTACAGCGTCTTGACTGACGGCCACATCGCGCACTGGACCCTAGCCAAGTCCAGCCTCGTCCGCCAGGTCACCCTCTCTCTGCATGGCACCTCCCACTCCTGAGTATGTCAATGGCAACTGACCAAGCTGAGCTGAGGTTGTACTGCAGATGCTCTCCCTTCATGCCTTCCGCATCCTGAAGATCCACCCCCATGCACAATGCGAGGCTGACCAGAATCAGCCTTCCCACACCTGATAGCTAATCCGCATGGCATGTTTTAATAGGGGTAGAGTGTTGAGCTGAAGTACATCAGATGCGGTAGCAAATAAAAAAGAGGATCTCTTCCAAAGGCTTCCGACCGACGCAGAAACTATGCGCATTGCAGGACTTCATGCGCCTACAGAGCGACAGGAAGGAAGCTGATGCTGCAGAGGACCTGGACCAAGGCCTCGACTACATTGGTGGTACATGCCTCGATTTCCACAAGGTACTGACGAGATCATATGCATTGTCCGCGTATTTGTTATTAAGATCATAGTAGCGCGTGCAGTAACTGCATGTGTGGCTGCTAATCATGTCCCGCAATGTGCTTGCAGGACCAGGTGCACTTGCTTTTGGTGGGGAGTGAGGATGGATGGCTGCACAAGTGCAGCAAGACGTACAACTCTCAGTTTCTGGCATCCTATCAGGGCCATGCAGGCGCAGTGTACGCCGTGCATTGGAACATGTGCCACCCAGACAGCTTCCTGTCTGCCTCGGCTGACTGGACTGTCAAGCTCTGGCACAACAATCGCTCGAGGGTGCGCGTGCTGACACCCACTGCTCGAGCTCTCAGGTAGTTCACAGGGGTGGCAATTTAGTTGTAAGCAGTTCCTTTCGTATCTGCAGGCTGTAATTACGCTGGACCTTGGTTGCTCCGTTGGGGATGCTGCCTGGGCCCCATACTCCGCCACTGTCCTGGCTGCAGCTGGCGAGGACGGGAGATTGCAGGTAAGTGCTCAGTTCACCACCTGGAACAGTATGCATTGTGCATGTGAAGTTGAGCGCCACTTTTGCTTGCAGGGCAAAGTCCAGATCAGAAACTTCCAAGTGTTAAGAGCGTCAGCATGTCGTACTGCACAGGTGTTTGATCTGGCCCATAACAAGGCGGAGCCAGTGAGCACACAGAAGATAGTGGGCAAGGCCGCCCTCACGAGGATGGCGTTTAATTCACATCATCCCATCATTGTGGTGGGAGATGACAAGTATGACTTTCACTTGCTGACAGAGTTCAGACTCATCATGTTCAATGGAAACATGTGCTTTAGATTGTGCCATGAGAGTAATCATTCTCAAGTCGGAGTGTATGCAGGGGCTGCATACATTGCCTCAAGTTATCGCCCAACCTGCGTAAGACTGCGAGTACCGCTGGAGAGCATGACTTTGGTGCTGCACGCCTGGACGCCATTGTGGATGTGGCCCTGAAGAGCGATGTGGTGGAACCTGCTGACACTGCCTAAGTGGCAAATTACAACCGTCTCTGCCAGCAGAGAATATGCACCATGTCCTTGGTTGCGCGCTGCTCAGCATGCTAGCATGGAATGCCCAGAATTGCAGTGTGGCTTATTGGTCTAAATTTGATCTAGCAAGCATGAAGTCCAGCTGTCGTGTGTGTGCAAGATCAGTTGGCATGGGGATCCTCATCCTTTCTCAATGACCCTGTAGCTACTGAATAAACTTCGTTGCTATACTGTAATGGTAATGGGCGCGCTGCAGGCAGCTGCCGGCTATCAACCTTTGAAGACTGGCAGTCAGGAAAAACCCACTGGGCACCAGAAACTTGTACGTTACACTAGAGCTGTCCATGATCAAGCCACAATCCATACTACGCATGCATCACAATCACGTAACAGCTGCAGAAATACTGTGCGGACAGGGATGCCAGTGGCATCGTCGATGAGAGAATAAATAGAACAACTTGAAATCCCGGCTCTCCCCGTCCTGTTAACTTCTCCACACCCAACGCAACCTACCAGTGGATATTCCATGTGCGAATCAAATCCTAAGTATGCGTCTCGCTTGCCATGGAAACGCCCTGTACATAATATGCACCAGCCAGTTATCGCCCCCAAAGCATCCCTACTGGTGTCCTCAGTGTCTAGATTCAAGTTCAAGCGCACAGAGCTAAATGAAAAGCACACTAACACTTCTACGCAGCATAATCTGTCAACTACTTTATTCTGTCTGCAAAGAACGGACGGCAACCCCATTGAAGTCCTCATCCATTCCGTATTATTTACAAATGGACATCATCAGTTTCTTAGCGATTTTGGAGTAACTTTAGAGGCCCCCTGCAGCACACAGTGCAGTCGCATCACATACTGGCCCATCCAGAACATGCCTCAATATACATAATTGATCACGTCCCAGAACTATACTTGCGGTGGATGACGAACAAAGGACCTTGCCTGAATGCAGCGGCACTGAACTTGATCAATTATGGGCTATCATCTGTCCTGACGTCCAGGTGTGCTGGCGGAAGGCCGGCACAGGGGTTGTCTCAAAGCGAGGAACTGGATTCAAAGGCCTTGGCTGCATTGTTGCTTGCTGCAGCGCCAAACACACAGGATTAATCGATGCTATAATTCGGTGCTGTGTGGATCAGATGCGAATAAAATGGAGCTGCCCAGCAAAATGCCACTCGCAAGCAAGCAGATCACAGGTGTGCACATGTGCGTGGTAAGGGCATCCAACCTGGGGCGTGGTTCCCATCAACATGATGTCCTCATCCTCGTCTTCCTCTTCCTCGATACTGCCGGTGCTGGGAAAGTGCGTATGCATGTTCAGCTCGTTCCTCAGGCTGCCCATGTTGAAGGTGTCAGCGCCGTGCCCTGCAAGCACAACGTTGCCTGTGTCAAGACATGGTACATGCCTGCAGGATGATGCTTGCCCATCCTCCTTTGTGGCAAAAGCGAAACAAAGAAAGTGTTTCAACGAGCCAAAAACGAGAAGCACACACCGTCCATGAGCTGCTTGCAGACGTCCACCATGTCCACGCTCTTGCCGAAGGGAGAGGTGCCCATACCAAAGTGGGGCGTCTGGCGGCCGATGGATGTCCCTGCCAGGGGCCAGGATGGGCGCACCCACGGGCTGCCCGGCACGCGTGTCATGGTGCCATTCTCGCTCTGCTTCAGAGATGTGCCCAGGCTGCTTGGAATCATCATGGCATCGCTCACAAACATGGCGCCCTGCACAGCACACCCACACTCAGCACACCTGGGTGCGCCCTCGATCACCGATTCCATCTTGCAGACTCTGCAGGGGTGTGCAAGGGTGTGACCCCAGCCCCACAGGGCTCCCAACCCTTGTAGGATTAAGGCAGGAGATATTGGAAACTCCTACAGGGGGGTAGTGTTCAGTACCCCTGTGGAAGCCCCAGAAAGGGTGATAATTTCCCATTAGACACCCTGGATACTTACAGCTGATCTGAAGGAGCGCCGCACCGTCACATCGCGGGCCAGCTTGATGTTTTCCATGGAGATCAAATGCTGCTCTGCCGACTCAGGAACCCTGGGTGCTGACGCCATGTCATTCTTCGGCGCATCAGCAATATGCTCTGGCTGTGTAGCAGCTGCAGGACCGCCTACATTGCAGTGAGAGCAGCATGTCAATGGCTCTGGTCCTGGCAAATCTTCCCACATCCTCTTGCTACAGAAGATGCGCATTATGAAACTGACCAAGTTGCCCTTAGTATCTGCAGGACAACAATTCCAATGGCGGTTGACAACAGCACATGTACCCGGCTTGCTTCCTTACAAGATGTTCTGACAAGGAGACATCCAAAAAGTAGAAGAGTTTGGGACGCGTACCTGCACTCAGCTTGGGGGCCAAACTGGGAGTGTCCTCTTCTAGAGGGAAGTTGCAGCGGGCAGCAGGGCCGCGAATGGAGCGCGCTGCTGTGTCGTATGCGCGGGCGGCTTCTTCTGCAGTATCGAATGTGCCCAGCCACCTGCAACGAACAGGAATGACTGTATTCAGTCCAAGCATGCCCAGTGCAGCATTCTTGTTCAGCACACAGTGTTCTGATAACAAGAAGAAAATATCAGCACCATATAAAAAGCTGCTCATGCAGGAGAGGCAAAGAAAACGTGTTATATGCCAGTATATACAGTGACTGCACATGTCCCATCCAATAACTTTCTAGTACTCTGATGAGTATGCCTGTAAGACAGCAGGTCTGACAAAATTACCTTCGCTGACCAATGGTTGGATCGCGGATTTCTGCTGCCCATTTGCCCCATGGCCTTTGTCGGACTCCCCTGTATGTCTTGTTCTTTCCCTTGCTCACCACATGGTCCTCTGCTACAGGTTTTCCATCGGGGATGTGGGCGAGCCCACTTGCAGGAACCCTTTTCGGTTCAACGGAAGCTTTCTCCTGCGTCTGACAGCACTTTTCACGGTAAGGCAAGACTACAATGCCACAAACATGCTCAAGACCATCGCCTTGAGCATTCCTTGTCAGAAACATCCAAATTGATCTGACCTATCCATTGCTCTGGAAGTACCTTGGTTTTCTGTTGATCGTCCCAATTACCCATCTTATCCTTGGCAGGGGTGATGTCAGTGCTGTTAGCATCGCCTGACTGCGCGCTTGCACCACGTAGAGAGAACCCCAACGCGGAGGTCGCTGGTGAGACAGAGGGACCTTCACTCCTATCTGGGTTGGCAGGGCTAGCCTCTGCTACGAACCCTGCTTGAACAGGAAACTGCCTCACAGGCGAATCCCTGTCATATTGCATGGTCGATAGGGTGAAACACGCAAGGCCCTTTCACGAATTCTCCCCAAATGAACCTACGGGAAGTCACATCCACACTGACAAAGCGCAGCACAGTGCTGCTTCATCAGGTCCACATCAACAGCTGCCAAATGGAGGTTTCTAAGTTACTCTCGGATCGCGTTGAAGGCGTTCGAAAGAATCACGATGCAAACGCAATGAAGACTTTTGCAGGAGTATAATCACGCAAGTGCACAGGGTGCCAATTTTGGCCGTCCGTGATATTTTGCCCTGGATCGTAAAAAGGGTCAAGGGAACTGCTCAGGGTAAATATACCCTTCTTTGGCGTTCGTTGGCGAGGATATTTACAATGTTGATTCTATGCTTGCTAGCATTGGTAATACTGCAGCATCAATGAAATGTTCTGCTGCAAGAGCTCATCTAAAAACTTTCAAATCCTCATTCAACGGTTGGCCTCTTATAAGCTTGAGGGATGGCACGGCAAGGTTAAGCTATGAGCCATAGCCGGCTCAGCGCTAGCAGCAATAGATCTGCAACAGTATGCCTAGACATCCGTTGACAGCGCTACACCGTTTGCATGGCAAGCCCAAGATCTTCTCGTTGGCCAAGAGCATTGCTTGAACCATGCTGTGAGACTGCGCATGAACACGAAATCTATGCCATCCAATCACCACAGGCGGAAGTAAATGTCTGTCTTGAGTATCCGCATCAGCACCCGTCGATGCCACGCACCAATCGGCTTGATCCTTGTATTCTTGAAATGTTGCAAGGAATCACCAAAGTTCACCTGTGTGCGCAGGATAATCAAGGCGATCCCACAGATACAAAATGTTGGTTGAGCAGCATGGAAACAACAATGTAAGTCAGACTAGGTGGCCCCAAATGATTAGTAACAGTGCAGCGCTAGCAACCTGTGCCATACCTGCGTAAAATCCAGGTAGCTCCCTCTCAAACCCCATCTGTAAGCCTGACGAAAGTTTACACCCTCATTCAGAGGGTGGAAGCCCTGCACGCCAAGCATTGGCTGCCTTCCAAGCCTTGCATCCGCGCGCGTATATTCCTGGGAACAGGCACCATAAATTCTACTTATGGCCTATCATCAGTTTCTGCTCATACAGGCAGTACCCAATCAGCCACTCCAGGCCGCAGTGCACGCCTTTGACTGTGTCTTCATGAGCTCATACTCTGGGTGGGATCCTTAGTGCTACGGAGTGTGAGCCCTACATACCTCCATGTACCGCCTGAAAAATCCTGCACAGCGGAAATCAGTGATGCTCTGCCAGATGTCAAATTCCACGTCTCTGCCCCACTCCGCCTCAAACTTTGACAGTCTCTCATTCCCAGGCACTAAAACCTGCCACCTGCACACATTCCAAAGTAAGTAAGCATCATGAGACATCCGTGACCTGGCAGCTGTACACATTGCTGTAACAATCTCCAAATGCTCGAGGAATTTGGCGCACCTTCTTGTGTAGGCCTTGAAGTCTCCAGGCACCATGAGGTTCCACTTTGGGGACAGGTTTGTGTGCAGGAACAGCAGCTGACCAGTTGGAGAGTACTGCGTCATTGTGTTACCTGTGAACTCTTCCCAACAGAGACTCTGGTCCGGGCTGCACCCACACTTCACATCAGACAACAGGAGATGACCATCATAATAATTTGACAAATTATATATCATGCCTGACGTGTATACCCCTGATAGTTGTGAAGCTCAAATGGCATGGACATTGTGGTTGGAGGCCACCTGCAATAGTGACGCATGAGGCCCAGACTTCCCACAGGGTGGGGGACCATGTAGTAGGGGGTCTTTGTGGCTGCAAATGCAAATGAGAAAGACTCCTTGTCGCCCTTCCCCATGAAATTGGAGAACATCTCGTAGTAGAAACCAGAGTTCATGTTGAAGTACGCCGCCAGCACAAGTGCATCCCAGACCCTGCAAAATGCGCCTTGTTTAAGAGCTAGAGCTTCCAATCTACATCACGTGCTTTGGCAACACATAATATGACATGGAGGAGTCTTACCGCATCTTGTCAAACACCATTTGACCACTCTCAGAAGTCCCTTCAGGCAATGTCTTCAAGCCGAGGATGTCATGCATGTCTGGAGCAGCGGATGAAGCCCAGTAGTCGGGCCACAGCATGGCACCAGTGTCTCTGTAGTGCGGGCTTCTAAAGAGCGTGCCCACATCATCCACAGCAACATTGTCAGAATCCAAGAAGATGACCTGCACCATACAAGCGCCAACTTGCTAAAACAGGAGTGTATGCATTCATTAAGATCAGGCAGGCAAAGACATAGAGAAATCAGTGTGCGATTTGCTCAACCGACCTCTTGGAAGTTCGACAAGATCACAGCAGCAATCTTCAACGTGAATCCAGACATGGGGTCGACAGCCATTTCTGCCCCGCTTTCTGAAGGCTTGGTCTTCCTGCTAGACTGCACCACCCCATTTGGGAGGACACGGCAAGTGACCCCCAACTCAGCCAGGGCTGAAACCAGCTCTACTGTGGGGTACTCTGCTGCAGGGAAAAGCATCTCCACTGGCAAATGGCATCCTGCACAGTTCATCAAACCCCAAGAGCTCCTTACACAATCTGAGTCTCCCAATTTCAAAGGTGTTACGTTAAACTCAACACACAGCATCTGGGCGATCACGTTCTCTCACCAGCTTTGCGCAGCATCTTCACATTGACCCATGCAGGTACCATGTACTGCGGGCCTCCTGCCAAGATGGCGATACCCTTCCCCTGGAAAAAGTTTTGGGGATAATCTGGCGCCTCCAGTCTGAAGCGCTGCCACTGCGCTCGGGCTCGTTTGACATCTTCCCTGCACAGCCCATATTCTTAGCATTGAGGGAAATATTCCATAAACAGTGACAACTGGTACATCTGTGATGATAAGAGAAAGCTCACAACTTACTTGGGCAGCCTGAGCCCATCCCTGACCCAGTCTTGAACCTCGCTCCTGATCTCCGGGAGACTGACTGTGCTCCGGCCAGCGCCCTCAGCCGCGCCTACAATATGGGTCCACAGACTTGACGCAAGAGCATTCCAGCGCTCACGATTTGGCCCTTCCAAGCCATGCGGCAATGCTGGAGTTGCGACACCTGCAGCGCGATCATTAGAAACCTCTCATGCTGAACATGCCAAGTCATGGCGGTATTTGATATGAGGTTAGACAATACGGTAACTCATGAAGGGCATGGATGCAATCGTGGGCCTCACCTCTGCTGCATGTGCTATTGAAGGGCAGGCTTTGCGAGATCGCAGGCTTGGTCTTGAGACGCCGGCATTCATCTTCGCATCTGAAATGCGGGTGGCGCCCACAAGGCAACCTGGCTCAATCAGGAACGCATGATTACCATGTGTATCAGAGCAATGCAGGATGCATAAAGGTAGAGTACAGGCATTTTACCTTTTTGCAGTTCTCCTGGCTGAGCACTGACAATAGCCAGATCCCTGAGTGATCCAGGTATGGCAGTCCGAGTCTTGCTCTGGAATCCTCGCCCTGTTTGGAAACAATCGCCACCTTTGCATGCATGCCTCGATTCTCTGGCGTCGCAAACAGTTCAAGGCATGTGAGGCCAGCAGATTGTGTGTCCACACTTGTTCTGTCCTAGTCAGGAGTGAAATGGGATTACCCGGAAGGGGAGCAATGATCTGTTTTTCTCCAGGCTATGCAGCTCACGCCGGCAGAAAATGATCCCTGTTTAGCCTCTCTGAGGTATGGTGTACTTTCGAAGTATGAAGTCTTCGCCCACAGGGGTTTGCGAGAGAGGGACCAAAAAGCTAGGATGCTCACAGAAGTCAGCAACAAGATTGCGCGGACCGATCTGGGAACAAATTGCTTTCCTGATCTCAAAGAACGCCTCCGCAAGAAAGGCATATGCCCGAAGGCAGGCTGGTTGATTGATGTATTCCAGACCTCAGGTGCAGAGCCACACAACACTGATGTTCACTTCCTCTAAATCCGTCCTTCTTGATCAGGCCCGTTTTCAACCTTTGAATTATCATCTGCGTGCCCACCCTTATTCCAGATTGCCTGGAGTGATCACAAAACTGCGCATAAGCGTTATAATGCGACACAATTTGGTTTGCAGGTTTTTGGCACCATACCCCTTTTAAAACCCTTCGGACACTCTAAATCAAAATGATCGTTAATTTCCCTGGAACCCTTTGCGGAACAAGGGGATTGCTTGCACTGACGAGCAACAGTAAACCATCGTGGTCGCTTTGTGAATGTTTCGCTCTGTCCGCGGTGTGATTGGATTGCCTTGACGTGCGATGCAGCACTTTCTACTGTTGCAAGTCATCACGCCTTGCAAAGTCTAGTCGTGGAGTAACCGGTGTATCAAGTGGCTTGGGATCAGCCTAAATCGATGCTGCAAATTGCAATAGCGGGCGCATATGCCGTTTGTGCACGACCAGAGAGTGTTGGCTTTGAATGCTGACTGCGTTGCATGCTGTCCAAATGAGGGGCATGGGGACTTGCTGGCAGCAGGAACTTATCAGTTGAACACATCTACTGGAATCAGGAGTGGGCTTCTGTACACTTACAGTTTGCAGTGCGATCAAGACGGGGAACAAGCCTTGCATGACCTGGACACCATCGACTTACCAGGTATTGCTTTTTCCTTGGAAGAGCGATCTATGGTACGTCAAGCTTTTCAACAATTGCTATCATTAATACTTCGACGCTTTTGTAGGGATCTTTGAGATAAAATGGGATCCCGATCCTAGTGCTGCGACACCTTCTCTAGCACTTGCCCTCACGAATGGCACAACGGCTCTGGTCAGGATTCGAGAAGAGGGGAAAGCAGGCGTGACTTGGCAAGTAGAGGTTGATGAAACAGCACTCACTACTTGTGTAGACTTCCAGACAGATTCAGCTTGTCCAGATAGATTTCTCTGTGTCAGCACTTCTGCTGGTTTCTTGGCTACACTGAAGGTGCGGGTTTCCTGGCAACGACTGCCTTCTAGTGATCTACTTAAGCTATAATTCACCTCTTCGGCTTGGCAGTGAGCGTGCACGCGTCCAGTGAGGTGTTAGGCTGTGACAGCTGACTTGATTGTGCCAAGGTAGAAGGATCGCGAGCTATGATGCTGGAGAAGTGGTCAGCGCATGACTTGGAGATATGGGCCTGTGCATTTGTCTGCTGGCAGGTGAGTACAGTCCTGTTAAAGCATCTATGAAGCATAGAACTACGAGAGACCTTTGGAAGACGTCATTTTCTTGTACGCAGAGAGATCTGGTTTTCTCGGGGGCAGATGATGCTTGCTTGAAGGCATGGGACATCAGAGCAGCCAAAGCGGCACCAGTGATTGTCAACAGGTTCTGCATCAGTTCCCATGCGCACACCTCTTTTGAGAAGCAATACAGTCCAAGCCATGTCTGGGGGATGTGCCGTTAAGCAGAGGAGCATGCCCTTCCCTTTTTATTGTTGCAGGAGAGAACATGGCGCAGGGGTGTGCTGCATCCGGCCTAGCAGGGAGAAAGAGCATGTCCTGTGTACCGGATCCTATGATGAACAAATCCGCATATGGGACACGCGCATGGTCAGCCATCCTGTGGTCACAGCCAAGGTGTGTAACTCACTTGGAGCACGTTGTTTGCCTGCATTGCATCTTCCGGCGAGGGTGTGTGCCCAGCACTCCCCGTAGCTGCAGGAGTCTTAAGACCATTGCCTGACGAGTTTGTGCAGTTTTCACTGTATCTAGGCTCTGCCCTGCAGTAGCCTAAGATGTGATATCAAACCTTTACAGGCAGCCACAGGGGGAGGGGTCTGGCGAGTGAATTGGCATCCTCTGGATAGCGACCTGCTGCTGGCAGCATGCATGCACAATGGCTGCTCGGTGTTCAGAGCAGATGCAGCGGCCGGGTTGCTCGAGGCTGTAGCTCACCATGATGGACATGGAAGCTTGGCATATGGGGCTGATTGGTTCTGTGGGGAAGCTGCTAGGGACCACCATATGGTCGCCTCCTGTTCCTTCTATGACAATCTCTTGCACGCCTGGAGCTATTGATTACGGTATACAAAGGTCGTAACTGTCCTTTTGTTGATATCCAGGCTAAGAGTACGCTTAACATTGCCGATGCAGAAACAATCTGCAGTCATCGCTGCGCAATGCCACTTCTAATTGTCCAGTCATGGTGCCAATCAATCTCATTGAGCACATCCCTTGCAGTTTCTACAGATTTCTCAAACAAATGAACACGCATCACATGCACAAGCACTGGGATGTTTGAAGAATATCTCCCAGCGAACAGGTCAGCATTGGCCAAGGCGTGCAACTCTAGAATCAAATCTGATGTCTCCTCACAGTGCAGGTCTCTTCCTGGTCTGCTTGTTCCTGCATGATTGTACTTCTCCTGCCAGTGCCCCCCCACCACTCCACCAATCCGAATGGGATAGCAGCCCGTCATGTTGACAAGGCCGGCGGTAGCCACTTCTATTGCACTTAGATCATCACCGTACACTAAGCAAGTCCCGAGAGGTGCCATGTCATTATCAGAGGCCAATTGTTGAACATTGAGTAGCCATTGGTCGTGCTCGAACCATTCAATGTGTCTCCCGGGCATTTTTTCAAGATTTTTGTCGCCTGCAGAAGCAAGACACAGCTGATGTGCGCAGGCCTTCATTAAGCATCGGCGCCACCAGATCCTCATGCACACAGTGAAAACAATACGTACATGACAGGACATGAGCATCTGTGCCATGCATGTGAACAGCATCTGTGAAAAGCAAAGCATCATGAAGATCGCGTACCTGCCCTGACGTGCACGGCCAAGACAGGCCTCCTGAGAGAATGCAAGTATGATTGCTGCCGCCTGAGCAGCCATTCCATCTCCTTGCTGGGCTGCCATAACTCTCTCAAGGCCCGCCCCATGGCGTCAAAGGCTTCCTCAACTGTCCAAGCCTGCAGACAATACCTTATATAAGGTAGAGCAAGTTTCTTACTTCCGTCAATCTCTCGTAGGACTCACAAAAATCACTATCAAAGCAAGGAAGCAGATTGCCACGAGCGAGACCTGCATCACTTCATGAGGAGACCATTCAGTGCCTTCGTAGGATATTCTTGGGCACTCTGGCACCACTTCATTTCGATCTCCAGCTAGTGACCTGCATGTACCACACATCAAGTAAGACTGCATAGGAGGTCCACAGAGTGGCAGTTCTCATCGCGGACTCAACCCAGGCTTCAGAAAGCCCATTTCTGTCGATTTCAGTCGTAATTCAATTTGTAAGACCAGCCTGACTGATAGGCCTGTGAAGAAGTGCGCCCATGAAGGACTGTCATTGCACTTATATGCCCAGTCTGTCTCATCCAAGTATACGCTGATGTTGCTGCTGCTATAGACAGCTCTGGTCATCAGCAAACCCAACACATTGCTGCCAAATCCATATTTTGAGGTCTTGTATACAAGACATGCTGGCTGCCGCTCTGCGCCTGCATGCAAAGAATAGTTGCTGTGAAGAGCAAGGCATGATTGTTGCCTGTTTGTGATTACCATGGTGGTGATGTTCACAGTGAAGACACACCCGCGCCATTGTTGTGATGGCAGCTGAAGGAAAAGAGCGCATACCTCTGCTGGTATCACCAGCGTCAAGACAAAGTCCTGGTGAAACAATGAGCAAGGCAGCCAGAAATCCTGCACACTCAGCTTTTCAGTGTCAGGCTGGTGCGTAGGTGTGCTTGTGCGACATTAGTTGTGACCAATACCTGGAAGAGAAAGGGCGCTGTCCCGGCGCTGCTTTGACTCCGCCATCTCCTGGAAGCATAATATGCTTTGTGTTCACTGGGATTTGACATGTGAAATGGTTTCAAAGGGACACGTGCATGAATCTCTGCCAGAGGGTGCCTTGTGAAGCAGTGGGCCATCTCTCTAGCCGAGACTGCTCTCAGACTGGGCTGACCTTCCTATGACAGTGTTATGTTTGGAGGTATACAGGTACGCGAGATGACAGTCACAACGGATTCGTTGTACTGAATAGCAGTCCATGGCGCCGAGCAATTCCCCAGACAACGTGCACTGTTCTGGCGATGCGGGGATCATGCGGCCTACCCGGTTCTCAAAGGCTTCAGGTAGTCTTGGCACGTGAATAATGGCCGAAATCATTTAAGATCATTGGAAGTCGCCAGAATCCTTTTGCAGATAGTTTCGGGCTGCTTGAGAGTTTTAAGGGAGCGTGTGCAAGCGTTTCGACGGAGACTTAGAGGAGCAGAACGATCACTCGAACACGATATATTGCAGTGATATCAGTAACTGCGACGTATAATGCTGATCTAGTTCCTTATTGCTGTCCAGCTTGAGTAGAATACTCTCCAACGCCACAACCTTGGATTTGGACTTTTGAAGGACAAGAGTTGCCTAGATGCAGACATCCGGAAAAAAAAACAGGAATACCAGATTTTAGTCCTAATATCAAATAATGTCAGTGATTAAAGAAGCTGCCATTTGGACGAGGAAGAAACGTCTTTAATTCGGAAAGAATTTCGGAAGGTGACGGGATCAGAGCAAGGCAACACCGTCGACTGGAGAATTTCGAGATCAGTGCCGCTCAATTGCCTTGGACTTCGATGGCCAATTCCAAAATTTGCACACACTTGCGTATTTGTTTGCTTTCAAGGTGATTGCATCGTCGCAAACCACACCTGTCATCGTTCCTGAAATCTGGGCTAGATCACATCAATGCTCAACAGCCTTGGAATGGGCCGGAAGGTCCAATGTAGAGCTGGTGTGAGTTTTTGTGACGAAACATTACCATTAAATTGATCCATGAAGTTTGAGGGATCAATCTGTTTGTGTTTTGGTGCTGGTCCACCAACCCATCAGTAGCCAGCAGATGAAGGAGCTCCCTAAGATTGCAATACTGTTGCTCAATGGACGATCGATACGCAGTCAAGTGAGTAGGCTACATCTTTCTGAATAGAATCAGGGCATACGCATGCATCGATGCCCTCCTACTGAAGACAGAACAAGTAGGACGCTGGAAAGCCAACCGGCCTACCTGCTACGGCGGCTGCTGTCTTCTGCCAGGCCCTTGATACGAGCCCGGCTAGCGGGCCATACAAGGTGACCACCTGCAGCCACTTCACTCTGCCATGCTCACAGCGGCCTAGTACCAGTTGGACGTCTTGCAGCATGCATTTTCCGGGCGCTTGTTGTTGCATCCTTTATCTGACATATGAAAGGCTTGATTGCAGAGTTGTGTGTGGGCCGGACGTGCCAGGGCATGCTCAACGCACATGCAGGCATGTGCCGCACACCTGCCTGCCTGCCAGCGTTCTGCATGGCAGTAGACAGCACAAGCCCACAAACGTGCTGCAAGCCCTGCTGCGCTCCAGATTGCGCAGTGCTGCGGCACCCGCATCCCGCCAGCGCACTTTCACAACTGCTGCAGCTGCTGGGGCAGCCCCTGCAGGGCAGATCCCGCCGCAGGAGCAGGCGTCCATGGTGAGTTTCACACACTCAGTCTCGCCTCTGCACTAATCCAACGTTTGCAGACCCCGCGGTCAGAGCAGGATGACAACATGGGGTCAGATGCCTGCCTTGCAAGAGGTTGCATTGATGGTCTGGAATAGACGTTTGCACTAGGCACCCAGGTTTTGCATGGCCAAGCTGGCAGGCCAAGGACCCATGAAATCTGTCGTACTGAGTCCTGAGCAGGCTTTTGCCGGGTTATTCTTCTGTAGCATGGAGGCCTGATGTGTGCAGAGGGGCAACCATTTCCTTGGTTGAGTAACATGCACCTCATGTCAGTGGCATCACGTGGTGTGTGGCTGACCAGGAGGCTCAGGCGCACTGGGAGGGTGTGCTGGGGGGCGTGGATCGGCCGGCGGCGCGCGAGATGATGGCTCAGCTCGACCTGCGCCATCTGCTGGGCCTGGCCGGGGGCACCACCTACGGCCGCGGCCGCAAGGCCCCCCTGCTGCCCTTCTTCACCTCTGTCAAGCGCGAGCACCCCACCAAAGTCCTCCTCGTGCGAGTGCGCCCTAGCCTTGACAATCCTTGGCTTGTTGACAATGTTTGTCTTGACCCAGCTGACAATGGAGGTATGACAGAAAGACATTGCGGCGCTGCTCTTGCGGATCAACATGATATTGTACTGCTTGTCTTTATTGCTTGATGCACCTCTCTTTTCCGAGCCAACCCACAAAATGCTGCCACCTTCATGCCATATCACAATCTGAATTGAGATCAGACATACCTCGTGCTGCCTGCAGGTGGGTGAATTTTATGAGACCATGGGCACGGACGCGGTGGTGCTCATGCAGTGGGCCGGCCTTAATCCCATGGGCGCCGGCAACCCCCCTCGCGCCGGCTGCCCGGCCGCCAACATCCGCCGCACGCTGCAGTGCCTCGTGCAGGAGGCCAACCTCTCCGTGGTGCGTATTCTTGCTGGGTGTGATCATTCTCTCAATGTCTTCATAGGAAAATGGCGCACCTTAAAACAGAGGCGAACTCCGGCGCCTCGCTGCTTGAAGGTTGAAGGGCCCATCACAGAAGGACATGCTCAAGACGATGGCAGAACTTTGCTGGAAATTCCAATACTGTAGTTGAGAAGAATGGTTGGGGAAAGGTGGTGTGCGAGGAGGCGCCGGAGCCGCGCTCGTACGGGTCAAGGACGAAGCAGAAGCAGCGCTTTGTGGCGGGCATCGTGACGCCCGCGCAGCCGCACTACCTGTATGGGCTCCTGGACGCCAATATGGACCCCTCGCTGGGGGGCACGCCTCCCATCCTCGCCATTGCCGCCTCCGCCGGGGGCTACAAGGCGCGCATCCTGGCCTCCCCCTCCTTTCTGTGCAACATGTAAGCGACTGTAGGCCTGTCTTGGGCTGGGCACCTGTGTCCAAGCTCCTTTGAAGCTCTACTGGCGGTCCATTGGTGAGCTGCCTGGAAGCAGGGGAGGTGAAACTCTTTGCTTGTAGGACAGCAGCTCGCTGCTTAGGCAGAGTGGTGTTGCTCTGTTGTGTGAGGCGCCGTGGTTGGACCTGCAACAGGTGCTGGAGGTCCAGTCGGACATGATGACATGCGCCATCACAGAAGGCCTCACCGAGGACGCAGTCTCTGCTCGCCTGCACCAAGGCATGTTCCCACCTCTATCCAAGACCCATCACCTCTGGAATCAGTTTGCAGGACCCTGCACAAGGAGCAGATGTACACATCAGACCTTGGCGAGCATCTAATACTAGCTGTGACATCCTCACATTGAGCCTGGCGCTGCTGCAGGGGGACTGTCGCCGCCGTTGTACATCCACTCAAGCGTGGAGGGCAGTCTGCAGGGGCGCTTGTCTGAGGGCAGCGTGGAGTCCGAGTGGGAGCAGCGCGTCGTCCAAATCTTCCGCTCCCAGGTGAGCGCCATGTCATGTGAGCCTTCAAAAGTGTTGAACTCGGCCAGAATGTCTGTGAGACATCTGGCAAGCTTTCTACGTGTCTCGTGCTTAGTGCTATTATTCTGTGCGGGCTCAGGTGGGGATTGTGAAGCGATATAATGCGAGGGATGCAGAGGAGGGGCTGCTGACGCTACTGCGCCGCGATTTGTGTATGGATGCAGACGCGCCCTTCACTCGCATCGCTGCCAGACCGGGCGAGAGGTAAGAATGCAGTTAAAGAAACAGCGGGAGCCGATGTGTTTTGTGTGGATGTAGGCTTGCTTGCTGCACATCAGGCCCTGCCTCATCTGTAAGAGCTGAGTCACCTGCTTTTTGACAGGCTATGCCCCATACTAGTTCTGCTAGGACATTGGCTGCTTTCTTCATGGCTCAAGCAGGTCCTGACCTCGATGTTGCAGGAGTGGATGGCAAATTGCATGCATGTTGAAAAGATGTGGTGGTGCAGGCCGAAGCCCTTGTATCACAGCACAGCGAGCCAGATGGGGCTCCATAAAACCAAAGGCATCCCCAACCTGCTGGACTATGTCCTCCCGCGCAATGCACCCCAGGTAAGCACACCCATTTCTTCACACAAGCGCCCAATCAATGCTCCAGTGTGCTTGTCAAGTATCTCACATCAGGCTGGCTTCCCCATGAATTTGAAGGATGCTTGCATAGACTACAGTCTCCTAGTGTGTTGCTCTTGGGCAACACACAACTCACAATCTCCCCTTCCCTTCACAGGGGGCGCGACGATGGCTGCAGCGCCTCTTGCTACTGCCACCTACACCAGGAGTGGCCGCCGCTTCGTGGCAGGCGTGCAACTTCTTGTCAGGTGCACCGTCTGAATCTGTGCCAGCAGGAGGCATGACATTGCCTGCCAATGACAAATATCATGTGCACGTTCTCTTGCGTGAAGGCACACTAAGGCAGAGCCAGTGGTCCTCGCAGAAACGGTGGTCCCGCTCCCACACTGGACGATCCTGGATGCTTCAAATATCACGCTGAAGCTCAAGAGCCAGCAGGCGACGCGCAGCTTCTTTTGCGATCTGGCAGCCATGCTCAGCTCTGTCGCGGACGGCGCTGCAGACCCAGGTCTGCTCTTCATCTGATGTCCCATCCATGACCCATCCATGTATGAGCGCAAAATCAAGTCCACTTGTAGTTTTTTCCCATCCTAGCAACACCCTAGAAGCCCCTTTGTGTGCCAAAGGAACTCTGCCTATTGCCGTCTTTGGCATTGCCGTGCCACGTTTGTTGTGATCAGCTTTTTACCAGGCTCTGTGTCATGCACTGATGCTGAGATCATCCTAAGAGAGGGGTTGGTGGTCCATGAGTAGGTCCCATGAGCGCTGAGTGATGGCTGATTGGGGTGTGCAGAGCTGCGGCGTCTGATGGAGTGCCTGCTGGTGGTGGCCCAGGCCGAGACGCGGTTCGGCTCTGATCTCGACGGCCTCATACGCGCCTGCAGGTCTGCAACACTGGACTTTGTTGAAGTGGCGTCATGTGAAGCTTATTTGCAGAAATGGTGCATGTCTGTCCTGCTACCCATGCTTAACTGCTGAACATGCTAGTGAGCAAATTAGCGATCACGCTTTCTGCAGGCTCGCTGTGAAGGAGATCGATGTGGTTGTCGACCGAACGTCATGCGGCCGTTCTGATCGGAGTGACAGCGGCGGCGGAGAGGTGAGAACTTCCCCACAAGAACTTTGTGTAATATACCTTGGTTTTAGCAGCCCGTATCGTAAGCTAGTACTACCTGTGCACATTTGCGGTTTGGTAGTTCTTGAGTGCATTCGTGTTTGCTTCAGCAGCAAAAGGCCCAATTGAACTGGACATCCCATGGCCATCTACGCATGTGTACAACAACAACAGAAGAATTAGCAGCCGCAGCAGCGGCATTGGTCAACATTCCAAGCACATCTGACAAGTTCACCTTTTGGTCATATGCTGCAGGTGGATGGAGGTTTGGAGGTCATTGGGCGGCTCTTCACAGCAAATGAGGGGTTTCGCGGACAGATCAGGGACGACCAGATGGAGCAGTACATTGCTGAGGTACGTATGCATCCCAACCGATGCAAATCAACCTATCTTGTGTCCTCATACACGCAAGGAGACCAAGTCAGGGGCGACGCTGATCATGACTTAATGCCTGACTTGGAGGTTTCGACAATTGAGGTCATGAGCAGTGCACGAGGCAGCACTAATGGCGAATTAGTGGCATGTGAACAACCTCTGATCATCTTCATCTTATGGCCATTAAGGCCCTGCACCGGATGCCTAGACATCCCCAGCTCGTCGAGCCATGAAAGATCAGGAGTCCTTGTGAAGCTACATCGAGGGTTTTGAAACTGAGATCTTCAGTGTGGTGGTGCGCGCGCAGGTGGAGGCCGCTGGGTCGCGGCTGGAAGCAGAGCTGGGGCGGGTGCTGAGCGAATGCATGGGCGCCTGGGAGGCAGCGAGCAGCCTTGCAGCGCTGCGGCCTGTCACCGTCTACGACCCCGTCAACGTTGCTGTCTGGCTCAAGGCCATCGCCAAGTCGCCGGTGCGCAGCCTTCTCGTTTGCGGGCTTAAATTGACAATGGTGGGTGCATCTGAATATCTGGGCGAATGCCAGATGCGTGATGGTCGTCGTATGGCTGCTGCAATTACTTGTGCTCATCTGCTATCATTAATCAATTAGAGCAGAACACAGGCACTACCCCGGGCAATTTGAGCTGTCATGCTTGATTTGGCCAATCAGCAAATGCCCTGCTGCTGCATATTCCTTTCAGGGCATCAGCAGCCGTGCTATGCCCTGCCACGTTCTTCAAGCACTGCTGCTGCGTGCGCAGGTGCACAAGGAGGCAAGCCGGCTGGGGTTGATCCACCCACGCGACCGCAACGGCTCCCTGGTCACCGACCGCTTCTCCACGCCGGAGCTGGAGGCTGCGCTGGAGGCGTACCGCTCGGCATGCACGGCAGCCGTCGACCACGTGCGGGACCGCCTGCGCACCCTGGCCGCCAGCCTCACGGTGCGCATCTTTGAAGTATACCTTATACTCTGATCATACAGATTGTGTGGATGGCTGACAGCCTCAGGGCATGCCTCTTGGAAGGAATGATGACACAGATTGTGTGGAGGCCGATAGCAAGGGTGGGCACAACAGTGTGGATGGCTGACAGCCTCACGGGGTGCCTCTTGGAAGGAAATTTTACAGCTCTGATGACACAGGTTGTGTGGAGGCCGTTCATAAGGGTGGGCGCAGAGACAATATACCTTGCCTTTTTATTCATTTTGACCTGTCGTGATTTCACCAAGGTTGTAGGCATGTTTCTGGGGTGGCCAGCTTCATCGATCAAAGGAATTGGAATGTCCTTAGGGAAGGAAGCATCACACACTGACATGGGCTGTTTAAGTCACCGTGCTTGACTCCAGCTTACAGTAAGTCCACTGTACGCCATCCTTACGTTACCTGCATCACTGTGTTCCCGACCTTAGCAGCCTGCACGTGTGTTTGGCAGGCGATGCTGCCGGAGCTGGTGTGTGCGTCGGTGGTGTCGACAATCGGCGCGGCGCTGGATGCACACGTGCGGCAGGCGCGCGAACGGCAGTGGGCGCAGCCGCAGCAGCTGCCGCGCGTGCACGACGATGCCCCCCGGCCCGCCATGCAGGTGCACAGACCCCCTCAAAACCTTGAATACCGCTGCATTCCATCCGCACTTCTCGTTAATGGCTACTGATCCATGCCTTCATGTTTTCTGTTGGCAGAGGTCATGGTCCATGGGGGTGGGATCATGCGCCGCCTCGCGCGCCGAGCCAGGTGCAGAGGTTACATATTTTGCATTGTAGCCCTTGTATTTTGAGAGTGTAAGGCAATCATGAGGCAATGACATTTCTGAGATGGGGCCAGCAGTACAGTGAAAACCTTGGCAGGAACACAATGAAAGCCTGGGCAATACTGGGTAGCTACTGAGCTGGGGGCTGTGTGGCTGGCCAGGTTGAGGGCATGTGGCCCTACTGGCTGGACGGCGCAGCGCCCAGCACCGTGCGCAACAGCTTCGCAATGAACTCCATGCTGCTGCTTACTGGTGATGACCCGCTCTAGCTGCACAATCATGGATCCGAGGCACGATGAAAGATGGAACAACTCTGTGGCGCAAGGCTTGCATTCCCCATCAGCCACTGTGCCAGAGAACTTACATTGCCTGTTTTGGCGCAGCCATGATCACCACGGCCCAGCTTAGCATGTGCCCAGCTAGAGCGCAGGTCCTACACGTCGTAGAACATGTCAATCTCCAGAAATGCAAATTGTCAGCACTGAAAAGGTGGTGGGCGCAGGGCCCAACATGGCCGGGAAGAGCACGGTGATGCGCGGGACGATGGCGGTCGCGCTGTTGGGCGCATGCGGCCTCTTCGCGCCGTGTGACGCGGCCGCGGTGCCGTACATTGACGCCTTCATGCTCCGCACCTTCTCCGCGGATGCCCCCGTTGAGGGTCTGTCCTCCTTCGCCATTGAGATGACCGAGATGCGGTGCGTGCTGCCCCCATCCCTAATTATCGACGCTGCATGTGCCACTTGGGCATGTGGCATCCTCTTTGCTCCTCCTTCAAAGGCGGGCTTTTGAGACCTGTCTTTCATCTTTGAATAGGTTGGGGGCAGGCGAATCACCTAGAAACTCCACCAGGAATGAATCACACACTGCCACAACTTGTACTCTGCCACTTGTGCTGTCATCAATGCTCATGTCCAGTTCCCAGCCGTCCAACACAGCCCTGTGCTTGTCCATGAAGTGAAGATTGCTCACCTGCAACACATCGAAAGCTGTAGCTAAACGGCATCGCTGAGCGTGCGAGATCACTGGCGGCAGGTATGTGCTGGAGGACGCGGGTGCTGATGCGCTGGTGCTGGTGGATGAGTTGGGGAAGGGCACGGAGGTGCGCGCGGGCGCTGCGCTGGCGGCCGCCTTCTTGGAGCGCCTCACTGCGCTGCGCTGCAAGGGCATCTTCGCCACGTGCGCTCCGCCCTATGCCGCGTTTTCCTTAAAACTGTCCAAAAGCCTGCAGGTCCTTAATCCCTGCGGTTCGCCAGGGGCATGCTGTCTTTCTGCGGACTGCCCTCCTTGCAGACTGGCGATCTGCCGAAGACGGCATGCGTGTTTGAACGAAACTGTCACCTACTATTTAATCCAATCGGTGCACCAAGACCAGAGTGGAATTGAGGTCAAGAGGCTTGTCAAGAGGTCAGAAAGGGCAGGGCAACCATTGGCAGTGATCCTGACTGATCTTTGTGGATGGTGCGCCCAGGCACCTGCACCCGCTGCTGGATTTGGAGCTGGACGCGCCCGGGCTGCGTCGCATGAAGATGGGGACGCAGTGGGAGGAGCGTGAGAAGCACTCGCCCCAGAGCTCCGAGCTGGACGCCCTCATAGAGGCGCAGACCCACTCTACCGCCACCGCTCCACGTCTGATTTGCGGTCCTCCCCCTTCTGCTTCATATGCTCAACTCTGTTGTGGGCAGAGAGAGAGAGAGAGAGTGGATCAATCCTCCGCACTCGCTGGGCACATCTGCCATCCGTGACTCACCATGCCTTGTTGCATCTGGTGCTTTGTGCTTGGGGTCCTGGCCCTGCGCATATTGTTGCGCTACAGGCGTTGCTGTCAACACTCTACAGAGTTCCTAGTGCAAACGTGCAAACAGCAACAAATGCTGTGCAGGCGGGAGGCGGCAGGTGCCCACATGGCGCATGGAGGAGGGTGAGTGCCGCGACAGCCTGGCCATGGAGGTGGCCGCACAGTGCAAGCTGCCGCCAGACATCGTGGCGCGCGCGTCCCACCTCTACAATGTACCCCCTCCCTGCCCTGCCCTCCACCCTGGATGCCCTTTCACCCCTGTTCAGTTTGCGTGCTGCGCCGGAGTCATCTGCACAAACCAAATGACCTACGGCACCCACTTCCTGACAGCAAACTTATTATGCTGCATTGATGATGAACATCTTTTGCACAGAAGCTTGCATCCAGGCGCAGGCTGCCAGCTTCGCTGTGCTGCTGCTCTAAATTGACTGCAGGGGAAGGAGATTGTGGTACAGTGGTGTAATATGTGCACATCAATTCATAGTGACACCTGCACTGTCGTTCCGCAGACACTGGAGGCGCCTGCTGTGTTGAAGGCAATTAGCCATGTTCCTGAGCATCAGCATTCGCTGGCTGACTCATCAACATGTGAGACGGATGATCAACAATCCGCAGAAACTCCAGCTTCATATACCAAGAGCGGGTGAGACAGGGAATTGATCATCCCTGCATGTGTTGTGCGGCATTGTTTCATTAATTGCCCAGCAGATCCCTAAATGAAGACTCTGGATGGCCATCGTCAAAAGTGAGGAGTGCCTGGTATAGCAGGCTGAAGGGCCCAGATATCTTGAAGGCTGCAGATGTGCTCCGCGCATCTGCTTTGTCGCTTTTTCCAATAAACAAGTCTTCACACGATGCAGCCACGGTGTGCCATGAGGAGGTGGGGCACTTGCACTGTGATTCTTGCATCTTTTTCTTTAATGATTTCCTCAATGCTCAAGGTGTTTGCTCAGCGATGCCTCGAACATGAACCTCACGTTGCTCACAGGATGCCAGAAATTGTGCCATAGAGGAGGAGAATAGCTTGGCCACAAATGGCAACGACAGTCTGCAAGGGATTTCCTTGGATGACCTGACAGTCCAGGTGAGCTTTCGCACACCATGCATGGCTCTCAGCGACCAAACTTTCTAGCCAAAAAATTGTATTGTTCTTATAACATCATCGGTGGGTCTTCCGTTTGGAAACAATGAGAATTTGCATTGGCAATCCCATACATTTCTCCTTGAACTGCCCAGGAAAGAGAGTCTGGGATGTTGATGAGGGCATTTTTGGCTTGACACCCCCTGGCGTGCCATTCTGGCTGACCAGTTCTGTGCGTGCAGGTGCTAGGAGCGGGGAAGGTGCCGCCGCCCAGCACGGTGGGCTGTAGCTGCGTGTATGTGGTGCGGCGCGAAGACGGCTTCTTCTACTGCGGAGAGTCTGACGACATCAAAGGTGCCTTCTCAACCACCCCGGTGCTGTTTGACCCTAAACTCAAAGCCCTTTTGCAAGGATCAGGAGTTTTGTGGTAATTGGCTGCTGTTTGGCTGCTGTTGGAGCTGCAGGGTGCAGGATGATGAAGCCATGGCTCAGTGCAGTCTGTCACATTTGCCAATGCAGGGCGGTTGGCGAGGCACAGGCGAGCAGGGCCTGTCAAGGGAGGCAGAACTATGGAGGCGGTCTACATGGCAGTGCCTGCTGGTGCGTCCACACACACCTGCAGCTTGTCTTAGAACTCCAAACTTAAAACTCAAACCTGCATGCCTTGAGGAGCCCAGCCATGCAGCTGTGCCCGTGCAAGTAGCATTATGTCTTGTATTTGGCAGGCTGTGAAGCCAAACCACGGCACTTTTAGAGCCAAGACAGAACAAAGTGCATGTACATGTGGTGTTTCTGGGAGCGTTTTTGCAAGCCTGATGCAGGTTCTATAGCATGCTAAATTGTGTTGATGTCCCCTTTCCCAGGGCTGGCGGGAAAGAGCGCAGCCGCGGCAATAGAGGCAAGGGCGATTCGGGAGATGCGGGATGCAGGATTCCCTCTGATCTCGGACCATGATGCGCGCACCAAGCGCACACCTGAGCAGCGGTTAAAGCAGGCCGTGGCTGCCTGAACACGCATGATCCTGTCAAATGGAATGGTAGGGAATTGTAAATGCCAGCTATTCTTCATGGCCGCCGGTGTCACCGGTGGTGTCAAACAGAACATATGAATCCCCCGTGCTTCATGCAGGCCTGCTAGGACATCCTTTCACAAAGAGTATGATATGTCTGCTATTTTCCAAGTGCTCTTTACTGTATTTGAAAGGTAAGCAAGGAAAACAGGAAAAGGGCGACAGAGGAACATGCAATCCTGAAGTACTCCCGCTCTTTGCATTGTCACCCAAAGCGTAGTCTGCTGAGTGACTGGCAATCAGCCAGAAGTTTATACCTTATGCCACATGCAAAGTGAAGGTTCCTGTGAGAATTTTCAACAATTGCTGAAGATTCAACCCAAAATTCCCTGCATGGCAGAGCGCCACGGATGACTGAAAGCGAGGCGCCATACGTGATGGCTGCAAACGATGCTGGGACGACCTGCAAGGCCTGGTGAGGCTGAAGGCATAGCATGCTAAGGTGGAACAACAGGAATTGACATCCTAGAGGCCTGAGCCAAGGTGAAATGGTCTCCTCTGCGGGTGACGGCGCTCCGGCGCTCCGGTCTTGAAATCCACAGGTTGAGGCCCACGCCTGAGCCGCCCGGCCAAAGGATACACACGGTGTGAGCAGCGCAAGCACGGGGCGAGGCCACCCAAGCGAGGCCAGTGTCCCGAGGGTTGAGGGGGCAAGTGCAGGGCCGGCCTCGTCGGGTCCCTCGACCCGAGGTACCGGGTGCTTGAGGCCCCATTTCGCGCTGGCAAATGGTGAAGGCGCAAGGAGCTCGGTCGAGGCGATCTGTGAATCTAGGTCTATAGGGAAAAGCACACAAGATAAGAAGCCGGGTAGTGCCCGGGGTGGCGGCACTAGGCCTCCGGACGCCGAAGAAGCACGGTGTGGGTGCTGCGGCCGGGGGCGACGGACCTTCCTCCTCCTGCTCCTGTGGCTGCTGGCGCTTCCCGGTGCGCGGGTGCCTTGTGATGTCTCAGTGTTGCACCCACGTCGAGTGCGTGCCCGTAGGCAGGAAGGCGTACATGCTGCCTGTGCTCCGTCCTTTATTGGCATGAGTGCTCCCGTGCGGCTGGCTGTGTGGCTGAGAAGGTAGTGGCCTGCTGCTGCGCGCGACTAGACCCCACGATCGGTCGGGTCAGGAGCAGCCAGCCACATGGCTGTAGGTGGCTCAGACTGGACATTGTGTCTCCATGCGGCCGTCAGGGCTGTGAGGAGTCGGCAGGTAATCGCGAATTGCGCTGTGCTGGTGCTCCGGGCCGCGCTACATGTTGCGAACGTGGCTGATCCTGACGATGCCCAGCCGAGCCTCGTCCTCCCATGCTGGAGGCTGGCCCACCGGCATCGGCGAGATGCCTCTTGAAGAACAGGGGCTGGCTGAGGACAGCATCGTAGCTGAGCGAGTCTCGCTGGAGGCGGCGATGAGGCTGCAGCGTCTGGTAAGCGTGCACGTACTTCCACGCGTGCCGGTGCGTGCTTATGCCCCTGCTGGAAAGCTGGAGAAGAGCAGGATCTGCCAGCTGCCGAATATGCTGGTGGCGCGCTGAGAGCCACGCTGCGCTCCTGAGTAGCCAGAAGTCATAGAAGGCCTTCCAGACAAGCTCCTCTGGCTCGGTAAGCAATCACGTGCACTGCAGGCACTCGAGTGCGCCGGCTGCCCTAGCGACATGTACGTCGTTCGCGGCGAATTCCTAGGCGATCTGCTCGGACACCTCACCTCCGGCGGCTCTCTAGTGGGCAGTGGCAAGGCCTGCCTGGCCTACATCCAGACGCCGGACGATGACAGGCACCTCGCCCGCTTGCCAAAGCGGTTCTTCATCGACGGCAACACCCGGATCAACATCACGCGGCCGGGGCGGATGCGGCAACCCAGCCAGCCAGCTTCTTCCCAGGCTTAGCAGCGGCAACAGCTGCACGCAGCCTCACCGCCCCTCCGTTCCGGCCCTCTCCCGATTCGCCAGCGCCAATGCCAGCGCTCCACACAGGCCCGCGCGCGCGCGCGGCACAGCCGGCGCCGCCCGCACCTAGCCCGCAGCTGCGGCAGCTCGAGGCCCGTGTACAGGCCAGCCGCGCTCCCGGAGACGATCGCGCAGGCTTGGGTGTCACAGCAGCCAGCAGGCCGCAGCGGCCCGGCGCGTGGTTCCTGCGTGCTCGCGACACACAGCCGGCCGCTCCGATGGACTACACTCCTTCCCGGAGTGCAGAGATCTTTCCAGCGGTGAGCTTGACACAGGCAGACATGGACATCGATACGCAGCCTGCACCGCCCCGCCGCCCCGCAGCGACACCCATGGAATCGGAGACGCTTACTTGCACGCCGTAGCAGCCTGCCACTCGTCGCCGGGTTGCTACCGCGCGCGACACGGCTGCAGCCAGCCCGATGGAGTGTGACAGCCCACAGGAGGAGCTGCCTGTCAGGCCAGCACCAGCAGGAGAAGCCACCGCAGCTCAGCTGCCCGCTCCGTCAGCTCCACCACTAGAGCTCCCCGGTGTTTCCGAGCACACATATCGAGGATGGCCTGGAGTGGCTGGAGGGCAAACCCACTTCTCCCCCAGAGACGGCGTCGCAGCGTTAAAGTCAGCTGCATCGCGATGAGCCGCTTGCGCTGCAGTCTGGGGACTCCCTTGCTGCAAGGCACCAGCGCCTCACAATGCTGTGCGACACGCTTCGCCAGATACACGGCAGCGACAGCCTGCCAGAGGACTCTTACGGGTTGCCGGCTTGTACACCAGCGGCACTCGGGCCACGGGAGGGCAATCCAGCACAGACCTATGGACGCCGGCAGGGCACACTGGCTATCCCGCCGGGCTTTCAGTCGCACGCCACCTCTGTCCCTGCCAGAGCCACCGCCGCCACTATCGCCGCCGCCGTCCGCGCAGCCTCCCGTGCCGCCGACGCTCGCGCCGCCAACCGCGCCGCCACCGCCAGCGCCGCCCAAGCAGCGCGGGCCGCGCTTGCCGGCCTCGCAGCACCGCGCCTCTCGGGCAGCAGCTCACAGAGTGGTGGTTACACCAGCCGCAGCAGCAGCAGCAGCGGCGGCCGCAGGAGCACAGGATACACAGGCCAGAGGGCCCGCCGGTACGGCGGTACTCGCCGCAATGAGCCGCCAGCGCTCGCCCCCCCTGCGCCTTCTCAGCCTCAGCGTCAACGGCCTTCGGGACAAAGACAAGAGGCGCTGCCTCTTCAACCTTTTGGAGCGTGACAAGTGGGACGTCGTCCTCCTCCAGGAGACCCACCACAGCTCAGCAGAGGAGGGGGCAGCTTGGGCGCAGGAGGGGCCCAACGGGCTCCGCTGCAACGGGCCCTCGTTCTGGTGCCACTACACCTCCCATTTCCGCGGCGAAGCGGTTCTCTTCAGGGCCGCAGCCCGCACATCAGACATCACAGCGCGCAGCAGCAGCGCGTCAGGCCGCACTTTCCTCGGGGAGTGCCTACGGCTCTGCAGCCTGGAGGCTGCCTCTCCACCTTCTGGATGATCGGCCGTTCTGCGAGCGCATCGCAGCGGAGATCCCAGCATACCATGGATGACGATGATGCAACGGCCATGGTCGAGAAAATGGCTGAAAACTATGGTGGAACAATCGGAAAAGCCTGGTGAGGCTCAAGGTGAAGCATGCGAAGGTGGAACAACAACAACTGACATCCGAGAGCCCTGGGCATGGTGATATGGGCTTCTGCGTACTGGCGACGGCGCTCCGGCGCTCCGGTCTTGATCTCCACTGGTAGCGGGGCTCACGACTGAGCCGCCCGGCCGAGGGATACCCATGGTGTGAGCAGCCCGAGCACGGTTGGTGGGGGGCGAGGCCAGTGTCCCGGGGGTGGAGGGTGCACCCGAGGAATCGTGCAGAGCTGAGGTCGGCGGGTCCCTCGACCGGTGGTACCGCATGCTTGATCAAGGCCCCATTCCGCGCTGGCAAATGGTGAAGGCGCAAGGAGCTCCTTCACCGCAATCTTTGAACCCAGGGCTCTAAGGAAAACATTATTTTTAAAGGATGAACCTCGCTTACACACGCATGCTGGTCGCACGCTCTCCGGAACACATGCATAAGGATAGCTAGGAAACCTGCCTGATGGGTGGTTCATAAAGCACTCCCGCAGGAGGATAGTGCGATACCTAAAAAGAAGCGCAATCATGAAGGCTAACCGCTGACAGGCAAGACCTAGCAATGAACATATCCCAAGCACCAGGGGGTAACCTCATCCCCCAAGGCGCACTCCAGCCCGCCGGCAACGCAACACCCCTCGGGTGACGTTGGAGGACCCACGGGGCATGCCTACGGCATTGCATCTGGAGGCAGGGGGCACAGCAAAGCAGGCAAGCAACTGCCCAGCTCGCCTGTAAGAAGTGCTGGCGCGCTGTCTGTTACCGGCCTGTTCATCGCCACTCTATCATCGAAGGCCACCTCGAAGTCCACGCACACCAGGACTCCTGCAGGAAGAGTGACCTCCTCCGGATGGACCTGCTCGTTGTCGCCAATCTAGATCTTGGAAAGGAGTCTGTCTGACTTGCATTTACACTTCTTGAGCAGCGACCCGGCTGGAGATAGCCCATGCTGCTAGCATGTAATCCAGCAGCCTCTAGTAGCTAATTGGAAACTCCCTGTCCGGCCCCTTCCCTTATAATTATAGAGGAGCGTGGCGCGACCCTACTGCAGCGACGGCACAGCGCTGGACTGGCACCGCTGCTGAAGGCCTCTCCTGCCCCAGCGCAGGCCAAAAGCGAAGGTAGAATTCGTTCGGTGTGCCATGCATTCTAGGTGCCTTGGCGGCCTCCAGTGGTGCGAGCGAAATGCTGCAGTTACCGCACTCGCTCCCCTGCTGCCGGTGCCTCTGGGTAGTGCTGCCTGTGATAGCTTGGGCTTTGCCCTGTGAGTGCCTCAATTGCCACTCAATATGATGCTGGAGTGCACCACTGGGAAGGGGCAATGCCTTCACCTCGTCAACAACCCTTTGTTTCAGGATCATGCAACCTGTGAAAACGCAAGGACTCAGTCCCTCCGGCGCCCTGTGATCGATCATGCAAAACCATATGGCAGTTCCACCATCATTTCCTGAAGCTTCCAGTGACACCCATTGCTGTCTTACTGAAAACGCGAGTACTTAGTCACCACACCTGCACGCCCGTTGCTGCCCGGGCCCGCCAGCCCCCCTGCATGATTGACTCCCGATCCCGCGGCACTGCCTGCGGCGGGTGCGCCTGTCATCAGCACCCCGCTTGGCACCGCCATGCTTGCTTTTGCTGTCAACTGATACACACATGCGTGTCAGTCACACAAGAGACCCCATCTCTGCATATGCGCTCCGGCAGAATTTCAGGTCCCCAACACAAATATTGCGCCCCAGCATGCCATGGCATGCATGCCTCAGTGAGTGCTCACCATCTGGTAATACATAGTAGTGATCGATGCCGTCAGCCGAGGTCCGGGGGCTCAACACCAGTCGCAATTGCGAGCGGCACACAATGACCTGGAAGTGCCCGCTGTGCAGAAACATCCACACGCATCGATCCGCCAAGTCCCCGGTCTCTACGCAACACACCCCGGCACTCTTCTATCGCGAGCTCACAGTTCATCACCGCTTCATGTCCTCTTCTTCTACCATAGTCTGTTCTACTACTGTTGCACAGTTCAAATATTCTCCGCGTCTGGGCTCCCTACTGGATTCGTATATTGTATTCTAATGTCAGCTCAATACTTTTTTTTTTTTTTTTTTTTTTTTTTTTTTTAAGGAGAACCCCTCTATTACAGGCATGAGGGTAGCGAACTTCCCAACACACACATAATAGGATATTTAGGGAAACCTGACCGAGTTTGGGGCACGCAAAACACTCCCGCAGGAGGATAGGGCGATACCCAAGGAACATCAAAGCAATGGGAAACGGCATGGTCACAATGGCAATCGTGTTCAGACAATCAAGGACAATCAATCATCGTCGATGGAATGTAGGAAGGTAACAATAGGGCCTAACGCGATGACTAAGTCGGGCAGTCAATAACGCCCACTGGTTTGCGGGAAGCTAATCTCTTCAAAGTCAGTGACAAAGCATGGCAAGCTCATACAACACACCAACCCAGCAGTGGGTTGGGATAGGCAGGAGGTACCATGTTCTCAGTCCTAGACACCCGCTCAATATGATGACACATGAGAGTCATGAATGCACAGGGACAATGAGGAATGCACCGGATGACACAATGTGAGGGGAAGGACACGTGATGGACACACTTGATGAAATGATTCTAATGGGGTTGGAGACAAGAAAACACAGGAATCTGCTACCAGGACCCTGGGGAGAATGGGCTTCATTGAATGGGTGGCAGCGTCAAAGCTCTCCAGCGCGCCGGTGAAGAGGTGCACAGGTTGAGGGGCGCACGACTGAGCCGCCCGACCGGGAGAACCCGGTACATGAGAGCCGGCGGAGCATGTCTGTGGGGGCGAGGCCACAAGAACTGGTGGGTGAGGCCAGTGCCCCAGAAGGGAAAGGAAACCCCAGGGGCCATGCCCGGCCGTGCTCTCTGGGACTCCCGACCGGTGGTACCGCGTGACTGGGGGCCCCTTTCCGCGGTGGCAGAGGATGGGGACGGAGACGGGGAGGCACTTCTCGAAAACAACATGCTTGTCATCCCCAGGGTCCTAACGTGATCCACAGGTACACATGGGTGAAGGCAAGCCGGTCTGAGCCGGGGTGGGGTGTGTGTCATCCGGAGTGCGTGCCTAGAACTCACTGAGGACGCCTACGGGTGCCAAGCCCCCGGATGTGCCAAAAAGGATCACTAAACGAGGCTGTTCAATCGGTGGAGGACTCGAGCGGGTGTCATGGCAAAAGGCCATCAACAAAGCATGGTGTCACAGGGTTTGCCTGGTTGAGGCCCAGGCAGGCCTGGTTCTTGAAGTTTGAAGAATCATGCGGGCAGCGGCACCGGGTGTTGTGCGCTGCAATGGATGACAAGCTGCGCATCGGGCGCCGCGCCCAGTGCGCAGAGGACGTCCCGATGGCACCAGCGCGCCGTGAACTCCTCGCGCGTCAGTTTCGGGTCTCGCCCGCGCAGCCAGTCGCTGGGCACGCCCGCTGTGTTCCTGACGTTGATGGTTGCAAGCCGCCAGTCGCCGAGGATGGCTTTCCTGCTGGAGGAGATGATCCGAGCTGCTACCGCGCCCGCTGATTGCGCTGCATCCGGCTGGTGCCGTGCGTGCTGGTAGGCTGCCCAGAGCTGGCAGATGGTGGCCAGCCGGAAACTCGGTCAGGTTTCCCTAAATATCCTATTATGTGTGTGTTGGGAAGTTCGCTACCCTCATGCCTGTAATAGAGGGGTTCTCCTTTTAAAAAAAAAAAGGCGATGCCAGAGAGGCCCGAGCTGGGAGGCCGGCCTCCAGGTCCGCTGGTCGTCTGCAAGAAGGAGGTCTGTGCTGCGTGGCGGCGGGGGCTCTCCTGTGATGGCTGCCCAAGTGGCCGCAAACCAGTCCCATACGGACGCTGCCAGGGGGCAGGTCATGAGGACGTGGGTGAGCGTGGCATCCTGATCTGTGCAGTGAGGATGCGGGCAGCGGTGGCCTGCTGCATCTGCTCGATGGATGTGCCGCGAGGAGGCCCCGACGAAGAGCTTCCCGTGTAGAAGTCTCCAGGCTGTCACGCGCTGGCCTCGGTCGAGGTGGGAAGTGTCAAGCACGCTCCAGACGTGAGCCCAAGGCGGGTGTGGTCCTCCTGAAGCGGCCGCTGCATCGACTGTGTCCGGCAAGGACTGCTGCCGCGGCGTGCGAGGTGCTGGTGCTGGAGCCTGTGGATGTGGCCGATCGCGCCAAGGCGCTGGCCGCTTCTGCGGCGGGCTCATCCATGCCTGATAGGAGGATGGATCTGGCTCTCCACGCGGCCGCTTTCTCAGGCACTGCTGGGAAGAGCCGGTTCCTGCTGCTGTGGACGCCCAGTGTGCCTCGATAGCCCGAAGGCCGCTGCGCTGATCATCTGTGCTGTCAGCCCAGATGGCCGGCCTCATCGTGCCCTGAGGTTGGCCGTCGCCATGCTGTCTCCTGTGAAGCACTTGGCGTCGTGTGGTCGCCTCCTTGACCACGTACTCATGTGCTGGCCGCGTGCCCAACCCCCAAGAGTTGGGGTCAACCATGTGCGTGCCCCAAACGCCGAAGAGATACGGCGGCGCTGGCTCCTGCTGAGGTGGGTGGTTGTCCTGATCCTGGTGCTGCGGTGTGCTGTTCCGCGGGTGCCAGGGCCGGTTGATGTCCCAGCCCTGCACTAGAGCCGGCTGCGCCGTAAGTGGCAAGATGGCCTGAGGCGCTGCTGACCCTGCTGGCACTGGAAGGAGTGCGCCGGAGCTGTTGGCCGTGTGAGTGCAAGCATAGGAGCCGGCGGCTGATAGCGACCAAACCCGGCGATCGGTTGTACCGGGAGAGGCGAGCCACTGCGGTGAGGGTGGGTGGCCGTGGACAAAGCGGCTCCACTGTTCGGGCAGTGCGGCGAGCAGCAGCT